CGGTTGCCGGCGATCACTTCAGGCGAGTTTCGCCCGAAGTATGTCGAGGAATCCGGACGGTTTGATACATGCCTATTTATAGGAATGAAGATTCATTACGCGAGGTCCCGTTTCGCGCGTATCGGCGGCTCGTTACGCCGTTGTGCAACCTCCGCGGCGTAATATCTCGCGTTTAGGCGTATCCGCGGGAACAGCTAACGAGAAAATTACTTCTCGTTCGCCTCCTTCGCCGGGTTTCCCGTGTCGGAGACTCTAATTAATCGTGATTATCATTCTTGGCCCATTATTGGCCGTACGAATTGATGCGGGACTATTTTCAAATCAATTTACCATTTACGTACCGTAAGATCCTGGTATCTGCAATTTTTTAGCGGTGGAGCAACTATCGACCAGCTTGCTCCGTCTTCGAGATCCGAAGCAAACATTCGCTCAGAAGAAATGTAATTAGGGACTGACCGGACTGTGAAACTTTATGCATTTATTGTAAAAATTAGTAGACGAAAAGTGTCAAAAACTTTATATTGTTTATGAATTATTTTCAACTTACTAAATTTATTAACCCCTTGCCGTACCATTTTCTTCAACGATAAGCACTTTTTCGATTGTAATAATTTCAAAGAAATAATTAAAAGAAGAAATAATTTTTAAAGAAAAAGAGGAAATTTATGTTTGTCATGTTTGTCCACATTTGCTTAAATGCTTAAATACTGATGACAAGAGGATAGAATTTTTTATTCCGGTTTAAACGAACGGAATAACATTCATACTTAACAGGATATTACTAAAAATCTCTGTCCGAGTTAGACTCGTTGAAGTACTGCAAGGGGTTAAAGGAAGAAAGGAACTCCCCACTTGGTTATTGTTTACTGCAATCAATAAAGAAGATTTTTATTTTGTACAAAGAACCGCAGTCTATTTACAACAATGAGAAGCCTGCATTTACTTAGACCTTTCGCCATTTTTATTAGAATGCGTGCTTGAATCATGAAATTTATTTAACAATTTTCCGTTGGACAGTTTTTATAACTACAGCAATTTTAATCCTTTGCACCGTATTCTTGTATATCTCAATTTGCTTCTGTTCATACATTTTTCTAACGGAAGAATGAAATTTTGTTTCCATTTTGAAGAAATTAATAACGCGTTCATATTTAATAGATCATGCGTGGAGTCTTCGTCGCGAGTCTAACTTGTAGCGCAGGGAGTTCGAACAAAAACTGTGGAATCGGTTGTTTTGCTCGGCTTGATAGATTTAGCGATAAAATTGTTGAAATTATAACGATAAATAAAGAATCAATTTCTTAATTGGCCGACGAGCCAACGTTATTATATATCCTGATAAATTCAGTCTTCGTCATTTCTACGAAGCAACGCGTCTCGGTCTACTTACGCATGTTAGAGGTCAGTTCGTTAATAAAGTTCCGCGAACGATTTTTCATGAAAATTCCTAACTATATTTCGCAGAACGTTCGAATCTGTTTGGAATATTCGGAGGGGGGGTCTCGCGGTTTCCGATGGCGTCAACGGTGACGTCGTGTGAAACAAGCGTTGGAGAGACGGATGCGTGGGCGTCGATTCGTGTCGTTCGGGCCGACTCGGGCTCCGCCGGGCTTACGTAACAGTCCCGCGTCTCGTACACGTGCTCGCCACCACGTGGCCGACGGTCACGTTATGCCGGCCGATATCTCTCAAAATGGAACTACTCTTACGTAGTCGCGTAACCTCGCATCGACAGAACCTGGCCGGCCCGGAGGCCACGATGACCGACACGTGAACTGCTTTCTGTATCGCTCCGTTTAGCGGCGTGACCATTTTTCAAACCCTCGTGTCTTCGAAATAGCTCTTGACGTCCCTTCGATCCCATTTTTACCGCTAAATTGGTCCCGAAGTTACGTAAAATCTTGGAATATATGTTGCATGTACTCGATCGATTCTCGGCCGTCTTAACCCGCCGTTTCATTTACCATTTCGTACTTTACCAAATTTTTCTTTCGTTCGTCGCCTGATCGTTACGGCCGGGAAAATACGATCTAGATTTCCTTCGATCGTCAACGCTAACACGAACTGAAGAAAATTCGACACTCGCAGACACCGAAACAAGCCAACTACTAAATGGAAATAATTTTCCTAAATGGCCCAACTTTGTTTATCGGTTCGCCGTAAAACCGCTCGGAGCGGTCAACGACGAAATCGTTAAAACGTTTCGAGGTTTTTCTCGGTGAGATTCTCCGAGGAGATTCTCCGAGGTGATCGTGGAGCTCTAGAAGCGAAGAGGAAAAGATCGTGAACGGGTTTATGGTCCCGCCCGATATATTATATAATATTATGAGCGGCGCGGTGACGAAAGTCCTGTTGAAAGCGGGCAGGAAAATGGCGTCGCGCCGCGGTGTGCCGCGCCGGTCGGATACGGGACAAAGAATGATATATCACGGTATCGTAACTAAGACGCTAATTATATGCTGGAGGCATTGCCATTATTTAACCATAACTACTCCCACCTAGATTCCGGACAATGTGACTGGACGGAGACCTTTAACAGAGTTATCTTACCCAACGCAGCTGCTCTCTCGCGAGCGGAGAGGCCGTGTTGTAACCCGCGGTGCAACGAGCTAAATTGTCGTTAACGGTAAATTACAACAGGCGAACCATTCAGCTGTGCGCGCCGGCTCGGATCCAGAATTAATTCGCTGTCCTCGATGCGCGACGCTTCGGTCTCTCTTCTCTTCATTTCTCGTCTCGTCTCTTTTCATCTATATTCCCTCATCCACTCTTCGCTTCTCTTCTCGTCGCTTCTCTTTCCTTTTCTTTTCTGTTCGACTCGGTTCGCCCGGGGGACACGGAGAGTTCAAACGAACCCGTGAATGTGACATTTCAACCGCGGGGGATCGTTAGGCGAACACCTGGAAATTCCTGCGTACCCTGGACATTGTGCAAATCCCGCGATTAGAGGCAGAAACGCGCCTCAGCCGTCGCGCCGCCACTCTAGAAATCGTTCGAACACGAGGCTCTCAATTTTCGGCAAATCGTTGTCGTTCAAATTATTGTACCTTGGCAATGAGAAACCGAGGGGCGATCAATTCCGACTCGTTTTGAAGCTCGAGGCCTCATTTTCTGCCGAGATCTTTTTCACGCGACGCAATAGTAGACCCTGTTTGACATCTTCGCGAGCCTGACTCGTTATTGCCTGCCAAGGGGTTAACATTCGAATCGTTATAACTTCGTAACGACGAATCCTACGAGACTGAATGCATTCGCTGCATTCATTTTAATGCTTGAAATCTCTGCTTTTACTTTAATTTTTTTTTACTGAGATTTTGTCGCACGATGTGGCAAATGCGAAATCGAGGACATGATTTTTCTCGACGATGGTCCAGATTGAAACGTCTCTAGAAACGATGAAACAGTTTTTTCCTGTATGCAACCACCGTGGATTTGAAGACCGTAGCTTCCTCTTTGCAACGACACCGAGAAACTTGGTGTACGATTTATTCTTGGTCGCTTGGTCGACGTCGGAGCGCAAGTAGCACCGGTGAATAAATGTTTTCTTTTGCTCGCGTGTTTGTTACTCGGGTCAGGTGCAGCACCGTCTACCATTGTTACGGTCAGACTGGTTAACAATTACGGTTTTCACGGAAGTGCGAACCGTGTCACCGTGGCTAGACGTTTCCCATGGCAGAGACGAAACGAAGAAGAGGGTCAAACGAATACAGTAGACGTCGCGATTTTCCTCGGCGTTCGATTAGCGCCGCTGAGAAACAGCGAGAGCGTATTATGTCACAACTGCTGGTTGCAGTGGCAAGGTAGAGCCAGGCCGTGAACCTAAGTAAGTGCAGCAGCCGCGCCGCGCCGGCACGTTGCATGGTCGCACGTGACTGGTTAGGCGAGCTATTTTCTGTCGAACAATAGAATTATTCTCTCTGGAACGGGTAAAGGGGCGAGTAAGAACAAAAGACGGACAGGGGGTGAATTCGCAAAAGTTCTATTAACGAAAGTTTCAGATACATAGTTCGCACTCTGCGAAGCCTATTATAAATTTCTGCTGTGCCGAGATACAGCGTGGCAGTACCCTAAATAAGAAATGCATCGGGCATCGAAAATATTAGAAAATGAAATTGTTAACCGAGAAACTTGCAAATCGGCTGATAAATTACCATTAAATAAACGCCAGCGTTGATAACAGTGGCGGAATTAGGGTAACTCGAGGCCAGTGTTTCAAATTAAATCTAAAATATTTACTATTGAATGTTGTATGTAAAATTCGCAGTTGAAAGTTTTACCATTTCGAATGTTTAAAACGAAATGTTGCAATCTAAAGTAAATCCGAAATGAAATGTGTTATTTAAAATTAAGTTTGAAATGAAATGCGGTACCTATTTGGAAGTGAGTTCAAGATAAAATGTGATATTTAAAATTGAGGTGAAAATAAAATGTAGCCTTTGGAATGGATAATTGATTGAACGATGATTCACAGTGCGATTGAACGATTCGAGGGAAAGCTGGGAATAGGTACACTAACATCGAAGGCGTTGATTAAGCGTTCAGGACGAATTCAACGCGAAAGCAATCAAATGGTCAGTCCTCGTGGCCCTACATAAAATCTTCGATCCTCAAATTCAATTAAGAGCGAGCGGACCCTACGGTTGGAGCGTGTACGGAATCGGGACGATAAATAGTCGCTACCAGCATGGCACCCCCGCGGAGATTAAACGGGCCTATGGTCTGTTTCATGCTGAACATTCGCTGGCCATGGTGCCTTCCATTCGAGATTCCGCCAATGTAACCTTAATTCGACCCGACAATAGAAAAATTACGATTATACCGAATTGCAGCGGCAACATTAACGATCTTTCTCAGCACCGTCAGCGAATTTTTACAGATTAACCCCACTGCTCCAAATTTCATTCATAACTATCGATAATCCGTAAATGGAAAACAGCAGAAACATTCTCCAAATTGAAATGTTGATGTTATCGAAATCGAATCTGAATCGAATCCGTCAATTTCTTACGAATGGACAGCTTTATTGATAAAATAACATTGTACATAGTTGGTCACTTAAAAATTAAAACAACACTCTCAGTGCTGGCGGCCGAAGCTTCAGAAGCTTCTCCTATCGCTATAGACTGCCTTCTAAAATTGATTATTACAATATCGCATTTTAAGTGACTTGCTCCTAATATATAAATATAACGCCGTGACATTACGGCCAAGGAATGAATAATTGGGTGAATACCGTGACTTATAAATAATTGAGCGCGCGACGTAAAATATGGATCGACGATCGACGATGACACGGGTAATTCTGGGAGCGGGGATAGGATTTAATTAGGTGCACATTTTACGGCGAGGTTTGTTCGACACGCAACCACAGCAATCGTCATCGCTGCTGGACGCGTCCGAGCAGCTGCAATCCGAACAACCGCAGGATGAAGAGGATCGTTCTGAAACGAAACAAAGATTTTTCAATCACTTTGTTGCCCTAATTAATATTTATAGGTTAGCGGAGCCGGTTAACGTGGGGTGATCAATTGCTGTGCCTCCGGTTTGTCTTCGGGTTGATTAACTTTATATTTATCGAATACGATATATTAAAGCTTTTCATTAAAAAATAAACGCAATAAAAGAATCCGGCTCCACTGTCCCATACCTCCGAAACTCTGATAATTTACATAACTAACGTTTAAATAGTCGAATGTAATTTTTCACTGTTTAATCGACGAAATAACAATATTTCTCACTTAAAATTTTCATTTTGATAAATATTTATTTTATATCGTTTAACATGTTTATAAAACGAAGTTCTCATCGTAATTTCTGTTTTCAGAAGATAAGGACAACGAACCCTTGCTTCTCGATTAAAAAATAACATCCTATAGAATCAATAGAACAGCAATCGTCTAATACCTTTACACCCCGAAATTGGTCTTCAAAACGTATTCTCAAACATGCACCAATCGAAACAACTGTATCTTAACATCCATATATTCTACGAATAATTTATAATTTTCTTAAACAATGTTCCGTAAGAGAATATTGAAACTCACAGTAAGTAATATCGAACATACGTACATATAACAATACTGTATTTGCTAAATAAGCCATCTGGTTTGAAGCACTAATAAATAAATAAGTAAACAAATAAATTAATTGATTAGTTTATTAATTTCTGTCGAATCCTTTAACAAGAACTGATCTTAAATAAAAATCTATCTAAATGTTCAAAAACTTGCATCAACAGAATCGAAACAATTATGGTGAACATTCCAAACAGAATCACAACAGTTTCGATAATGCTCTGACGAATTAAAACCAATGAGATGACAATTCTTTTAACACGGTTAGTCGAATAAGTGGGAAAGAACTCACTCGTCCGACGAGCCGGCTTCTTCCTCGAGTTTTTCACCACGGTGCTCGGTGATTTCTCGGGTTTCAACGTCTTCGAGGTCTTCAAGGTCTTTGAATTCTTCGTGGTTCGTAAGGTTTGTCCTTTAACCTTTCCCTTGCCCTTTCTCCTCTTCGGAGGGCTGGTGCAGTTGTAGCAATCGCAATCGTAAGAGTCGCACTCGGAACAAAAGGAGCTGTTGTCCGAGGACGTGAAAGACGATGATGAGTCTGACGAGTACGATGAGCTGTCGGAGTAGCTGTCCGGTTGGCTGTACACGCTCTTACGACAAAAATTCAACTTCTTGGTCGATTTCTTCGTCGTCGGCCTTCTACAGCAACTGTAACGGACAATTTCGCATTTAACGGTCGTAGTCAATTCGAAATTCGAACTTAACGTGCACTGTTGATTGTTCGGGTCGGAACGACGAAAACAGAATGTCGGAACGGTTTAATTATGTTCGTGCTTTGCGCCACGAGGCAAGTACGAATAAATAATTCTACATTGTTCGACTTAATAAATCTTATTTTCGACGTATACGCGTCCGCGTCTTCGTTCTTGATCGAACTACTATTTCTATTCTATTCCTCTCTAATTCGCACTCAGATCGCGCACAAAAATGGATAATTTGGGCAGAGGGATTTTGTAAAAAAAAAACCAATAATAATATATTCGTTCAAATAAATGATTCATAAATGTATCTTTACAATTTGAACGGATTATTTTCACGGATCCCGTAAACCTAGTGAATGCATTAATATTCAGAGATTCTATTTTTCGAATATTCTGGAAACAGAATAATATTATAAGTAGACAGCAGATTTTATGGGAAAAGTGTGTATTTAACACTAGGTTTGTGTCAGCTGAGAATGTAGAGAAAATAATTAGACTGCGGGTTTTTATGGAATTTTCCATTTTCAGTGCTTCATTATGAAATATTCAGTTGGAAGAACAATTTACAACGTTGATTAGGAAATTCCTTGCCGCGTAACTAAATTGAAAACGTTATTGATTTTTGGTAATATGAATGCTTCTTTGGGGTTCATTTCGCGCGGGCTATAAATGCATAAAAATCCGCGGTCTAGTCATAAGTAATTGTCAATTACTTATTTGAATTACAATTACAATTTGGGAAGAGGAGATACGATTATAGTTATATAATACTTTATATTTTTTATAGTTTTGTCAACAATTATAAAAACGAGACGCAAGGCTCGAATAATCGTATCTCCTCTTCCCAGATTGTCCATTTTTGTGCGCAATCTGAGCGCGAATTAGGGAGAAATTACTGTATTTACAAGCGTATTTCATTCTTAACCGTTTGGGTTCCAGGGGTCGTTGAAAAAACACGGTCGAAAAACGCCGAACAACGCGATAGCACTTGTCTCAATATGCGCACAATTAGAGTTTATAAATATTTCAAATTCTATTCAATAAAAATTATTGAGAAGATGACAATGAAATGCAAATGGTGTTAGTTGTATTATTTACATTTTAAAAAAGCAGCTACGCGTCAGTAAAGTTAAGCGCACCATAGCGTTCAAATGTTCGGAAACTTTTCGACACAAAATGTAAATTGTGCGATCATGCTGCTTAGGACTCAAACGGTTAACCAAATTCAAGAAGGAACACACTTTCGAATCTTGCAATGATATTCCAAACAAGTACCGTTTATTTCATTTCAAGCAACAGTTGTGCAAAATTCGTCAAACTCTCACCTCATTTTTTACCGATGTTTCTGCTACAACTAACTCAGCTGAAATATTCTCTGGTTGTAGGCGTCGATTAAATGATTTCCACCTGTTCTCTCTCTCTCTCTCTCTCTCTCTCTCTCTCTCTCTCTCTCTGCTGTTTAACACCGTGTCACGTGACGTTCGAATTTCTAACTGTACGAAGCTCGAGATTAAAATTTCGATTCCACAAAACGATGCTCGTTTCTCGCAATCTGTTGCCCAAGTGTACCTCGCGAGCCACACTTTCGGTTTTTATACAAACGGTTTTTGCACCTTCTGGGGTTCACCTTCCGGCAACCGTTTCTGTCCTTTGTGTACGATACGCTGTACACGCTGATTGAATCATTCGGCCAATTTCGACTCTAAACAGAGACAATTTCCAACGATCATCGTGCGTCAGTTTCAAATTCTCTTCCATCTAAACGGATTTCGAGAAGTCAGAGATTACAAAACTTCATATTGTCGACGAATAATTGAGTTCCCCGAATCAGATACGATAATTTTTAATCGTACGTAGGTGTCCAAAGTTCCCTAAAAATTAAGGGTCGCTTTATTAAAGGAGTTATTGTATCGTACACGCGCGAAGTCGAAGAAAAAAGTCCGTGTTACGGGTCATTATGCAAGCCGAGCGTTGATGCAATTCAGATCGGATCGGCACAGAACCGATCCCTGGGAAATCTTGAATTACACGTTTGATATGTATCGACCTCACTCGGGGAATTGAAAGGGCGACAGGCTCTTACGCTAATCTCTTTCTCTCCCTTTCTCTCTCTTTCTCTCTCCCCCTCTCTGTCTCTCTCTCTCTCCCTCTCCATCTCTCTTTCTTTCTCTTTCTCTCTTCCTCTCCCTCTCTCTTTCTCTCTCTTCTTCTCTCTGTCTTTTCTCTCTTTCTCTCGCTCTCTCTCTCTCTTCTTCTCTCTGTCTTTTCTCTCTTTCTCTCGCTCTCTCTCTCTCTCTGTCTTTTCTCTCTTTCTCTCGCTCTCTCTCTCTCTCTTCCTCTCGCTCTCGCTCTCTCTCTCTCTCTTCCTCTCGCTCTCGCTCTCTCTCTCTCTTTCTCTCGCTCTCTCTCTCTTTCTCTCGCTCTCTCTCTTTCTCTCTCTCTCTCTTTCTCTCTCTCTCTCCCTCTTCCTATCCATCTATCCTATCTTTCTTCATCCACGATTATGGCAACACGCCGATCGGCCTTGCTCTTCCTGCAAGTTCCCACATTTCTCTATGCATTTTAAGCATTACACCGATCTAAAATCGGTGCACTCATAGTATTAAATTGAACCGCTCAAGAGATGCCAGCAGGAGACGTATGCTAGATAAATTTAAAGAGAACAACGCTTGAAAAGAGTATGTTTGAAGAAAGTGCGTCAGAAATGCGAGGAAATGCATCTGAAAATTTAGAAACGGAGTATCCCGTCCGTCCAATAAATCAAGATCTAGGCGACTAGCGTCGTTTAATAACGATTGATTGAAGGCTGTAATCGAGCCGGATACAATTGATATTCAAATAAATTTCACTCGTAGATGAAAGACCATTATTTGAAGGACTAGAAGAAAAGTGTGACAGTGATTAAGAAACGGCGCGATTTATGAAACGGCCAAGAAATATATTTGAGCGAGGCGTGCGGCTGAAAAGCCGCTGAAAAGAAAAAACGAGGATAAAAGATTCGTCGATCCCAGTTCGTCCAGGATCGTGATTTTTCCGCGAGACGGGGTGGATAGGCGCCCGCCGACGGAACAGGTACATACAATGGGATTACCGGCGACAGATTAACGGAACAATGGAAATATCGGACGCGCGGCCTATTGTCGCATCGATCTTCAATCTGTCACGCGGGCCCGGCGTTAAAACGCTAAACAAAGCGATCGCGTCTGCGGATGACAGGACAGGATCCGAACGCATGAATGGACGGTCGCGAGCGCGAGCATTATAATGGACATTCCGGAGCAATGGCGGCTCGGGTGCGAGTGTCCGCGGCCGGTTGCATAAGCCTGCTCGATGTCCTCTCGTTAATGGGACCCCGTGACTTCTACCCGTTCCTCGACAAGTGGCCCTTTGCATCTCCAATGGGACTCGAACGAGACGATCGTTCCTGATCGCCGATTCCGAAGGGAAAAGTGATCGTGACGCAGTCGCGAATTAAGTAACTAATGGTGGAAATAATTTCTTGTTTTTTTGGTGTTTCGAACTCTGCAGTTTAATCGCTTGGATACGTTCATGTTAATTAATTGCGAAGTCGAAAGATTCGTAGCGTCGATTTTTTACTTGAATTTGATCACATATGCGGTTCAATCGAATTTTCGAACTTTCCACAGCTTAAATAAAAGCTTTAACTCTCAGATACTCTTGTCGGTCCGTGGGACCGCTGCTAATTACTTATTCATCTGTTGTGATAATATAATTGTAAGAAGAATTGTAAAAAAAAATAACGTGCGAAATAAGAAGAATTAATTTTGATTTTTTAAATAACGCGTTTAGCAGTCAGTGAGACCGCTAATAGTACTTGTGTGAGTTTTAGTGGGTTTACTAATTAAGGGTTAAGATAAAATTATTCAGATTTACGGGAAAATGAGATCGAATCGAAAACTCCGAAAACCTCGAACGGTAGTCCGGAGAAAAATAATTGGACTTTATGTTGCTTCGAAACAATTTTAGGATACGTTCCTGTGGAGATGTTCAAACTTTCGAGAGTTCGAATTGAAACTGAAAGATTACACTTGGCGAAAAACTCATGCAGATCTGCGGATAAGGACAAGATCATGTCGAAAAATTGCGAAGTATAACAGGAAGATAAATGGTTGAAGAAACTCAGATACAACAAACCATAAGTAATTGTTTAAAAACAATGTGGGTCCCCGAACGAAGGCACGAAAAGTTGTCCCACAGCAAATTGCTCGGTACACCATGGAACAGAGTTGATTTAGGGCGGATCCCCTAATCGCCGCTCGCACGAGCGTAATCGGGAAGAAGAGGAGAACGTTCGGAGATAGGTTCCAGCTCTCTCTCTCTCTCTCTCCTTCTCCCCTCCTCTGTCTCTCTCTCTCTCTCTCTCTCTCTCTCTCTCTCTCTCTCTCTCTCTCGTTGCTCCCCCAAGTCCCCCGTTTTCTTACGTCATCCTCATCGCTGAGTCACATCGCTTCCCCTCTCCACGGGGTCCCATAAACCTCTGCCACCCTCGGTCATACACCTTAAGAAGGCCGACTCACCCCTCGACGATGTCGAGATGGGAGAGTGGCAGGATTGCTTGGCCATCCGTTCGTGGATTATCGGATTTTGCAGCTTGTTTCGACAACTGAGATCGTTGCTTACCAAGAAATCAGAACACGTTACTCTTCGATAAGATTTCAGTATGACTTTTGGTTTCGTGCTGGAAATCGTGCTGGAGAATTGAATTTGAGGAGTGATTAACGCATTTCCAACGTTAAGTTTTCGCAGAAATCACTTTGCACAGTTTTGTCGTTACAATTGACGTTTGTGTTGTCGACTGTAAAAAATATATAAAAATGTATAAAAGAAAAAAGAAAAGAAAACAAAAAATTCAAGAAAAAAACGAGTAAAAATAGGAAAATGATTAAGCGAGTGGGGGTAAATGCCCATAATGATCGCTTATTGATGCTTCCAAAATAGTCACCAATGTAGAAACAAAACAGAGACCTCTCGCTAAGTCATCTTCAAGTAGAAAAGTTCGATGCATACGAGATTCCATAGCGAAAAAGCTAATTTCAGGGGCCAAAAAGATTACATGCCGAAAGTGTGGTTCAAAAACGAAGCAATGACATCACATAGGAACGAAAGGAATGAGGAGGATGATGGAAGGGATCGGAATGGAACGATAGGGCCGGCTGGGATGAGGATCGAGACCGGATGCGAGCGTCTCCGCCGAGATAAAGATAGCTCCCGGACCTTTTTGTTGCGTTCCCCGGCTCATAAACGTCATCTTCCTATTACCGAGTTCCACGTAAGCCCATAGAAAGTCCTTTGATGCTCGACGGGACCTCAAAGGACTCCCTCGACGAAGGAATCCGCTCGAGATCCAGCCGAGACTGCTGAAAAATCGGCTGGCCGTCTAGCAAGCGCTTTCGCGACCGATTCGCCCTGTCTAGATCGTTTCAATTTATTCCAAATCCCTCTACACATCATAAAACAGAGTCTGCCCTCTAGTAATGCGTTATATCGGCACAACTAATGACATTATTCCACTCCCGATACACCCTAAATACGTCTATCAGTCATGAAATAAAATTCATCTTCTACTGGAGCCGCCAAGGAGCAGAGGTGTGATCGGTACCAAAGATCCAAAGCAGTTCTTAGATGGAACGAAGCTTCCGTTTTACGTTACATTGCACTCGACCTAGAGTTTTCATAGACAAGAGTAGGACAAGAATTATTCCATCCTCAATTCATCGTAAAGTTATGCATCGATCGTGACACAAATTTCAATCTCAAGAGGCGCCAAGGAGTGGAGATATAATCGGTACTCGGTGCCAACGATTCAGCCATTTCCAAGTCAAACGGGACCACCATTCAATTTTAAGTTATACTCGACACAAAACTAGTATAATCGAGCTACGATCAGCTTCGTTCCACAGCCGATTCCTCTCGATTTTTCGATCAATCAGAAATCATTCATCCACTGTCTACTCGAAGGAGCAAAGACGCGATCGAAAGATCGAAGACAAGAAGTCCCCATTTGTTCGGCTCGATAATCGGTTAAAAAGTCGATGGAGCGATTAGCGGTTCCCCGTCGACGATTCGGCAGAGGAATGTCTCCCCTGCAGCCCCCCTCCCCCTACCCCCGCCATCCAGCGACTTGTGTAATCCTAAATGAATAAGCGTGTAGGTGCAGCCGGGGAATTGCGCCAGCGAAGCACGCTCGGACCTTTCGATCAACGACACGTGCAACTCGCTCGACAATAACCACGGGCCCGGCGCATTGGTGCCATAACGGGGGGTGTCATAACCCTTGCCGATCGTTGCGCAAGTTCGCCGAGAACGATCGTATCGGCGCTCTATCCCGGGTTAGACTCGTTTAGCCGAGACAAATTCACGGATCGCTTCACACCGGATCGATACGCGTGTGTATGCACGATGCCGATCGTATCGTCGCGTTCCACGACGTTGACGAAACCAAGGGAAACATTTTTCAGTCCCCCGTATTGCCGTTCCAGCAATAGCTAGTAATTTATTGAACACCATGGAACTGCGGCTGATGAATCACATGGAAATTAATTTAGAGAACTAGCTGGCTATTATGAGTTCGATTGGAAATTAGTTGTGGTCAAAACAATTAGAAGAAAAAAAACGAATAAAAATTGCTTTCTTTTAAAAGGACGGCTTTGCAGTAAATTATTGGATAAATTGATTCAATATTTATATTATAACAAATAGAAATTGAAATTTCGATCTCTGAAGCTTTGTGATTTTTGTAAAATAGTTTTTGGTATATAAATTTGGATGTGAATTACTAGTAATAATGTATATAAATACCAGTTAATGTCATTTGGTCGATCGACCAATGCTACAACTTCGGAATACCGTTAACAATGCTAAATAAACGATTTAGTTAAATAAATAGGTGGGGTGGTATCTCCTCTCATCTTTCAAAAATTGTGAGCAAAAGTGGCGCCGCTGTGGCGATTTTTGGAAGCTCCGTTCGGGATCTGTACAGCGCCAATTAGGGTAGTGGCAAAACACACAAACAATTAGACAAAATCGACTGTCAGTAAAATTACTGACAAATGGCTAACAGTATGAGCGCTTTGCCGCAATACTAATTAGCGCTGTACAGACCTCGAACGGAGCTTCGTTTATTCTTCACGAGAGGCGCCGCTGTCACCCACATGTGTATGCAGAAACAATTTAAAATTTTAAAAAGCCATACCTAGATCGCCAATTAATTGCTGCGAAATTAGAGCATAGAAAAGAGAAAAAAGTAACGGTAATGCCGTCTATATGTACGTATGTAAATCTACAATAACGGGGTTACATTTTACATCAAAGATTTCAAGAAGAGTTTCGCCTGGTGTACTCTCTACGGTAGTGTACTCTCTATTCAAATTAAAAGTAAGTATAGACAAATCGAAAAGCATTTTTACTCATTCACAATGTGGCTTGTACTTGCACGTTACAAATGATTCAGATTCGAAACTTAATCTCTCTCTCTCTCTCTCTCTCTCTCTCTCTCTCTCTCTCTCTCTCTCTCTCTCTCTCTCTCATGAAATTCTAAACTACAAACCCGACAATTTTTCATTGAAATTTAAACTGAAAACGAAAAATTTGTTTATACATTATAAAAACGTTTAGTAGTTGATAAACGAGAAACGATTCAAACATGTTAAATGTGATGAAAACCTGTATTAAGAAGCCTGCACAAAAACGCAGTGGAAATCTACGTTTGAAGAAATCAGAAAATAAAAGGTCTACATCAAAAACACTTCCAGGTACCATATTCTGAATAATATTAGTTGATAGGTATAAAGCGTTTGAAAATATATTAATTTATGATATTCGTGTCTAGTGTTTCAATATCCTGTGAGTAGTCCAGAAGATCACAGAGTGTACGTTTGGGGTTTAGCAGAACATGGGGCTCTTGGAATACTGTCTCACACCTTACACATAAAAGGTATCCATTATCTGTCGAAGCCGAAACGATTAGCTTTTGGGGAAAAACACAATGTGACTAATATAGCTTGTGGTTACGGTTTCACTGCTTTTGCAGTATCTTCCACAGATAAGAATATTTTATATGGAAGTGGAATAAACACAGACTCCCAACTAGGTAAAAATTATATTTCAATTATGAGAGCTTCACACATGATTTTTTTATATGCTAAAATTAATGACTAATATGTTAACAGGTTTCAATGAATTAGACCTAAAGTTTCCAAATGATTTAATAATCGAACCAAGGCCTATTATATTACCACTTAAAGAATCTTCGACTAAAGTTATTGATATTGCTGCTGGTAGAGCACACTTGTTGGTATTAACGAATGAGGGCTTATTCACATTAGGAAATAACGCGTACGGACAGTGTGGTAGACCCATAATATTGAAAGAAGAATACAATAAAAGTAAAGTGGTTCATCATATATCCGATATTAAGGGTAAAAAGATAAAAGCTGTTACAGCTGGTCAAGACCACAGGTATAATATATAATAATTAACCAAGATCAATTTAATTGTTATATATTTGAATATCCTTCCTTATTGCTATATGATAGCATACTCTTGACAGAATCTGGTGAAGTATATACTTTTGGCTGGGGTGCGGATGGACAGACTGGCTTGGCACATTACCAAAATGAATATAGACCAACTTTGGTGAAAGGAGATTTGGCTGGACAGCATATTATAAAAATTGCTTGTGTTGCAGATTGTGTATTAGCACTCAGCGGTATCTCCAATATTCATGTATTAATACTATGATAAATTGTATATTTACATGATATTCGAAATCATTGAATTATAGTACACTATGATTGTTTATAGATTGTAATATAACTATGTAATTACAGACAAAGGAAAAGTATTTGGCTGGGGTAACTCCGAGTATGGACAATTATTTACTACCGGTGAGAATCAACAAATAAACATTGCCACAGAATTAAACGCATTGGAACATCTAGGTCATATTACTGACATTGCAAGTGGTGGTTGTTTTTGTATGGCTTTAAACAGTATGTACTTGTATATAATAATTTTTGTATTATATTCTTACATTGTAATAATTTCAACGTGTGTTGTAGATGTAGGGGATGTTTATGTATGGGGATATGGTATTCTTGGTTTTGGTCCTGAAGTTAAAAGTGCTTTACAACCAACGCAAATTCCACCAATTTTATTTGGTAGAAATGCATATGAAAAAGATACGAAAGTAAGCAAAACCATATTTAAGTACAAAACCAAATATAAATACTAATGTATAAAATAGTTACATATGTGTTTTTCATAGGTAATTAAAATATTTTGTGGTATGAGTCAGCTTGCTGCCTTAACAAATATAGGTGATTTGTATATGTGGGGTTGTAATAAATTTGGATCACTAGGATTGGGATACATTAAAGATCAATATTTTCCAATAAAGGTAAGTTAATTATATTAAGAAAAAAGAACCAAGTGATATGTATATATGTGTATGTACACATATATGATATGTATATATGTGTATGTACACATATATGATATGTATATATGTGTATGTACACATATATGATATGTATATATGTGTATGTACACATATATGATATGTACAAGTGTATGTACATATACATATAATATAAACATAACAATACAATTATATTATAGGTGACTGTCGGAGCTCAAGTAAAGCGAGTTGCATGCGGCATAGATCATACAGTAGCTCTCTGTAAACCTTTTATTTAATGCATTTACATTTTATTTTGTATGCAAGGTTAACACATTATTTGTAGAAAAACAAAATATACTTGTTCAGTCAATATGCTATGGAAGAATTGTGAATATAAGTTTTTCGTTATAAATATGCGAGTCAAATTTTATAATTGGCTACACATGTTATTACATAAACACTAGCATACTTAATATAAAATATTTTTTAAACATTATCTGAATATTTGTTATTCAGAAACGTATGATAGATGATTATTTGGTTCATGAAGCTAAGGATATGATCGTTATTTTATAAATCGAGAAATGTTAAAAGTACAATAAGAATAAACGAACTGAATGCAATTCTGCTTGCTCCGCTGACGCATGTTAGATCTTCATAGGATATCGTATACTTTATTGAAGTCGAAAATCGACACTTCTGACGATCTAAAAGAAAAAAACAGATTAGCATTACGGACTGTAATTCTATATTCTATATTCTTATTTGATTTTCTTGGGTATCAACTATTTGCGTCTACCTGTGCATGATGTTGAAAGATCCGTGGAATTCGCAGTTACAGATAAATAAAGCGGTGGACAGGCATGAATAAAAGTAGCACTCGCACAAGAAATTGTAACATTGTATGCTTCGTTAATTATCGACCCGCATATTACATTTTGTGTGTTATTAACATACAACGGTTCTCGTGCCGAGCATATAGTCAGTTTATCCAAACCGGTGCCTTGAATCTAAAATGATTTACATGTCGAAGTATTGATTACGGTTATGTATATGACTAAAGATCTTACCTTTATTGTGGAAGAGCCTTCAGTTTTGAAAAAGTAATTAGGATGTAATCTATACAAATTAGTACTATTTGGTGTAACGTAATCAACGTATGCATTAGAAGATCCACTCGGAACGTAATCTGAACCACATTGTGTATTAATAAGGCGTTTGGGAACTGTAAAAGATACATTTTTGTTGTTAATATAGTAATTCGAAATTCACTGTATCAATTTCACTAATTCTTTCACCTTGTTTTATCCTGGAAACCAAATTGTTTATCGGTGACAAAGCTTCTTCTGTATCACCGATACCGATAGTGAACAAATCTGTTGCAGGATTTTTAACGAAATCGGACCACGTATCTTTTGATCCNAAGTTAATTATATTAAGAAAAAAGAACCAAGTGATATGTATATATGTGTATGTACACATATATGATATGTATATATGTGTATGTACACATATATGATATGTACAAGTGTATGTACATATACATATAATATAAACATAACAATACAATTATATTATAGGTGACTGTCGGAGCTCAAGTAAAGCGAGTTGCATGCGGCATAGATCATACAGTAGCTCTCTGTAAACCTTTTATTTAATGCATTTACATTTTATTTTGTATGCAAGGTTAACACATTATTTGTAGAAAAACAAAATATACTTGTTCAGTCAATATGCTATGGAAGAATTGTGAATATAAGTTTTTCGTTATAAATATGCGAGTCAAATTTTATAATTGGCTACACATGTTATTACATAAACACTAGCATACTTAATATAAAATATTTTTTAAACATTATCTGAATATTTGTTATTCAGAAACGTATGATAGATGATTATTTGGTTCATGAAGCTAAGGATATGATCGTTATTTTATAAATCGAGAAATGTTAAAAGTACAATAAGAATAAACGAACTGAATGCAATTCTGCTTGCTCCGCTGACGCATGTTAGATCTTCATAGGATATCGTATACTTTATTGAAGTCGAAAATCGACACTTCTGACGATCTAAAAGAAAAAAACAGATTAGCATTACGGACTGTAATTCTATATTCTATATTCTTATTTGATTTTCTTGGGTATCAACTATTTGCGTCTACCTGTGCATGATGTTGAAAGATCCGTGGAATTCGCAGTTACAGATAAATAAAGCGGTGGACAGGCATGAATAAAAGTAGCACTCGCACAAGAAATTGTAACATTGTATGCTTCGTTAATTATCGACCCGCATATTACATTTTGTGTGTTATTAACATACAACGGTTCTCGTGCCGAGCATATAGTCAGTTTATCCAAACCGGTGCCTTGAATCTAAAATGATTTACATGTCGAAGTATTGATTACGGTTATGTATATGACTAAAGATCTTACCTTTATTGTGGAAGAGCCTTCAGTTTTGAAAAAGTAATTAGGATGTAATCTATACAAATTAGTACTATTTGGTGTAACGTAATCAACGTATGCATTAGAAGATCCACTCGGAACGTAATCTGAACCACATTGTGTATTAATAAGGCGTTTGGGAACTGTAAAAGATACATTTTTGTTGTTAATATAGTAATTCGAAATTCACTGTATCAATTTCACTAATTCTTTCACCTTGTTTTATCCTGGAAACCAAATTGTTTATCGGTGACAAAGCTTCTTCTGTATCACCGATACCGATAGTGAACAAATCTGTTGCAGGATTTTTAACGAAATCGGACCACGTATCTTTTGATCCGTATGCCATAACAAGAAATGTTGTGTCTAGGTAGAAATGAACGAATTAGATCAATATGTATCAATGTTGACTTTATGATTCATTGTATCTAAAAATAGACAGATAAGAATGTTTCTACAGATATGTGTCATCGCTTACCTGGTATATGCTCCTGCATTTGTAATATGTTCTGCAGACAGTATTGTTTGTCACCAGCATTAATAACTGAAGTATACGGAATAATTAAAACAATGTCAGATCTTGCACCTCCTTCCCCTCGCTTGCGTTCATTCTCCAATTTATTCATCAAGCGATTCTGTACTTTGGTAATTGACTTCGACAAATCGAATGTATGTGTAACTGCAAACAATTCTCCACACTTGAACACTCGTTACTTGTCCAACTTGGTTTATTTACATGAATAATTTGAAATACGTACGGTTGTCGTAGCGTGACGAATTGTAGGCATAGAAATCCTGAATACTAAATGTACTGTTTATAATTTCAGATCCATCGTAACCATTCATTAGGGTGAAATTACTATTAAAAGGATTTAGCTCTATGCTCTCTAATAATGTTCTGGAAGACACAATTTTCTCACTTTAATATAATGTGCATCTTAACAAATATCTCGTATGGTAAACAATATAGGAACTCACGCGAGAATAGGCTGTATAGCAGAGAATGCCCAATTTGTATCCAAAATTATAGTTAAATCAACATTCGTTTCATGAAAATTATTTGAATCTGACTTCTCGAACTGGAGGTCCATATTCATAGACGCTGCAAAAGTAGAGAAATTAAAGAAACATTCAAAGTTTTTCAAGAACTGGTCAAAACTGATATTGTAAGATTAATACTTACGAACGTATGTTATCAAATCGTTTACCGCTTGTACTGAAAACTGTTTAATTTTTTCAAGATCGAGCGTTGCTGCTGCTATATAAGTGTTTAACACTAGACTGGCACTATACACCTAGGAAAAAATATATTGAGAACATTGGCATAGCATTAAAAAAAAAAATTTTTTAGAAACTTCACCTGTTCAATCATCGTTTCGTTGGGAGCAACAGCTGGGAACAATGATCTGCGATTGGCTGCTCTGATTGACGGATCAAAGAATCCTCGCTCGCTGTAGTACATATCAAATACTTGTGACAGTCTTAAACTGGGTATTTTTGAATACCATTTTTTAATTTCATTAGCCAAAATTAAACCATCTAAATCGCCTCTAATTTCTGGTGTTGTCATTTCAAATGTTTCATTGGAATCCAAAAAGAACCACCGTGGCAAAGCAGTAGAGTTCCAATGACCAGTTGTCCCGACGCTAACTTTTGATCTTATTGGTCCTTGTATTAAAACAACCTCTGCCAAGTCCCCTGTAGAAAATAAATAGGAATAAGAAGAGAGAACTTACGTTAATTGTTTGTAGTTGGGAAGATCAATCTTACCAGCCAAAGTAGCAAACCATTTATTGTCTACAGCAACATCTGATAAATTCACACTATATTTCTTTGCTAGCTCAGGTTGTAGATTATGTAGCATAAATTTTTCTGGTTGTGTGGCAGCTGCTATTGCAGAAAGAACTAAACCAGGAGAAACAACGCCCCACCTAAAATATATTGAATTAGAATAGTTTGTGCCTTAAGTATCTTGTAGATTAGTTTATACTCGTTTCAGAGATACATTAACATACGGGGTCTTTATGACTCCATTCTGTATAGGGCATCTGCTTTGTGGTGGTAGTAGCAGCTTCGAGGCGTCTGGATGATTCGGTGGTAATTCTGGATATAATGAATTTGGATCAACTGTAACTTTAGCAGTTTCGTCTTTTGGATTCGACATGGTTTTTCTATAATTTCATGAATACGTGTTACTTTGTTGTCTCAGTATATCTATTCCATTACGTTGCAATTTTGTCACTTACATTTCATCGGATGTTAACGTTTCCACATCGTCGGTATTAACATCGTCAGTTTCCATATCACTGGTACCTTTGCTTGTCACTTCATCATAATTTGAAAGACTTCTTGAATGTCTTGGATTTACGTATTTGCAAACTATTGCCTCATCTCCTCTTTCAAACATTTCTATGCTATCAGATAACATGAAGTGTAATGTACACTGTAAAACGATGATATAATATGAAATAATTTAAAACCATTGAGTAACAAGCGAATACACTACAAAAATTGTAGTTTGTTAGTTGTACCCTTTCAATGTTTGTGATGCTATTGTTAGGAAACTGCAGAGCATTTCCTTGTATAAATTGAAGCGTTTGAGAATGGCGGAAAAATTGAAAACCAAACGGCACATAAGGTGTCACTCCATCTTGTATGGGAACCGAGGGATTCGGTACAATCCCATCTTGTCTGAAACTAGAAGTTTAAAATATTAATCGAATTGTTGTTAATCGTATCTTGCGTTAGCAACATAATCACCAATCTTACCGATGCAAAAGAGCAACAGATAGAGTTCTCAAATCCATATTAAGACCTTCTACATTTTCGATTTTCCGTAATATCGAAATGAATGTGTTTAAAGTATGCGGCAATCTGTTATTCCTTTGTAAAAGAAACTTATTATCGTAACATTCTTTAAGAGAAGGCGACAAATTTCGAATTGCATTTTCTTGTCCCCAGACACCTGATAGATGCAAAATTCGAATTTAGAATGAAATAAAAGTCGTGCTGCTTGTACTATTTAATCTAATTCCGTTAGAATACTCACTTATTATAAAGGCACTCAGGCAATAGAAAAGCAATAACTTTGCCATTTTTCTAGATCTGAAAAATGAAACTTATATGATTATGTAAGACAATTAAACCGTATTTGAAGGAATGGAGTACGTACAATAATTTGTAGGTGAAGACTTTTAGCACAGAATGAATGATACTCCTTCAACTCTATATTCCATAGTATAACACCACACCTATCTGCAGATATAGTAGTATCTATCATCACTAAACTGATAAGATAGTATGATATGCCATGAGTAATAGATACCCCACCTTGTTACAGGTATTCTGTAAGTAATATTTTTACTTGTTACTTCGTATTTTATCTTTATGTTCTTAAGAAGCTTTGCTTGCATATAATTAAAAATATAAGAAACAGCAATCATTTCTTTAATGTACTAAATGTAACATAAGTTTCAATTAAAAATTATATTTTATGTAATAGGATAACAACAGCAGGTATATATATACTCCCTTCTTTTTTCTTATTACAGGAATTGAACTTTTTACTAATGATTATCTTATCATGATTAAAATACGATATAATCTTTACCATCCTTCTGTGATTGTGAGTCACTGAAAAGATTCAGATAAACATCAAAAGCACGACACTCTTGCAAGATTTCAAATAACAGAATTTTCTCTAACACAAATATGGCGATTAACAAAATTGTGTTATGGATAGTGTACTTCGGTAAGTTAATAAATTCTAGTATAAACTCGTTCATTTGTACAACTGATAGTAAATCAATGAAGTAACGATTCTTAAATACGTTTTTCTTATTGTGTAGAACTGCAATTAACATGGTCTCAAATAATTATACCAGATCAACTCAAAGAATGTTATACAAACAGTACTGCATTCAATTCTTCGCATCCGTTAAATTTACGTGTATTAATAGATATCATACAGAAACTGGAGAAACAGTCTCACAGAACAATGGATATGAGAGTATTATCATCGTCGTTACTCCACAGGTTGTTGAATATAATGAAACAGTATTTAGACCTTGGTATTGAATTCACTATTTTAAAGACAACTAGTTGATACTGTTCTATAAATTGCAGGTTTAAATTTGATGGCGTTGAATACCAGCAGAATGTGCAAGCTACAGATGGAGTTCTTCCCTTCCGTGCAACTGGATCGCAACGTGTCAAGCAAAGGCTGGTTGAAGAACTGATACCAGACAATGGAGAAATTTTACCAGTTGATATACTCTTACCCGTGGAACGTTGTATGCTTCATCGAGCTATTTCCAACACGATTCTGCAGCCTGATAGTCAATGCAGAAATGAATTTTGCAAGGAACATACTGAAACTGCAAAACTATCTGGTAATTTTGTAATAGAACGTAAAATTATTTAAAGTAACGTACACAAAAAGATCCATTGTACAGGTAAACTTACCAATACATTAAATTATCCGAAACAACAAGGAATAATTTTAACACCATATGGAACTGTTGCTCCTGGAACAATTATAGGAGCTATTGCTGCATCCCTGCAACGCCAAAATGTTCCATTAAATCAATTAATTACTAGTTTGGAAGCACCTTCTCTAGGTATAGAATTCCTATATTATATAGATGCCAGTGTAATTTCGTACCGCATTAGAATATCCTTGATCTTGCAGAAACAAATTCTACAATTGTACAGACACCAAAATACGATGATGAAGAAATTGATTTTATTCTACCAAAAAGCGAAATGAGCCACGAATTGTCTATGTGGTATCGTAATTTAATGACTTCGTACGCAGAACTGGATAATGTATGGTTGACTACAATTGCGGGTACAATATATATGTAATCACTTTAATATTTCCATTTTTATTTGGCAACATTGACTTATAAAAAGACAATGTTATCTTAGGTGAATTGGCAGAGATGGCTGTATATCAGGGACCTTACGTATGGCAAAATATGAGCCTCGGTGCAACTGGATTTTGGAATAATACAATACGGCCAACTGTTTATTATCTCACAAGTTCACATACAAATTTTGATGCTACTAGAGCTGAATTATTAGGAGGCATCGATGGTAATCTGTTAAAATATATTAAGACTATATATACATATATTAAATTAAAAAATAACTTGATTATCTATGTTATTTATAACTTATCTCAGGTTTGATTATCGCAAATAATTTGCATTCTTGGATTCAAGACTTTTACAACCTTCGACTTAGTCAAATCTTGGACATGTATTATTCATACAAGGGCATTGCTTTTAATACAAATATTAAAGCATGCAACAGAGCACAGAATTTTCTACATGTTGTATCGAATACTACACTAAATGAACAGGTTTGTAGTGAAATTCGAAGTATGAAAACTCAATCCTAATTCATAGATATTATTTTCATCAGACTTATGCAGCAGCTAAAATGTTAGGCTATCATAGAAGCATAGCATACGTATCACCCGATGTATTGCAACTTCTGGCTACTTATGCTGTCAAGACATTTTACAGCTACGCAGAGAATCGTTTATTCCCAAAATTGTCGTGTCAACAAGTAGATCCACCACGAGTAGAGGCGTTAATCGTATTCGATGGTGCATGGTCCATAGAATACACAAAGGACTTCCTTGGGTGAGTTTTATTGTATATTGATAGTATTATTAATTTGAATATTACATTCAGCAAAGCTAGTTTTGTTAGAGTTCTAACGCAAGATTTGGATGTATCAATGTATGGATCAAAAATGGGTATAATACATGGTATGTCAGGAGAATGGTTGCTGAATGTTACAAACAGCCCATCTCTTGTATTCAACACACTGAATAATTTTACAGAGGCCTCGTGTATGTATTCTAATAGAAAAATCTTATACGTATCACTGAGGAATATTTGAAATCGTGTTTTTCAGGGCCTACACAATTTAATTATATTCAAGTTTTGGAAACAATTTTTAACCACTTGAATGAAACATGGGAAAACAACCGGAAACAACATATAACTGGAAGTCTAGGTCAAGTAGTTGTTTTACTGATTCCATTAGGCTACATGTCCAATAATGATAAACAGTCTACGATAAATATATTGCATAAAATAAGGGACATTCATCCTGGTAGAGTTTATAAAATTTTAAATATTGTTGTGGACTAGAAACGATAAATTTCTAGTATTCTTTCTCCTCTGCATTTCATAGATGTTCACTTTCTATACTGTACATCACGATCCAATGCCAATTTATTTAAGCCATTTATTTTGACGGCTGAAGATTACTTAACAAAGGACACTAATGTTGACACTATTACTCAATATCTGAAGACTAGTATGTATAAAGTATTAATTTCATTAGAACAATTAATATCAACAATATGTTATGATATGAGTGTAAAAGATTTTTATGTTACTTTTCAGTACCACGGATAATAAGGCCCTTAATGCTTCTCGACTCAAATAACCCACGTAATATTACCCCTTGGATGGAAGATTATATAAGTCCTTCGAGATCTACTACATATAGATTACACTCGCAGTGGAAACGAAATATTAAAAAAATACCAATTTCAGTTAGTATCCCAAAGAATCCGTTAATCAGAACTTTATCCCTCTTTGTGTCAATGTCATTGAGTTACCAATTGTTTAGATTCATACTTTTGGCTATGGTACAATGAAAGTATGTTCGTGGGTACAATTTAACGAAAGAGAAAATGAAAGAGAAAATTATTATTGTACTGAATTAACTGGTCTCAAAGAAATTACTTTACCTAACGATTTCAAATGCGATGGTACCACTCCGTGTCCCAATATGTACTTTTGTGTACAAAATGTAACATCTTCCTACAAATGTGCAGGTAAATATTGATTTAATTGTCAAACATAAGAAAAAGCGTTTACTATAAGGGTACACGTTTTTATTACAGAGATAGATTGCCGTACACCGGATCAAGTAAGATTCATCATAAGGACACAGAATGTTTATTACAAAAATTCTGTTGATAAAAAATCAATGCCGATCTCATTAATCTTTGTGCTCTTATTGGCGTATCGTGCATTAACGTAAACTTTAAAAAAAACCACATCAAATCTTGAATTTATTTTTTGTATGTATATGTATATCTGTGTACGCTTTTTCTACTATTCTAAAAGATACAAGCTAACAGAATTATTCCAAACATTATACATATAACAGTTTGAATATGATAGAAGTTTATTACATTAAAAAAATACAAATTCTATTCTTACTTACAATCGTTCGGATAGTTTAATAATTGTGATATGCATACTCGTACACGAATTTTATTAGGAATTGAAAGTTGCTTGATGCAGCAAGATCTCCCAATTCAGGCTCTACTAGTAGCCTATCAATTGGTGGAAGAAACTCTTCTGCTACTCCACCTGTAATATAAAAAAAGGAATGTTATGTATAAATTTAAAAGATTTTCTGTGTTTGCTATATTTGAAACAGTTGACTACGTACCCATGAAATGTGTCAAATCCATTAATTTAAAGAAAACTATTTCCTGCACCTGTTGTTCCGGATTCTTTCCTATAGTATTCCACTGATCTCGCTTTGCGGCTCGTGCCCAAATTTTTAACTTCAAAGACTCTGTTTCGTCTTTGTCTTCCACGTATTCAAGCAAATCAAGAGCTTTCTTGAAATCGTATTCATTTGCGTCTACATTGTCTTCAGACGTATATAACTGCACCGATTCCATCATACAAAAGTCAAACATGAAATATTTGATAATGAGAAGAAACTAAGAAACTAACTCTTGCAGGATTCGAGGAAAACTGTTATGTATACCGTGATTAATTCTGTAGGTGTGAATACTCGTAACTTTTCTATATCATAACCATACGTAGTGAGTACGTGGGTTGGTAAGTCTTCTTGATGAGCTATCATCGCCAGTTCGTTATCAATTCTTTCCAAGCGTTGTTGTACTTCTTTCTCAGGATCGTCGGAAGCGAGCAAAGCTAATTTTGCCAAAGAAAGCATGGACTACGATGCGAAAAAATGTTAAGTATCATTGTATGGGAATACAAAAAATAATGTTTATAGTATCGTATACAATGTACTATACATATACAGTGTACTATACATATAGTAAGCTTACCTTCTTGCGAGTAACTAATTCAGTTTCTTCGACTGCCAAAGAATGAAGCGTACTAGCAGCAAACCGCAAATCGTCAGTCAACGCGGATTGTACCCAAGATAATGTAGGGTGTTCTGCTAACTTTTCTGCTAGTTCTACAGTACCTCCTTGTCTACATTTTTCTACTAATTGACCTTGTCGGCCATCTTTTACATACCTACGCCGACATACATAAATAAATCAATAAAAATAAATGAAAATAAATTGCGGTTATTGAAACGACAAGGAAAGAACATACCAAGAAAATAAAAAGCCTACAAAGTCTTGATCCGAGAATTTTTCTATGTATCCGTCTAATCGGTTTTTGTTGTTGGTTAATTCACAGATTTGTATCAGGGATGCGAAATCGCAATACTTCTCGGCTAACATCGCTGCGCTATCGTACTGTTCCTCCTTTACTGTGAATAATTTCATGTAAGTACTTATCTTTTTTTTTCATTTCCAAAGACTACAGTACTCATTTTAGAAATACATACTTAAAGGTTGTATCAAATTCGTTCTGTCTGTTTCGTATTGCTTCATAAGAATTTCGAACTTCTCTGGACCTCTAACGCTTTCCAAATGACATTTCCGACCATCTAATATTAAATCTATAAAACTTACTAATTGTTCGTACAATTCGTTTCTTACTATCGAGTCGTTGGTTCCAGTCACGCCGTGTTTCAAAGTTAAATTATACTACAACGAATAAACAGATATACGTTAACGTTAATGCTTTCGAAAAAAAAACCGTATGCTATTCTTGTAAGTATAAAATCCGACCATTGTAGTTAGACAATTCCTTAGCCCATGTTTTCCAACTGCAGCTGTCCATGGAAGATATTCCGTTGTAACATTTGAAGATCTTGTGGTAGTAAATCGTTCGGCATTGTATTGCCGATATTTAAGTACTTCGTGTAACACGCTCTATTATCAATAATCAATTCGTATAATAATTTTGATTTCAGTTAGTAATAAGTTTTATACAAATGTAAAAATGATTCTTCGAATTCGTACTTACCAATAATATAGCATTCACTTGCATAATGTAATGCGCCACTTGCTGAATAGGTCTTTCAGATTGTGTTACTTCGTTCGCATTATTTACCAGGATGGGAAGAAAATGATGTATTGTACTCGTTTCACGGTAAAATATATCGCGTGCTGTTAATTCGTCGGACACATAAGATTCAGGATTCAGTGTTTGTTCAATTGTAGTGTCCACAATGTCTGGATACCTGTTCTGAAGATTATATATAGTTAAGGCTGCAATTATTTTTTCCGAATATTCTGCAAGGACATGTGGCGTAGACATTATTATCCCCCGGTGCGTAACGGCGCAAAATCTGTTCCATAGATTGTGTTCTTTCAGGAATGTTATATATAGGTCCAATGCTTTCTGTTTCCCTTCTAATTGATGAGGTATTTGCATAGAAGTAACTGCATTTATCGTCATCGTCAAGTCCCTGTGGTTGGACCAACGTGGATCGTTTGCCGGATAATCATCAATTAAATCTCGAGCAACTTTAAGAACCAGAGTGTCGAGGCTGGCATCTATATCCATTACTTGTTCTTCTTGCAAGGGGAATAATTGCGATAAAATTTCTTCGCACTGCACCTTATTCTGACGTAAGCTAAGAAGGAATGCAGCCCGCAATTGTGTTGCGCTATCGGAACTGTAAAACATGTCCTGAACTTCTTCGTTGCTAATTAGACTAGAGAAGTTTTGTGCAGCTACAGTGAATCGGTGGCTATAATCCGTACTTGCATTTGTGTCGACGTAACTTATATTAAAGTCTTGTGATCCTATGTCTGTTGGCAAGATCGATACCAACCCCGAAACTTTTGTAAGTAACACTGGAGTACCAGAACACAGGGCACCACCAAGTACTTTGTCCTCTTGTCTTCCTAATTGTATTTCATTCTCTTCGAAATCGGACATACCTATACAAAAATGTATATTAAGAAATGAAAGGAACACTGTGGCATATTTAATCTGTAGAAGAAATACTTTACTCACAGTTAATCACGATTACATTGTAGTCGTCATATACAATAGCTTCCCTACCATACAATATAAGGCGCTCTGTAGCTAGTGAAGATTCAGGGCAACCGAAAAGATCTTTTTTAATTGGTACAAACCATTTGAATGTATTTGCCAATGTCGTAGATGACAACTGTATTAAACCTATAATAAAATTAGATAGGTGTACTTACATTCTGCATATTATAAAATATAATTAATTGAGTTGCAATATATTACCAATAGCAAGATAAATTGGAACAAGGAGTCCGTCGCCCGATTGCGCTGCCATTAAAAATACTATGCCTTCGTCGCAAACTTGCATGTCGACCAACCAAGTCATTATACTTTGTAAATGACAAGTGCTCAATGCCTAAAATTGTTTACAGAAATGTATAAATTATCATTGACAAAATCTTTTCACATACTCCGATATAATCAATAGCTTTTATACACACTGAAACATTTCGTTGAAATGCTTGTGAAAGAATATGTCCTATGTCCTCGTCAAATTCCATTTTTTCTTGTTCATTATGAGGAAACGACCAGTACTGTAAAGATGAACCAGCTAAAATAAGGACTCTGGATCCTTTATCACCTAATCCTGTACAGGCAACTTTTACAAATTTCTAGAAAAAAAAGATAAAAACTAAACAAGTATTATTTAATTAGACAAGTAAAAGAACACAAAATACGGAAGCTTACAGATTCTATGACCGGAGACTGTGGTATGGCTCCAAATATAAGAGAACTCATTCTACGTCCTATGCCTCCCAACCATCCTTGGCTTGATCTAAGTACTTGACAAGAAATACTATTTTTTCCATTGGTAAACTGTGGCTGTAACAATGCTACTGTACACGTGGTTGTAACCAAAATGCAACCATGCCCAGGAACATAAGTAAGGCAATTCACTTCTTGACCAGTAAGTTCTGCACTTGTTTCTATGGAAGATCCTTCATGCGCAATACTGGTCCAAAAACGCACTATACCTTCTGGTGATACAGCCATGCAACTAGGAAGCTATATATTAAAAAGTAACGTAAGAATATTTAACAATAATAATACAGATAATAATAAAATTCAGTAACCTGGTGGCCAGGAGGTATCCACATTGCAATACAGTCCGCTTTATGAGCTAAATCGCTCTGAGGTAACAACAGTTCACGACATTGACTCTTAAATACTTTCCTATGTTTTGGATCATGAATTGTAATTTTACATTGCCATATAAGAAGTCTACGACCACAAACAAGCCATGCCCAACCATCTTCAGAAATGTTTGCGCTGACAGCGGTATTTGATTCAACAAACGTTAAAGCTTCTGTGACAAGAACAGGTAAAGGGGAACCGAAACTTTCTACTACATAATTCGGTGTATTACATATTACTTGAACCGATTGATTTGAACGTCCAGACACGCTGTTAGTTCTGAAACAAATAAACCGACCAACTCTTTCCAATCGAACCTTCAGTGGTTGAATCAATGCATATCCGAGGCTAACTTACGAAGTATTTTTCTTTAAAGATTGTACATTCGAGATGCGTTTCCTCGAAGAAGGCGTAAAACTTCTGGCAACCGAGTTTCCTATACTCGTACGATCCATTACTCCGTTCATTTGAAGCTTGTAAATGCTACATTAAGAAAAACAAATAGAATTGTACGAGCAAACACTTGAAATTGTTTTCATTCACCTCTTCCTTGTCTTTAAATTTGAAACATTTTCGGGTATCTTTCCTTGTGAAAGTGCCGGTACATATAACGGTTACAAGTTACAACATGTGCTTGGCACGAACCACACAATCACACACAGAATATATATGTATTCGTCAAACTGCATACGAATTATAAAGGCTTACATTCAATAAAACACGTGCGAATATACTTATTAAACTTTAGACAAATTGTATGTATTTCAGAACATGTCCTACTCTGATACCTCGTCTATCCTACAGGTCGATGTGAATTTCTATGTATGTACATGCATATTCACGCTAGCTTTTATTTAATTGAAAAATATCTTTGGAACGTCACTTTTCCTATCTTTTATCTTCCTATTCATCGGTGAAAATTCATTACAGTCACACTTATGTAAACTCACGAACACAAACTTGTACACTTGCTGTTTGATTGCACGTTGTACATACTTGTAATACAGACTATAGACTACAGCTACAGTGAAGTAACTACTTACTACACAGTACGAAATTGGTACGATCAAATGTGCTGTACGTGAAAAAGCACATGGTTAAAATTGTATTTGTTCAAATTGTGTCGTCAGATTAAAATTGTGCGTTGCACGTGATATATGAAGAAGAAACCGTGACTACTGGTAAAATGGTTGATATAAAAGACGAGAAAGTAAATGGAGAGATTGAAACTCCGCAAAAAACCGCGAAACAATTGCAGAAAGAAGCTAAGAAATTAGCAAAACTCGACAAGTTTAAGCAAAAACAAGAAAAGAAAGAAGTCAGCGATAAAACGGTGAAAGTGAAAGAAAAGAATGAAGTGAGGATACAGGTTTATCTTTTATAACATTCACATTATTTTATCGCTCTATAATGACCATATGGTCATTACAATTATAGATTTTCAAAATTTGAACGATATTTGTATGATTTAAAATAATTATTGAAACTCGTGTCTTTTTCTTTATGAGTTTTGAGTTCCATATCGTGATTTTGCATGGTTGGTTGTATTGTAGTAGTCTCGCAGTGAAGATTACACAACTTTGATTTCAGAAAAGTGAAAATAAAAAAGATTCCAAAGAATCAGCTGTCTATATTATTGATACACCTTTAGGAGAGAAAAAGGATGTTAATTGTACAATGCCTGATACATATAGTCCAAAATATGTTGAAGCTATGTGGTATGCATGGTGGGAAAAACAAGGATTTTTCAAACCTGAATATGGTGTATGCAATCAGATTACTTATGTAGTAAGTTTGCAAATGTATAAGATATTAAATTTCTTTATTATTTTTGACAGGGTAAAGCTATATCAGAACCAAATCCTAAAGGTAAATTTATTATGGTCATACCACCACCGAATGTTACCGGTGTTCTTCATCTTGGACATGCATTAACGAATGCTGTTCAAGATGCTATTACAAGATGGTAAATATTATCATGTAATTATAAAACAGTATCATTTTCTTTAGTTGTATACAGTAGGCATTTATAATTTATAAGGAATCGCATGAAAGGACGTACAACACTATGGAATCCTGGTTGTGATCATGCTGGTATTGCTACACAAGTGGTTGTTGAAAAAAAGCTATGGAAGGAGCAACAAAAAAGTCGCCATGATATAGGAAGAGAAAAGTTTATAGAAAAAGTTTGGAACTGGAAAGAAGAGTAGGTGTAAATAAACTATAAAGGAATGAAAAGAAAAGGGAGGAAAAAGTAAGATTATGATGCTTGATAAATGTATTTCAGAAAAGGGCACAGAATTTATTTACAGCTAAAAAGACTAGGTGGTTCCTTTGATTGGGACCGTGCTTGTTTCACTATGGATCCAAAACTGTGCAATGCTGTTACAGAAGCATTTATAAGGTTGCACGACGAAGGTGTAATTTATAGGAGTAATCGTTTGGTGAACTGGTCATGCACTCTAAAAAGTGCTATCTCTGATATAGAAGTAAGACAATTTACTTGCAAGATATATTTGTAAGTCATGTGTCTAACATAGGTTTTCGCTTTAGGTTGACAAAGTAGAATTAACGGGTCGAACGTTGTTTTCAATTCCTGGATATCAAGAAAAAGTGGAGTTTGGAGTGTTAGTATTATTTGCTTATGAAGTAATCGGTACAAAGGAAAGGATAGTTGTGGCTACTACTCGAATTGAGACTATGCTAGGAGATACCGCCATTGCTGTGCACCCGCAAGATACTAGATATACCAAATTTATTGGAAAATACGTACAGCATCCGTTTTGCAATAGAAAATTACCTATTATTGCCGACGAATATGTTGAAAAGGAATTTGGAACGGGTAAGTATTACGATTGTACAAAATATTTTTATGTGAATGTGATTTACACTTACGTATATATATTGATTTCATAGGAGCTGTAAAAATTACACCTGCTCATGATCCTAACGATTATGAGATAGGAAAGAGACACAACTTAGAGTTTATTACAATTTTCGATGATAGTGGGAATGTTATCGGTGATTATGGACAATTTACGGTATTTACATTACTTATATTAGTTACAAGTGCTTGTTTATTATTGAAAGTAAATTGTTGTAAATAACTAATCATATTTGAATTGTATTGGTCAGGGAATGAAACGATTTCATGCTAGAGCAGCCATAATAGAAGAATTGACAGCAAGAAATTTATTTGTTGAAATTAAAGACAATCCCATGGTGGTGCCGATATGCAGTAGATCCAAAGACGTTGTTGAGCCATTGATGAAACCTCAGTGGTATGTAAGGTGTTGTGAAATGGCAGAAAATGCTATGAAAGCGGTGCAAACGGGCGAATTGAAAATTATTCCAGATCAATACAAGAAAATCTGGTATCATTGGATGGAAAATATCAAGGACTGGTGCATTTCGCGTCAGTTGTGGTGGGGTCATCGTATCCCCGCGTACTTCGTTAAAGTACTCGATGGGGAAGTAAATATGCAGTTACGTGGAGAATTGTGGGTCAGTGCGCGGTCAGAAAGCGAAGCTAAGGAGAAAGCAGCTAGAAAGTTAGGTACAACTGTGAACAATATAGTTGTTGAACAAGATCCCGACGTATTGGATACATGGTTCTCTTCTGGCCTATTTCCATTTTCGATATTCGGATGGCCAAATCAAACTGAAGAACTCGAGGCGTTCTATCCTGGCTCGTTATTAGAAACTGGACACGATATACTATTTTTTTGGGTAGCGAGAATGGTGTTTTTTGGACAAAAGTTATTAGGGAAGTTACCATTTAAAGAAGTCTACCTGCATGCGATGGTCAGAGATGCACATGGTAGAAAAATGAGTAAATCCCTGGGAAACGTAATAGACCCGATGGACGTAATTAATGGAATATCATTGGAAGATCTTCACAAACAACTGTTGGACAGCAATTTGGATCCAAGAGAACTGAAACGTGCAATAGAAGGACAGAAACGCGATTACCCGCAGGGAATTCCGGAGTGCGGCACGGACGCGTTAAGATTTGCTCTCTGCGCGTACACTTCTCAGGGCCGTGACATCAATCTCGATATTCTGCGCGTGCAGGGCTACAGATTTTTCTGTAACAAGATATGGAACGCGACAAAATTTGCTTTGATGTACCTTAATTTAAATTCTATGGGCAACAATGACGAATTGGCAGAACCTATGTTAGTTGTTCAGAGCAAAGCTAACATACTCGATAACAATGAATGGTACAAGTGCACTTTGAAGGAAGCTTGTGTGCAAGACGCCTTGAATAATTATTTATGCGATTATCCTTACCTAGATGGATACACACCGTCGCAAACGGATGCGAAAGTATATTTAACTTTCGTCGAACTAAATGTTAACATTGTCAGCTATCCGCATTTGCATCGCTGGTATAAACACATTGCGTCGTTTAGTGAACAAGAGCAATTATTGTTCCGTCCGGTAGAAGGTAAATCCTTACCTGAATCTGTCTGTAAAGTTCGCAACAGTAATTGTAATTATAATTATAATGATGGCATTAGTAATAATCATGGTGTAGACTCCCTTAGTTTTGAAGCGTACACAAATGTTGATCTGTGGATGCTCTCTCGTGTGAGTTACGCTGCAAAGACCTGCGACAAAGCAATGGAACAATATGACTTTACCACGGCCACGACCACCTGTTACAACCTTTGGTTGTACGATTTGTGCGACGTATACCTGGAGTATTTGAAACCAGTATTTCAAGGAAATGATAACGAGAAAAAGCACGCGGCAACAAAAACTCTGCTCAGAACGCTGGACGTAGGATTAAGATTACTGTCTCCATTTATGCCGTTCATAACGGAAGAACTTTATCAACGTTTACCTCACAAGAAACAAATTTATCCCAGTATTTGTGTCAGCCCTTATCCAGAGGAGTCCGAGTGTTCCTGGAGGAATCTAGAAATAGAGAAGGATGTTGACTTTGTCATGAAACTAATAAAGAATGTCAGGTCCACACGTGCTACTTATAATTTACCAAATAAAACTAAAACTGAAGCGTTTATTGTGTGCACCGATCACAGTCTGAAAAAGAAGCTTATGAACTATCAATTGTTAATAGAGACCCTTGCTTACTCTACGATACGAACAAACGAACCCCCATCTGGATGTGCTATCCTTACAGTGACAGACAAAGTTCAAGTGCATCTGCTGTTAAAGGTAACTGCATATTTCTTGTGGTCCATTTCAATAATAGATCACTCTTGGTTAATTTGTAAATCTGATTACAGGGTTTAATCGATCCAAAGAAAGAGTTAGGAAAACTTTCTAAAAGGGAAGAACAATTGGTAGATATTATAGAAAAAACAAGGAAGGCTATGGAAGTTCCTGATTACAATATTAAGGTACCTTTGGATATTCAAAACGGTAACAAAGAGAAGATGCTAAACAGCGAAGGAGAATTGCAACGAATTATTGATGCAATCGCTGCTTTGAAAACAATGTAACGATCACTTTTCTGATATTTATTCCTTCATTAATGTCTTATTTATTTAACTGTACTGGTAATAGCTAATTCTACATGATTCTAATCTGATAGATTAAAAAGAAAATTAAATTCTTCATTCAGTGCATAAATCCGTTTTTAAAATCTCCTAAATGTATGTTCGATCTTTCCATATTACATATGTATATGTTAGTTTACTCTTCTTTAAAGACAAGAGGACAAGACAGGTAACGTATATGTATTCATATAGTCGTATAAATATTATAATAACGATTATGGAGAAAGCATTTATTTCTCATCTTCATTTATTATAAAGCGTTAACGACGAATGTGCAACAATCGTTAAAAAATTAATATACTTCAAACCTAACAATGACAAACTAATGATTCCAATAAACATATTCAATAAGTTTCGATTCATTAATTCTACTATTTACCGATTATGTGCGATAAAGATAATTATTAATATAATACACGATTTGATTACGTTCGAGGGTAGCGCGTGGAAGTAGTTATGTTAGACAAACAACGTTGCGTTGATCACCTTTATTGACCAGCATATTCAATTAAACATGAGCGTTCTCGATGAAAATCAACCATTTGAGTATCAAAGATGATCATTCTTTTTCTTCTATTGTTGCGTTTACAAGTAAATATTTTCAATGTTCTGATCACTGATAAACTCAAAAGAAATGAGAATATGTTACTGTGGATTAAATATCATTTTTTGAACGATACAAATAATCATGTAATGTAAGTGATAATTTATGAGTACTTTTACACATTATCAGTATTATTTGTTTGCGTGAATACGACTTCCGTTTCATGAGTTTACGCTTTTTAATGATTTCAATGTATATAGATTAGATTATACTTAAAATTTTTATTTAAATAATATATGTATTAAATGGTATATATTTCCAATGATTTTCTAGTGTTAATTTCAATGTTCGGTAGAATTCTCCCATTCCCAGCATTTACAGTTGAAAGTATAACAAAAGTTTTGTGCAAACATGGGGGACTGACTAAAAACTTGCATGAATGGACGATTGATTTGAACATCTATCATTATTATCTTCGTGTAACAAAAGCACGGAGACATTCTATTACGAGTTGTGCTACAAAGCAATACCACTACAACCCGTTTCGCTGGTTCGTGCTAAAACGTTACAATTCTTTGTTCATTAGTAATACTATATTACTAATCTTTTGTATGTAAAATTCTTTCATCTGCATTTAGCAACTATAATTCACTCCGTAGTGTAAAGGTTCGATGATATTTTCGTAAATTAATGGAACAGAGCGAAGTGAGAAATTAACTACCCCTATGTATTTACAATTGTGATATGTGAAGTGAACATGTGTAATTTCATTGCTAATGTATCACTTACTCGAATTTCGTCCAATTATTTTGTGATTTAATGGCGGTAGCGTTCAATGTTAAGCTGAACGCGCTATCGACATTGCCAATATTACTCTCGGATGTACTGTTGCACGTCGCAGCATTTTTGGTCGGTGAACCACCGTTACTTATATTAAACTTATTAAAGTCCAAGCCGTACGCTTGCAATAGATCCAAGTCACCAATATTGTCTGATGATTTTGGCTTCTCGGTGGTTTTGTGCAAAGGTTGAAAATATGGGTATAGCGGGTTGCTGAGGCCTTCTCCCATTTCCGGTGCATGCAATGACTGCGTCATCTGTTTCGAACTGGGAAATTCCGAGGATTTGGAAAGCAGCGGATCAAAGTCATCGCTACTCACTGTCGAGTCTAATCTAATTAAATCTGGCACTTCGGGGAAGTCCTATAAATAATCAAACAATAGCGTTGCTAAGTATAACGCATTTATCTCGTATATGTAAATGACTGTTCATTTACTTAGGATCCTAATTGCAACCCAACTAGTCAAATATGCATTCTAAAGGTCTGACAAAAATAAAATCAATTTACCAAATGTAACTCATACTTTGACTTGGGATAATTATCAATTAGAACCCCTGTATACATCTGTATGTTAGGTACATATGTATGTACGTATACATCGATGTACGTGTAAGTACGTAGATTCACAAACAAAAGACAACGATTGATGACGTTTACCTTCGAATGTGCAGAGCAGGATGTGCTATTGAATGCATAGTATGAAACGTTCGAATTAACAGACAATGATGCGCTTGTGGTTTGGAAAATTGTTGATTGCAAGTAGGAAGGTGTGAACACTTTGCTTGTATCGAACGGATCATTATCTTTTAGACTAGTAGAAGATTCTAGAGTTTTTAAATGTGAATCAAAAGATTTCCCATCCATTCCTGGATCATAATTAGTAAGAATGTCGTCGGTATAAAATTTCACGTTACTCGAGCAAAGTCCAACAATATTTTTGTGTTGCTTCGTTTTCATTTTTTGCGTGTTCAGGCTTACGTTCTTCGAACATACGTTATCCGCACATACTTGTGAAACCGGTGGAAACGACATTTTTTCCGTTTTACTCTCGACAACATTGTTCGATTTCATGGCCAACGAATTCAATGGCAATGATCTATTTGCACCGGTTTGAATGTTACCAATTAATACGTCATTGATATCTAGCAAAATGTTCGACCGATCGACTGATCTACCGAAGCTGGAATGCGGAATATGATGAGATGGAGTTTTTGCGGACGAGGTGACTGTGATGATGGGATTTGCAACATTTGTACTAGGTGGAGGACCGTGCCGCATATGCCCACTCCATGCAGGTCTCAAACTGTCTAAACTGCGTACTGGCTTCAACTGAAATTGATCCATCACACAGAATTATGAACATAATGGGTGCACATATAAAGTTACTTCACGGACATATAACATTATAAAAAAATTGATGAACTTAAATTCTATTTAAAAATTACATTTAAAACAATAGCGAACTACAGAAATTTAATTCTATTTAATCATTGGAATTTAGAAGAAAAACAATTTTAGATAATGCATGCATGGATCGAGTGATTCTGAACAGAGAATTTTAATGTCCATAAAGTATCTATAATTTGATAACCATGCTACCGATGCTGCTAGCAGAGACATTACACATTGTGATAAGCAATATGTACTGCTGTATGTATACACTTCAATTACAAATGGAACATTACGTTTAACAAAATAATTCGTCCTGGGACACAATTCGATGATACTTCTTTACATATATATACTGATATACTTACTGTTCTGTCAACAGGAGGTGTATTTGGAAATATTACGTGACGAAGCTCTTGCATAAGGTCAATGTTCACTCGTTCTGGCGGAGAATCAGTTTCTTCCGGAGAACTAGGACTTAATGGTGAATATTGTTTTCTACAAAAGTTCAGCGGTACAAATGAAGCATGTATTGTACAATGAAGTAGAAGTGTGGTGTCGAGAAATATAAATGTACCTTGAATCAGCGAAATTACTATTACGCAACCGAAGATCTTTCCTATAGCTAGTGGTCGCGGTGAAACCGTTTGGTGATTTTGGTGGCGATGTAAAGTCTATAGGCCTCCTGTCGGAAGTAGGGGAACTAGGTGCAGACCTCGGCTGGTGAAATCTCCTACTTGTTTCACTTCTGTTCGCCCTTCCTGAAAATTGTCAACCAAAATTAAAGGATTCCAAGATATTTTGAATAAAAAGGAACAACATACCACCTTTCCATTTCAGTCCTTTGTACGCTGTTTTCATATCCTTTCCTTTGTCTTTCACCTGTAAAGATGTTCCAATACATAAACGATATCCGTGTCGAAACGTATGTAGATAAAACTTATTGTGCAATTAATAATTACTTACAGATTTAACTGCATACTTCACAGCTGGATTGGCCTGAAATCGCAGGCAATTAGAACTACAAATACGTTCAACAAACCGATGTATCGTATAATGTGTTCGAGAAAAATTAATACCCAATTCACCTTATCTTTTACACTACGGAAAAATGCCGAACTTTCTTTTCGCATAGCGTACGTCCATTCTCGATACTGCTGCATAAACTTACTGCTAGATTTGGCGGAATAGCTGCAAGCTTCCACTTCAAATTCATCCGAGAATCCAAGGCCTGAATTAAGCATATTCAGTCTTTCTTCTATAAACTGAAAGTACGTAGGAATTTCGAAGTTATTAAACAAATTATTAGATTACAAACGAAACCTTAATCAACCAAACTATCATAAAAGATTCCTTTTTTCCTACCTGTTGAAATATTTGCAATTCCAACATTTTTCGTAAAAAAGGTTGCATAGAAGATGGCCTACTTTCCACAAATGCATTTTGGTTAAACGTAATACACTGGCCTTGCTCTAAAATTAATGCATCCTTGTATCCAGCAGTTAACTGCACCAATGCTCGCAAGAATGCCCTAGACACGCCATCACCGAGTAGCGTAGCTCTATTGCGCAATGCCTTCTTTAAATTGGCTACCTGGGACAAAGAAACTTTTTATTTTATTATTTAAGATGTGTTTATTTCTTAAGAATTAGATCGATACTTGAAAAATAAAATCAAGTGTTTATACGAACTACGTCTTGAGGTAAAGACTCTAAATCTTCGAACGGAGACTCTATGATATTGTTATCCGCATCCAATATGACTACTTCTCCCAAATCACTTTTTCGGACTCTCTACAAATTGAACAAAATATTAAAATACAAAAATTGACTATTTATTAAATGATTTAAATGGAAACGAATATTTAAATACCTGAAGAGTTGGAGACGGTACTCCGATTAAAAACGGCATCGGTGCTAATAAATAATCTATTAAAGATAATGGCAGAACTGGAATATATATATGTTGCCAAATCATTGGATAAATTAAAGCATTGCACGCTTGAACGCATGCACTCAATCTTGAAAGACGTTTCGAAGTGAAAATAATTCGCCGCTCATACAGCATGGAAGCAAACACTATCATCATATTATGAGCATCAACAGCACTGTAATATTCAGTCAAATTTCTCTGAAATGTAGAAAAAGAATTCGTATAGGAATTATTCCATGCACAAAAGTACAACAAACGATTTACAATTACTTACATTTTCTGGTATACTCGGTAATTGAAATTGCTTAGGACTTTGATAAATAAAGTTCTGGAAATTAATAAATATATAACTTGCAAAATATTAAATAAGAAGCATGCTTAGCAAACTACATACCACTTTAGAATTTGGTACAGGAATCGATATGGAACTACCAGGAATGGGAACCGTACTATTATATACGGTTTCAAAAAATTTCCAAAGATCTTCTCCAGTGCCAGTGCTCTGAATCAATGTAGCAATTTTGTTTAAAAGCCTATTCGTACATAAAATGAGATGACTTTAAATATATCCAAATTTGTTGTAGTTTATCCATGATATCTTGTATTTAATGTGTTGAAAGAAATACTAACTTATAAAATATTTCATGCCATGGTAATGCACTTAAAATTACTAGACCAGTGTCTGTCTTGGGATCATGTCGACAGAATCCAAATGTCCATTTAGAATCAATGCTAGTGAGTACAAATGAAAAATGTTGTACCACCAGGCTGAAATAATTTTGTACAACTATAACAATTTTCACCTACACGTTGAAAATTTTTGTATAAGCATTCAAAGCAAATAATTGTTAAAAACTTACTTCTCTATTTCACAGGGGTATGCAAATTTAGGTACCGACTTAAGTATTTCTTCATCCAAAAAGGAGCTAGGGTACTTCTGAAGTATCCATGGTAGTTTTTCTCCCAATGGTGCAGCTACCTCGCAAAAGCATTCAAAGAGATGTTGAACATTATCTCTGAAAATGTCATAAACGTAATATTTATATTAAACAATAAGAATTTGATGTACTATTCATATTTCCTTTTTTAATTTTAGTAACTAAAAAATCAAATCTACTAAAGTAGTGAGCTAAACATTGATTTAAAAAAAAGAAAAAATGACTTAGGCAATGCTATGGTATGATAGAAAAAAGTACTTTCATTTGTTTTAATTGTTTTATAAAGTATAAACACAAAAGCTGAGAAATATTCATGAGAGCATACCCATCTATGAGAACAAAATTTTGAATGAAAGATTTACTTGCCTCAATCTGGAACCCATGATAACAGTCGAAAAAAAATAAGTACTTGGTGTGCACTTGACGTCTATACGTCATTGTATGTATGCACTACATGACAGTAACGCCTTCCATTCACGAGAATTTTAATCGTGTTGCAACTGTATTATCATTTAAGACTACAATACTGTTTCTATCCTTTTTTGTTATAAGATTTAACCACTAAATGTCGTACCAGCCACTAGCTTCAACCAACTATAGCAACAACCAACTGTCCACTGCTGTCCACATCGAAATCACGCCTACCAGACGCACATTGTTCGATGATTACGAAGCATCACATGTTAGTTTCTAAGTTTTATGGCAATAATATTCCGTTGAAAGTCCGGCCTCATAAACTTGTAGCGTTGCTTAAATTTTTCAGAATTCCGAATATACATATAATAGGGTTCAAGTTTCCCATTAGCTACTTTCCATTTCATTTAATTATTATTATACTACATTATGGTATTAACAGAGAATCCATAATAATTATAATTTAAATTAATACAACGATAACCAATGACAATCAAACGATTTTAATCTTTCAATCTAAACCACAAAGGTAGAAAGTGGGGATATTGGTTGTCTACCATTATGTAATTCTCATTTGTTCTCATGTATATATCATAATCACTGCTAATGTATTACATTAATAATGTAAAAATTATCGCAACATAAAAATTGATAATGGCAACGAATGACTAAGTTAATTTTTGAAGAACCTCTTTTATTTGACTTTAAATTTTCATAAAATCTTGCGCGTACACATACGTACTTATACACATGCGCATTGGTAATTGATATGTATGGACCGACAACGATGAAGGCTCACCTCTATAAGAATGTTCTGTCTCTGCACTCTGTGGTCAAGCAATAGTGGTGTCGTGTCGTGACGTACTTCGTGCTTCGTACCCATGCACCAATTCGTGCACCAAGAATCGTGATCATTAAAGTACAGTACTTTCTGTTGAATACATATCTACATAGAAGCAAGTAAAGTGAAATATGGCACTTAATCTTACTGTAAAAGTTCATCCTGTGGTTCTTTTTCAAGTAGTCGACGCTTATGAACGTCGAAAAGCCGAATCCCACCGTGTTATTGGTACATTATTAGGTAATGCAAAACTTGACGTTATTTCGATGCAAAACATACATCGTTTCAATATAATATAGTTACTATATTGGTTATTTTATTAGGCCCAATTATTGTTAATGTGAACTAATATTGAAAATTGTACATTATTCGATGATTTTTTTAGGCACAGCTGAAAAAGGTATGGTCGAAGTAACAAATTGTTTCTGTGTACCGCATAAAGAGTCCGAGAGTCAAGTAGAAGCCGATTTGACATACGGAATCGACTTATATGATTTAAATCACAGAGTGAATGCACAAGAAAACATCGTTGGTTGGTGGGCAACTGGGAACGAGGTAAATTACTTTTCATTAATTTGGTGTTGTCAAAAGTAATGAAAATCTTTTATTTCCAATACATCTTATAGGTTACCACTCACTCCTCTGTTATACATGAATACTATGTTCGTGAGTGTAATAATCCTGTTCATTTGACTGTTGATACAACACTGATAAATACTACTAGAATGGCAATTAAAGCCTATGTGTGCGTACCATTAGGAGTACCCAATGGAAAACAAGGTTCCATGTTCACACCAGTTAAAGTACAAGTATGTTATTTATTATAATTTAAACGAGATGGTTTTATCTATATCAAATACAAATACTTTTATGAGCTTAAAAAATGTAATTACTTTTTAGATTACATGTTATGAACCAGAAATAGTTGGACTACAGCTTTGTTCAAAGACACAGTTACCTGCTCATGCGCAAATAGCTGGTGTAAAAACAGGAGGTGGTATAGAACCAATGATGGATCTTGCTCAAATTGCAGAAGCCAGTGGCAAGCTGTCTTCCATGTTAGAGCAAGTACTTCAATATGTTGATGACGTTCTCAATTCTAAACAACCACCAGATAATCAAGTACTTATTTATTTCTGTTTTTCTATATTATAATGAGTTTTTGTATTTCTATGTTCTATTTACATTTGCAATGAATTATTTAATACTTTCAGGTAGGTCGTGCTCTGCTAGACATGGTGCACTCTGTACCAAAAATGTCGAGCGATCAATTCGATGAAATGTTTAACAGTAACGTAAAAGATCTCTTGATGGTTGTTGCACTTTCGCAATTAATAAAAACACAACTCCAACTCAATGAGAAACTTACACTGCTCACAACCTTGTAATACAAAAAATTTGTAATATAAATTTGAAAATTTCGTAAATCGGTTTTTGTGAATAAAAAGCATTTCAAATTTTCAAAGCGGCGTTTCTCTTTTCATTTAATGCATTTAAGTATATTTCCTATTGATAAGAAATACAGGTGGAAAATAAATAGAATTGTTTATACATTTTAGTATGTACATATAAAGACGCTCAAGCACATTAAGTAGTGATTCATAATTCACAAGCTGCAAGATCCTGTCTCTGATTATCCACTAAACTAGTCCAATCGGGCACTCTGTTCGATTTCAAAAAATTTTCTTTTGTTATACATCTCAATCGCAGGTCAACGGTTCCAAAAATGGCACCTCCCAACCATGCTGTGCAATTAGGTTTACTAGGAGCAGTATGAAATTTGAAGACTTGAATTTTTAGCTTTTCAGAGTAAAGATTGCTTTTCAATAAAGCTAGAAGTTCTGATTTAAGACGGCTAACGAATCCTTTTGCCATTGTTGTGCCTCCGATTAATATTATATTTTCAGCCAAAGTTCGCCTAGTATCTATTGGACACTGCAGCAAAAAGTAGCATTAGGATATTTCAAATAAATATCAATGCGATCTTAATAACATAATCTTGAACATACCTTAAGAATAGCATCTAATATCATTGTAGGTATGCTTAAATTATCATTATCTCTCTCCCATAATATTTCAAATGCTTTCTCTCTAACTTCGCCAGGTATAATAATATTTTTAACTCCATGGTATGCAACCATAGGAGGAGGTTTAGGAGCATCTTCGGTTCCTAATTTAATGGATCTTTCCAATGTAGTAACAAAGCATGTTCTAACTTTTATATCTTCCACAAGTTTTTCTGTTATATTCACATTGGGTGATATTTCTTTTAAACATTTCATCAAATGCCTATAAAAATAAAATATGAGTAACACACATGTGTACGTAATAACGATTGTATCATATTTTGATGTGCAGTATTTACATATGTACAGCTTCGCCAGCTAAAGGAAGTGCCTGCCATGCTTTCAAGATTGGTACACCTTCATAAATTGGAATCAATGTAGCTTCTTTGTATCCAACATCCAATACTAAAGCTGTATTGGTGCCTAAAGTACTAATTGTTGCCAAATGAGAAGACAAAAAAGTTAAAGAACCAATCTCAAAATGCCTAAACAATACTTTAGCCAATGTTTCTCTGAATTGAGATGGCGTTAAACACGATTCTAATATCATGATTCTGGCATCCTTAGGTGTTATCACAACATATCTGTGATCAAGGATAAATAATTAAAGAACACAACACAATAAGATGAAAATAGTTTATGAATATATAAAGTTGTTACCTGAAAAATAAACAATGAAAAAACTCTACAAGTAGCTGATACAAATCCTCTGTGTCCCTATAGTCATAAATCTTCCTGATCTGTTTGGTTTCTGAACAAATAGTCTCAGTCCTTACCATTCCGCGTGGTGTAGCTTCGTTTGCGTAGCCGTATCTAGTCACAAATTTAATTTTAAATTGTTACAATTAATTGTTACAATACTCAAACAAATGCAGGTGTTGCTTTACTTTGTGTATGCGCTTCCAATATCAAATATGACCATTTGTTTATCCGAAAAAAGTAAGACACGTTCATAGCGACGTAACATTTTAATTAACACTAATTTTCCTTTTTATGTCAAGGAAATTCTAAAATGAAGAGATTCACGAATATATTTTGCAAACTTTAGGATTATAAACGCATTGACAATTATACTAGCTGACTGGCCCGTCCTAGTACCATAAAAACAAAAATTCTCTCACACTCTATTTCATTTTGTGCAAATTGTGTGGATCATTAAACGCACGTATAAGAAAAGGTATAGAAAAACAATGACAATAGCAAGTACTACTTTTATTGATATTTTAGTTACTACTTGATCTTTTTACAATCGATTATAATTATAATTAGAAGTGTGTACAGTTGTATAATTCTAACTCTAACTCCTACACGGTTTCGGGCCGCAGCTTGCTACACAGTCAAGGATGAGAACAGAAATTGCTTTGCTCTGATTGGTTGACGATTCGCTGACAGACAGAGCAAATTGACTCCAGTCCAGATTCTGGATCTGAATAACAGAATACATTTCTAGATTTGGACCGTAATACAGTACATAATGGAACCTACTCCTGCAAACTTTTCTTACTCCCTATGCTGGCGCGCACATCCCCACCATCTTACTCCGCATCCAATTCGCAGTGAATCCTGTTTTAACATTAAAACTTACGTATCATTGTATGTACATATACATATCATATTGGCATAGCTTATACATCTTGATCATTCTGATGTCACGTAGGTAATTTTATCTTTGCTTTAGGGAAATTATCTGAAGTTATATATATAGGTATATAGGCTAAAAAATTAGTGGATATGTGTATTATGTTACATACATAACACATGTATAAAATTTGCAGCACCAACTATGACAAAACATTAAAACTATGTAGGCAAGTAGAAAGTATAGTATGTAAGTACCGTAGACCTCACATACTATATGGTATGCAAATATATACTAGGTATGTACTACATATGTACATCATGTAATTATGATTTTACCATAGTATGCTTCTTTTTTTAAAAAATAAATTTTAATGTTTTATTTCGAATTTAACGTGAGTATGAAAGGCTAATTTAATTTGTAATAACTACATGATAATTTGTATTTATTTATAAAATAGCAAGAGGATGATAGACATGTTTATTAAACAATCATTTCAAGTTCTCTTGCATAATCTATGGCTAGTGTAGCCAAATCTGAACTGGGTATTGGTTCTTCAGCTTTCTTTTCGTTCGTAGTTGCGAAGTAAAAGTAACCATCTTTGGCCAAATTCCAATTCTTTTTGATCGCGAACGCTTTCACATCCTTTTCTGAATTTAGATTAAGCATTCTGGAGGCATCTTGAATCGAAATCTTGTCGTAAGCACTTTCCATACAGGCTCCAATCTCATCACGCACAGTATTCAATAAAATATCTATGAAGAAGTTGTACGATGCCGCTGGTACGTTGCCTTTCGCTAAAAATATTTTATTGTATGATCCCTCCATTAAATACTGTTCTAAGCTTAAAGGGTGTCTAATATAAACGTTAGATTGTATCTGATCAGAAGGTAGTAATTCCAATTCCGTGTGAAATTCGGCAACACGATTTTGAGACAACAGAAACAGCAGATTCAGTCCTAATAGATGATATTTGTATGCTGATTCCAAAAGATCAGACTTGTAATCAAAATAGTAACATTTTAATTGTGCCATGTAACGTTCAAAAGAAGGTATGTCTTCTGTGACTATACTCCATTGTGCACCAATTTCTAAAATATCACCTGTAATTATAAGATAGGTAAGAAATAATATTATTTCCTATCTGTGTTCGAATTGTAGATACATGTATATCATGTATCGATACATACGAGCTATCAACAGTTCATTCTGACTTGCTGTGTTATTAGATGTTGGAAGAAACATCAAATGAGTAAGACCAACCTGTGAAAATAAATTACTTGATCAAATTTCTGATAAATACTAACCATATGAAAAAAATTGTGGAAACAGTAATACTTAATACTAAACGAATACTATATAATAAACTTAGACTTCATATACCATGACAATTCATTTTGACAGACTAATTAGGTTATACTGTCTGCATATTTCATAATGTTAATATTTCGCAATAATATTAAAGTACCATAACCAATTTGTATACACTACCTTTAATTGATTAAGTATTTCGCCGCATCTTTTTAAATTGCACGGAACCTTTTGCCATTCTTGCTTTAAATGTTTGTACAAAGAAACAACATCCTTCAGCGGTGCCATTTTTCCACATACGACGATGTATAATTTGTGTACATAAACGATGACAAACGTATAGTTGTGTAGTCACATCATAGGTATTATATCGGCGTAAGAGATAATTTTGAAATTGTAAAACGCGAATTCAAACAACGGTTTCAAATAGAAATTGAAATTATTGAACGTTTTAGAAAAAGCAGTGAATAATTTCAGTAATTTGAAATAATTTTTCTGAATATCAGAATTGCATTCATGTAAACTAAACTTAATACAGATGAAATACATACACTATAGTAATAAGAGAAGAACGAATGAACTTGCTTTTCTGTAGCTCTGCCTGTAGTCGAATATACACAATTCAAACGAAATTTATTTTAAAATGTTTCCCAATTGGTTAAATATCTCGGATAAGAAGCAAGGTTCGTCTAATTATGCTATACAAGAATATAAAACTTCAATGTATTTGATTACTGTTTAAAAATTTCCGATTATTTTCCAGTCTGTTCTATATAAAACGTGAATGGCAATTGATGTGTGAATCGGAAAATGACATCGAAGATAGAATGGCATAAAAATTTATATGAAAATTATGGACTGCCAGACAATTATTCAGATAGTTCGTTTTTAAAGCAGTTACGTAAGAATATCAAACTAAATAATATAACACTAACAGAAGCAATTATGTTTGGAGCTACAATATGTATTCAATTAAATATTGTAGTACTCTTTGTCATTGTATTTGTATGGTTGAACAGAGAGTGGACTACGCCTGATGTAATATTTGTATCAAGTGTAATCCTGACAGTATTTGGTTATCTTGTATATTGTTTGAAAGAACCAAACACTTTGACCAAGTTAACAGAAGACATTAGGACAGTATTAATTTTTCTTACATTTGGTTATATTTTGTCTCCTGTTTTGAAGACTTTAACAGAAACCATTAGTACAGATACAATCTATGTTATGACCATATTGATGTTTTTAACGCATTTGATATTTAGCAAGTATGGTTCTCTCCAGATTTCTTTGTCCGATTCTTTGTCAATAACATCTTCCATATTTGGTTCGCTGATGTTAGCTTCTAGATTGGCATCTCCATCTCACGCATTTTCTCTTCTTACGGTTGCTGTGCAATGTTTTGTTTTATTACCATTCCTTTTATATAAATTAAGCAACAAAATATTTATTTCAAGCTTCTTGACCTTCAGTACTTTATATTTTCTTTTATTCATTTCGCAAACAATCTCTTATGTTTTTATGATATCTGTAACATTCCTTCATTTTATATGTCCTTACTGGTATGTACAATGTCAGAGATATAAAGACAACATTTATGGTCCTTGGGACGAGGCTGTTATTACTTCTTAGCAATTTTGAAATATTATGATCTGTCCAATTTCATGTTTCTAATAAATATCGTTCGCGCATGACTTTCGATAGCATTCATAAATATACACAGACGTATAAAAAAATATGTTCTTGTACATTTGAATAACTATATATATATGTAAATATAAAGCGAGTTTATATAAATTGTAATAATCTTTTGATCCTTCTGACGAGCGCATCGACGAAGTTGTGATCTACCGTTGCGTATTCGCTGTGTGTATCCAACAGTTGCGTAATAAAGCTATCCGTAAAAGTAGAAACGAGACCTTGTTTAAGTTCCATTAACGTCTCCGACGATCCTTTCCACGCGACCATGTCCTCGTCTATGCCTCCTGATGAAACTGAGAATTATAAAAGTTAGAAAACAGTGAACGATAAGAAGCAGTATCGTCAAAGCAAACAGTGAATTGTACGTGAATTCGCGAATATTAAAGACCTACCCAGGTTGGTTGAATTCTCTGTGTACAGAGAATTCCCTCATCAAGTAGGTCGTACGAACGAACGAATATACCCAATATGGTACAATTCACTTTAGTGAACTCATAGACCATAGATTTCATAGAAAAAAAACTCAGATTACCTTGCATTCGACTATGCCGAGATATCACTTGAATCATGTAAAAGTCCAGGTGACTCCAGAGAATATACAAAGCGTGTTCTATGATCAGGGAGCAGTATTTAATGGTCTGACGCTTCTCTTTGACCCAGCGATTCAATCGCTGTTCGACTATCACCCGTTGCTTCTTCATAGCGAGTTCTGTTTCTTCTTCTTCTGACATATATTCCTTCAATTCCGTAGTACTCATTTCTCCTACCATGGCGACCTTTCTCACAAGAGTGTCGATATGCGGTAGTTCAGAGTGTAACAAATTGGTGACAGAAACAAGTTGATCGACGATTGTCCCCAGGTGTACACCACCAGTGATGTTGTCTTTGATCTTATCATCTCTACCTCCTGGTTTGGAAGTCAGATGCGGTTCGAACAGCACGTTACGTATTTTCTGATCCATCCTGGTATGTTGCATTTGATTGCGCGTGTATAGCATAATATTGGCGACAATCTGCACAGACGACATGTGCTGTTGGTTCGCATCGGTTTCTTCGTGACTGAAGCGAACGGGCGCTGGTTGCAGCTGAAATTTACACAACAGGGAGAGCATCAGTCGTTGCAATCGATAAAGATGAGCGCGGAGTTCTCTCATGCCGGTGGTATCTTCCAATTTGCGATCGTCAAAGTCCGACTTGGCCAATTCTTCGTCGACTAATCGGTACATGTCAATGTTCGCGGATCTGGATATTACGCCGGTGAGACACGCAATCTCCTTCAAGAATAGAGGATTTGCTTTGGGAAAGGCGTTTCGTAGAACCATCTCGATGGCATCCCGATGACTTTGCAGGAACCCGCAGACTTGTATAGCACAAGATTGGTTCTCCGTTCCGAGGGTGGTGAGCAGAGCGTCACAAAGATATAATGCCGGTAGAAAGATTTGCTGGTATCGTTGACCGATTGAAGGTATGAAAGAGTAGTCTCCCCCTTCGAACCCGATGTGAACATCGGGATGATGATCGAAAACGACCATGCTCGACATACACGACAGGATCTTGTTTTCCAGAAGACTTTCGGCACCGAGCCTAGTGGAAGCCATTCTACAGAACGTCGCCATTTTTGCCTCGTAGAGGTAGAGCGGTCGCAACGTTTGTGGTTCTGACTGTAGCATACACCTTAACATGTTATCAGATTCGAGGAGGCTGTCTATCATGTGCTTCAGGTATCCCCTACTAGTCAGATAAAGTATCCAAGCGTTGTCATAGTCCAGCTCCAAGATTTTGTCCAGACAAGAGAGCGCCAGCATTTTACAGACGTCGTGACCACCAGAACAATTGTGACACAAGATATCCATTAATTTGTTCCCAAAACTATTTATCACTTGTATCGTCGCGTATCGATGGGAACGTTCTTGTACCGGCATTACCCTGTTCACCGTGCTGTCCAATTGGCTAACGTACATTGTATCAATAATATTGGTGCTTTCCGACTTCTCCAAGCCTACAACGCACAGAAAATTCAAAAGAGCTGCATACAGATGCGTGATCACTTTTTGCGAAGAGGCACCCGCGTTTAGTATCCACTGCAAGATATGGCTTAGAATGATCTTCATCATGGTCGTGTTCGAGGGCGACGACGGAAACGACTCATTGTCTGTCTCTGTGATGAAACTATTCCTCAGATTGACCAGCAACATCAGTACCGTGCCAGACACCAAGGTCTTGATTTCGCTGAGCGCTTCGCAAGAGGTCATTTTCTGCAACAGATCGTGAGACAGATTCAACAACAGATTTTGCTTCTGTGGTGTGGGTAGCTGTTGATTGGTTGCGACACAAAACAGTATTTCTGTAGTTTGACACCAGCCTTCCACGAACTTGACGGTCGCGTATGACAACAGCTTCGTCTGGTTCCTCTTCAAGGCGTGAGTCAAAATCTTTTGCACCTCCTGCTGCATCAGGTTGCGTTGAGTCGCGGTTGCGCTGTTCTGCGTCACAGCCAACTCCTCCGTGATCAAGGAGTGTAACTTTCTGATATCTACAAGACGTGGACCCCCAATCAGGGCGACCGGAACGCTACAGCGGCCTAGTACCATCTCAACCTGAGACGGATCAAAGAAATCCAAGGATAACTGTGGCTCCAGTTGAAGTTGAAACTCAATATAGTGTAATAGATCCATCAGAAGCTTTTGTGATGGAACTATTTGTCCTTTCTCCTGGCCAAAATTTCCCATTAGTCGTTGAACTAGAGAACTTTGTAATCTTCCACCGGCGACTCGCAACTCGATCGCTGCTAGTTTCAGCAGCCATGATGTGCAACCGAGGTCCGTCGCAGTATTCTGACCTTCGAAAGGTAACTTGCATAGGTGTCTTTGTACAAAATCCAGATTGGCGGCGGAACGGAGAAATCTCAGCACCGAGACGGAAGTCTTATTATTTGCAGCCAGCGTATGTAGGAAACAGTAACAAGCTTCCGTGATCTTGTCGCGACCGCGTTCAAGAGACTGCTCTAAAACTCCTAGTATCGAGTGTAAGCACGTTCGTGGAAACCCAAGGAAACCTGGTTGCCAGAACAATGTTTTACGTATGTCTTTTGTGATATCGAATGCTAGCAGGTAGTGAGAGAGGTTCGGCGTTGGCCGTGTAATACTCTGCATTAGCAAAAGTAAGATTCTTTCTTTACAGTTGCCAGTGTATTGTTTTTCGATTGACTCGATGTCTTCATCTAGAGTGATATCCGTATCCAAACATTCTACAAATCCATGTCTGATGTTGGTGGCTAAAGTGGGAGTCGATGTGAACGTAGAGAGCAGTTCAGAGTCTGCTCCTGGCTCGTTCGTCACCTCGAGAATCACGCCGACTGCATGAAATGCATGTTGCGGCAGCCACGAGCTGTACGAGACATATTTCGCGACGTTTATCATGTAGTCGGGCTTCTTTGACTGTGGATCCACCTCTAAAAGCAACCTGGATAGCCCAGTTAGGAGTTTGTGTACTGATTTTGCAGCTGTTAGCTGAGCCATATAGCTGTGCTGCGTTTTCAATCCTCTTTCCAATATTTCCAAACAGTACAAAGTACCGTTTTCAAGATTCTTCTTACCTGGGAACGACTCATATGCATCAAAACTGGAGCAACCTTTGTCCAGGATGTATAATATTACATGAAGAAGCTCCGATTTCGAATGCAACTGAGTCATAATGTGGTATCCCGGAGCAGAATTAACCACCGTAGTTTCTCCGTTTTGAAGTTCTACCTTGCATCCAGTAAAATCCTCGACGGTTGGCTCGTATTGATTTATGAGCTTTGAGAAAATTTTTAAACAACCCTCTGCGACCTCCCACTTTTCTGCGAAATTTTTGTACGACCGTGTATGAAACTTGAGGAAAATGGTGTTGATGATGAAATGTAAATATGGATCGAAACCGGGATTACGATGGCCCATTCCCAACAGTCGTGGTATCGGGAAATCGGTCAGAACATCCAGTAGTTCTAACATTGCTCGCGTTAACGGATACTCGTCTTTCTTCGACTCAATTTCTTCTAACTCAGTCTGAACTCCTCTCGGTTGATAGCTACTAATGGTCGGGATCGTTGACAGTATTTGCGCGGCTTCTAAACTTTGCCACACGGTGGATGAACTTTCAGGAGACCTTGCTAGCGCGGCTAGAGTCCTTATAAGCACTCCTTTCAATGGAATCGATATACTGCAACTGACCAAACCGATCAAAGATGGTAACACTTTCCATCCTGGATGATCGCATATCGCTATTCTTGACATTTCATCGTTCCTCGCAACAACTTGAACTACCAAAAGTACCGCTTCGAGTCCTTTTACTTCGTCTGGAGTGATACCCTTTGGATGATTTCTTTGCCTGACTAGGTAAACGGTATCCTGACTAGGAGGCAATTCTTTTCGAAGGTTAATATAATACTGGCTCAACGACTTGAAAAAGTGATCCCATGAAATCGTTGTTGATCCTGAAGTCCCTAAGAAGAATATTTATTAGAGTTCTACTGCTCAGAAGACTGCAAATTTCGTGAGTAATTATAAAACTACTAAGCAAATAGTGAGATCAAACGATTAGTTACCATTTGGTTTAAGAAAGTTGAACGCTTGTCGAGCTGCTTGCGAAGAAGAGGCGAGAGATGCTATCATTTTAAGATAAGGTACGAACAGGCCAGCTGGCAATATTTCACCTGCGAGCCGTACAAATTTAAATAACGCAACTTGTCTAGATGGAAAACGATTCATATATATTGGCGCAGATACGTGTGTAGAGTCGGAATGGTGACACCAATAATCCATTAACAAATCCAATTTTAGAGGGTCCTCTTTGTATAACTCCGCCACCGTTAGCAATAAATATTCAAAATGATTATCCAAATTTAAAGGTGGCTCGATACCCTCTTGTTGATAGACTTGTATCAAGCGCATGGATTCATCCGCTCGACTTCGTAAATCTTTCACTTTCAAAGGCATCAGCAATATAAAATCAGATATAAGAGTGTGAAAGTAACGAATATAAAATTCTTCGTAATATATACTCTTGTTCTTGAATAATACTTCAGCCATAAAGTGGAAACATTTGTTGGATAAAGCTGCTTCTAGCAGTCTTTCGTCTTCGTTCGTAATGTTTATCGGCTGCGAATTGATTATGGTTTTAATTGTTGTTAAGGCAACTGCAAACGCAAATTGTATTAGCCCTCGCAGTCCAGCGCTTTCCCAAGTGATATTTGTTGATAATAATTTCTCAATTAATTCTTCACGCGCGCCGCTATCTGTGATTAACGGCATTGAATTTATCAATTCTGAAACAAATTTCGAGTGTTCTTTAAAATAATTATATCTAAGAACTGATCCATAAATGTTAAATATCTATCGTACCTTCGCCGTTTTCGCGACTATGTAACGAACTAAAGTTGATCGCATTTAACACGCTCATTATAAGGGCGAGAGTAACTTTATTTAGCCCGTCTTCACCTGCTTCAGAATCTATGGCTTTTGCTTGTAAGAACGACAACAAGCCAAGCAAAATTTCATTGGGCAATGAGGACTGTGCAGACCATAAATACAAAATATCAGCTAAGTCTTGTCTAGAATCGTTGTAAAGTTTCATCACCATGTAGCGATGTTTTGGTCCTCCTAATGCTCGATTTTTTTCTAGCAATTCTTGTTCCTATGAAGTATATGATATAAATCTTAAATTTATAGCAAATGTGGAATAGAAATGTGTATTTATGTGCATAGCAAATGTGGAATAAATACCTTTGCGGGATCCATTAGTTTCAGTAAAGATAAAATTCCTTCCAACAAATCGTCTTCCTCTAATTTATCCGTATATTCCGTGATGTGCCTCAAAAGGGCGATGGGTGCATCAATTTTCCAACTATGACCCATTCTAGCTTGCACAAGCATCCTTAGAGTCGATGTAAGAGCTTTCTTTCCATCATAATATAATAAAATTGCTGTTAATCCACGAGGTAAACCAGGATGATAAGGCATTTGTAACTGCGCCGTGCATAAAAGATCCAATGCCATGAATTCATTAAGATTATACATATCAGATATAATCAGAGTTTCATCCACCAGCTCTTTTGATAATAACTTATGTCCCAAGTCAGGAAGTGTAATGCCATCAGTTGCTCCTTTCTTTATTTCTTCTCGACTATTTGTGTTTTGAGGCTACAGCAATAACAAGTTTAAAATATATAATGTAAGTGTTTACCTTTACTATATGCTATACAGCTTTAATTATTTCACATTGTATACTTGCATACAGGGTTCTTTAAGAGAGTAAGAAAATTCTGCCTATGATTTCGTAAAGCTTCTGTAAATTCATGGTATTGAAGATCATGACTGGTTGGAGAAGATGTAATATATCGTTCTACGAGACTCTGTAGCTCTTTATACGGAGTCCACATATCCGCTGTTGTAGTTTCTTCTGCAGTTGAAAATATAGTAAGAACGATTTAAATGCAACGCGATGTACGGCACATTAAGGATTCAATATTTTAGACGCTTTTCTCTATGTAAGTGTTTATATAAACAAAAAATTACCTTCGGACATCTTTTTCTAACAAGTAAAACGTTACAAAGGTACAAAATTATCGAGTATAAGTGTTGTACTTAAATGTAACGTAATTAAAGAGAAATATCGTGCAACACACATAATACAAACACCGGTCCTCTGGCGGGAACGATGGTTTTCTTGATAGCCATAGAGCATCAAGTAACGTGACATGAAACCATATCCTGTAAATACATTGCGTGTATTAGCACTAACTCCTGTACGTTTCTCTTCTTCTCTAAGTAAGCCCTTGTATCCCTACCATTTTACTGCGCATCCAACCCGCGCTGAATCCTGGCTTAGCATTGAATCGTCAGCCAATCAAACCAAAGAAATCTCACTTGCTTCTCTCGCTAACGGAGCGTGCCGCGGCCAGGGAGTTTTGCAAGGTGAGGTACATATCGCTATACATATGTATAGTATGTACATTTGTATATATGCATTCTGCAGAAATGTATTTAATTTTAGAATTCAAACTCAGGGGGCGTATGTAATCGGCACTTGATTTCAACACAAGGTGGCATAACCAGGAACAGCTTTGAATCTATGCTTTTTTCTTTCGAGTCGCAATGTGTCTGAGTTAGTAATCATTTAAATGATCTTGTTATTTTCTTCCTTTTCTTGTATTGTTGGGAAATTTCTAAACTCGTAAGTGAAGATCACGGTTTATATATTAGTCGGAAAACTACAGTAATGTGCGATGTGGAACGTGAAAACACGTGAATCAAAATACACGCATGTCACCGGCCGGTAATTTTGTATACGTGGTCAGTTCTCACATAGACGACATCATTATAGTACACGTTATTTGTTTTCTAAGCATAATATCACTTTGCACTGTTCAAATAGTATGATCATTGATATATTCATTCATTTTCTCACCCACAAACGTTAAGTTTTATACTTTTCCTCTTGTTTACTTTTATAATGAATCATAACCTAATGTCAACTGACAAATACCATATGTAATCAGTTTAAAATTTTCATGAATGTGTGAACATGTATTATTTATGCTGAACCTTTGCTTCTTCTACCTAATACCTTTTGCTCCTTCTTATTGTTTGATTCGTGTATGTGAAAACACTGTGGTTTCACAATGAATTATAATTATAAAGTATAATGCAATAATCAAGTAAATAACAAAGTTTTATATTTTCTTTGTGCAGGTAAAATTATAAACGAAGCGCTTAATTAATTAGAAAGTCCTATTTGTAAGCCTAATAAATATGGGTGTGTTAATGAAGACAAAGGGTTTGCTTATGTCTGCGCAAAAGCAAGAAACTCTTTTAAAATTAACCGTATTATCCCTTGCAGCAATTTTATGTAAGTATACTAAAGCCACGAATAATCAACAATATAGTTAAATAAAATATTTTATAGCATTTGCAACAAGATTATTCTCGGTCTTAAGATTCGAGAGTGTTATTCACGAATTCGATCCATACTTCAACTACCGTACAACAAAGTATCTAGCTGAAAATGGGTTTTATGGTTTTCATAATTGGTTCGACGATCGTGTTTGGTATCCTCTTGGCAGGATAATTGGAGGTACATATCTAGTATACTACATGGTTCAGTATAGATTACTACGAAAGTTACAATGAATTTAATATTACTTTACAGGGACAATATATCCAGGTTTAATGATAACATCAGCAGCGTTGTACCGTATTCTATGGTTACTGAATATTACCTTAGATATACGTACTATTTGTGTCTTCCTTGCTCCATTATTTTCTAGTTTAACAACAATTATAACTTACTTGCTTACTAAAGAGCTAAAGGTAATTTGTTTTTATAGAACATTCAACTCCTTAATATCTGATAAAATGATAAAATGTATTACGTTCATTTGATTTAAGGATTCTGCATCAGGATTATTTGCTGCAGCCATGATAGCAATAGTTCCTGGTTATATATCACGATCTGTGGCAGGTTCTTACGATAATGAGGGTATAGCTATTTTTTGTATGCTGTTTACATATTATATGTGGATCAAAGCAGTTAAGACAGGAGCAATTTGTTGGTCGGCTTGTGCTGCTCTCGCATATTTTTACATGGTGTCTTCCTGGGGTGGTTATGTGTTCTTAATTAATCTTATTCCTCTGCATGTGTTGACCCTAATGGTGACTGGCAGATTTTCGCACAGAATATACAATGCATACAGTATCCTATACTGTATAGGAACCATTCTGTCCATGCAGATATCATTTGTTGGTTTTCAACCTGTACAAAGCTCTGAACATATGCTTGTAAGTGATAACAAGTATAGCTATATTACTTTCTTAATTCTACACCTTTGTTGAAATCATGCTTATTTCTGTCCATAGGCATTAGGAGTTTTTGGACTTTGTCAAATTCATGCTTTAGTTGATTATTTACGTAGTAAAATGTCTCAAGATGATTTTGAAGTACTTTTCCGTGGTCTCGTTATCTCCATAGTTAGTATTTCAGTTGTTTTGGGGATTATTTTAACCATTACAGGTATTTATTGTATTTGCATATAATATATTGAAATCATAATATATATTAACATTAACAATTTTCCAATGTTTTTAAGGAAAAATATCTCCATGGACTGGGCGTTTTTACTCTCTTTTGGATCCATCTTATGCAAAGAATCACATACCAATAATTGCTTCGGTTTCTGAACATCAGCCAACATCGTGGAGTTCTTTTTACTTTGATTTACAAATTTTAGTATTTCTATTTCCATCGGGATTGTATTTCTGTTTCTCAAAATTAACAGATTCCAATATTTTCCTTATTTTATATGGAGTTACTAGTTTATATTTTGCCGTGAGTATAATTTATTCAGAATTATTTCTATCCCAACTAATGTCAGTTATATTCAAATATCTTTTTAATCATGCAGGGTGTAATGGTCCGTCTAATGTTAGTTCTTGCTCCTGTAATGTGTATCTTGGGTGGAATCGGAGCATCTTCTTTGCTTGTTACTTATATGAAGCAACTGAATGGTACAAAGGTTACTGATAAGAAGTCTAAAAAGTTTGAAAGCAACTACATACTTAGAAGTGATGTAATTAAAGCAAACTATTATAAATTTTTGATCATTGCAATACACAAAAGATGAAAATGTTACATCTGATAACTATTAATTTTCAGATTGCATCACTTTTTATAACAATAATGTGTATTCTCTTTTTTTCGTACACTACTCACTGCACATGGGTTACAGCAGAAGCTTATAGTTCACCCAGTATTGTATTATCAGCAAGATCTCCAGATGGTGGACGAATGATTTTTGATGATTTTAGAGAAGCATATTATTGGCTACGTATGAACACACCAGAAGTAATACATTATATTTCCGATAGTTTGAAATAGTTGAACAAACATTTGTTGGAACGTACATGTAAATTATAATTTCTTTAAATGTAGAATGCCAAGGTAATGTCTTGGTGGGATTATGGATACCAAATTACTGCAATGGCGAACCGTACAATTTTAGTGGACAATAATACATGGAACAATACTCACATATCACGAGTTGGTCAAGCTATGGCGAGTTCCGAGGAGAAAGCTTACGAAATAATGAGAGAATTAGACGTGAATTATGTTCTTGTAATTTTTGGAGGACTTGCAGGATACTCATCCGATGGTATATACTGGATCATCCCATAAGTAATGTGGTTTCGTTTTCGATTTTCATGGTTTTTTTTAAAAGAAAGAATCACCTTAGTTATGGAATGAATATACAACTTTATACAGTGAAAACGAATTACAGCGAGTACTGAACTCAAGAAACTGTTCTAACTTATATTATACAAAATCACATGCATTTGTATCATAGATATAAACAAGTTCCTATGGATGGTGCGTATCGGTGGAAGCACTGAAAAAGGCAAATCAATAACGGAATGGGATTACTATAACTCCGCAGGAGAATTTAGAGTGGATAAAGAAGGTTCTCCAATTTTGCTCAATTGTCTTATGTACAAAATGTGTTACTATAGATTCGGTCAAATTTATACCGAAGGTGGTAAGTCTTTCAATCGTTTGTATTATTACGATTTTCAAACTTGATAGACAATTGACATTCTGTAACATCGAAATTATTTCAAACAGGCAAACCTTCAGGATATGATAGAGTTAGAAATATGGAGATCGGTAATAAAGATTTCGAGCTGGATATGTTGGAAGAAGCTTATACAACAGAACATTGGCTGGTGCGAATTTATAAGGTCAAAGATTTGAGGAATAGAGGAAATTAAAAGCATACAGGATAATAAACACCGAAGTAGGCATCACTTTGTAAACTACATATGTCATAATCTTGCTCGCTTATAAGTTTTATAATTGGTTGAAGTATGGATGTGACACTAAATACAAAACCACATATTACTTCCATTAACGTCGGTATAACCGAAACCATGAAAAATAATTATATCGGGCCTTGTCGCAAACAAGTAATTTAATAAATGTAGTAATTTAGTCTTTGACAAATAGTCCATGTTCATTTCTTAGAAAAGCATATAATTCTATATGAATTTATTAGTATCGATCTTTATGATTGTTTTCCATGCGAATACATATACATAAGTATATTTTTTAATTTTATAATGTACACAGAATATGCTTTCTATTCTCTTTAAAATTCTTGAAAATTAACAATATAAAAGTTCAATCTATAAGATAACAGTAGCTTAGGTAGAAAATAAATTTACACTAAAAAAAGATCAGTTTTTGTAATCGAAATGTTATATCGTAAGCTTCGATGCTAGAGCATTATATATCTAAAAATAAAAAAAGAATATATACATAGGTATTATACATACAGTCCCACCATCCATATGTTATGCAAAGGCATGTACAGACATGCTTTGCTTGAAAGTGTAATTAATGTCAACCCCAATTTTTTGAATTTGTACAAATATGTGCGATTCTTGATGAACGTGAAAATAAATGTAAACAAGACAGCATTTGTTTCAGTGCGTATGTTTTATTCGATATACTCGTATTTAACAATTTACGTTGAAATTCTCAATTGTTTTAGGATTAAGAAACGAACGTTTTTTTCAGATGTTTAATTATTCATTTATATAATACTAAAATGAATCGTGTTGTTTATACATTTGTCTCAGTACCTTATTAATATCATTAATTTAAGAAATATAGGAATGGAATCATTTATTTAAATATTAGATTTATTAATCCGTGGATAATAAAACTCTACTTTCCAATTATAATCATTTATCTTCTAATGGACCACAAAGGATCTAACTGATTCAAAGGATCCATCGTTGTTTCGTTGCCTTTCTCTTGAATGGATGTTGAATTCGAAGGTCCTGTACCATTGTTTGCCGCAGCTTTCTGTTGACCTAAAACAGTGATCAACAATATTACTATACAATATATTGTTATGATATGAATGGCATTTCAATGCACATGGATTATAAGTAAACCTTGTTCGGTATCTGATCGTTGAGCGTTAATGCCGAGACTTTGAAGGAAATCATCCGAAGGATGCATTTTTCTCGAGATCTTATCTTTGTTCCCTTTGAATCCTTCGAAGTTTTCGAAAGTTGAGCGTGTGGATGATAAAATGCCGCCTAAGATATTTAAAAAATAACAAATAAAGATAATTCAAGAACAATAATTTGAAAATCAACAATCTAGGAGCATTTTACATATTGAATTAAAAAGTAATGCTGTCCTTACGTTTCATTAAAATGTCTTGGGCGTGATACAAAACCAGTTGATAAGCAAATAACAGAGATTCCTTATTTACAACCTGTTTGCGGTATTTGAGAAAACCTTTAAATACCAGGGGTACATCGACTATTCCACATCCAGCCCTTATATGACATACTGTTGCCGTTGCAACCAAAAATAAGCTGCTCAACGATCCTCCGTCCAGACAATGAACAATTATGGGCTTTGAGCAACGTCGCAACGCTTGTTCCGTCATGACGTCTGTTGCAAATGTAAGTAACGTTCCTGGACTACTAGGGAAGCCGCTAGAAACAAGATAAAATCAGGAGAAAAGTAGTCAGTATCTTCATCTGTACTCAGTCATCAGTATCTTATACTGATCCAACTAGAAGTAAACATCGCATAAAAATTTGTCTCACTTGGAAGGCCACGTAAGAAATTGCATATGCACGACAGTCTTTTCTGAATTTTTCTTAATATTATATACAGATATAACCCTTTGGATATAAGAAACATGATTGACCCTCTTTTTCAATGTAATCGTAAACGTGCCGATGTGTAAGATGTCTTCTTCGTTTGTGGGCCAATAGATTTCACCATTTAACTGAACAAAACAAAATAAGAACGTTTAATACAATAGGTTTAAAGGTAAAAAAGAAATGTTCTGTATTTAAAATTATTCTGTTTATGAGGTATTTAGTCACCTGCATATCCGAAGCTAAGCATGCAATTATTTCGCATTCTTGCTCCCACGTCATCATCCAAAATACTTGTGTTTTATCTACTAATGGTGTTTGAGTAACGATGAACGATGTTGGCATCCATTGTGTGATTTCCACTACATGTGAAGCGTTGATATAACTTAGTTGAATATCCGTTGATAGTATCTGTACCCTAGCAGCATCGTAAGGGATACATTCCATAACTCTGTTCTCTGAGGAATGAGCCAATGCCACAGTACATGATTGCTTTCCTGTTTCTCTCTCCTAGAATCAAATCAATTATATATTTAATAATGTTACAATAGAATAGCAAAATATTTTATGGTAGTAAGTCGTACTTCAAATTCTTGGATCTCCTTCCACTTTATGTCAAGATTTGTTGCCCCGCTTAATGTTTTAACAAGTAAACTATCTATAAATTTTTCATATTTTTCAACTTCGCTAATGAATTTTTGAAGAGCCACTGGTTCTCCTAGAGGATCTTTTTTTGGTTGTACATCATTATACCATGTATCCCACACTATTTGTAAATTTTCATTTTCTACTTTATCCTCGCTGGCACAAGCCTGTGCATTCGCTTGTTCATTTTCATTTTGTTGTTCTATGTTGTCTCCATCATCGACAGTGCTGACTTCAGATTCCTCTTGTATTTGAGTTTTGTTCAAAGGACGTATTTCCGGAACTAAGGGAGCATGATTTATAGTAATGTCCAAGTCAGACAACAAATCCACGTTAGACTTTTCTGATGATTTTGTGGTAGATTTTGTGGGATTTTTGCTCGTAGTTGTATTTGTTCCATTGTTAACAGCTTGCATATATGTTTGATTATAATTTGTTTGGTTTTCATTTTTACCAGTGGATGCTGAAAGACAAAGAAAGCTAACAGGTTGTTTTCAAAGGTTTAATTACCTAATGTTTTCAGAATTACCTTGATTTTGCATTTGAAGACCATATGGTGTTGTATAATAGATATCAGATGCACCTTGAGACTGATACGGCTGCCCCGAATACTGAGAAGATGGTGTTTGACTCACCAATGAGTTATTGCTAGCATTTGTATATGTTGCATTGCTCTCTTGAGGTAAATAAACGTTACTGTTTGTAACAGTCGTTTGCAATGTCAACTCTGCTGGTGGTGGTGGTGGTGGTGCTGGTGGTGGTTGTTGTTGTTGTTCCTGAACAGGTTGCATATTTTGTAGGTTAATTGATGGATTGTAATCGTAGCACTGACTAGTGGGATTATATGTGTATCCCATATGGTTTTTGTAAGTCTCTGTTACTGCATTTGTTATTTGATTGCTTTGCATGTAATTATATCCTTGATTATAAGAAGGCGAATAACCAACATATCCAGAATAATGTGATTGCTGTGGATACTGGTACATCTGTGAATAATTTTGGATGGTTGATGATTTTGCATGACTTTGAATTATTTCTGCAGTACTTGAGCAGTTTGGGTATGTGTATGTGTTACAGGTATCAGAAGGCATGATAGTGTGGGCATATGAAACACCAGTGTTTTGCTGCACACTTTGGTATGTACAGGGGTAACTTAAAGCTGTGTTGTTGATGGGTACTTGCGTTCCATACGAATAAGTTTTATCCACATAAAATGGCTCTGTTTGGCCTGGATATTGCATAATAGTAGTACTATGTAAGTTTGAAGTGTCCTTTTCGTTCCCTATAACTGTCAAAGATGTAGTGGAGTTAACGGATTGAGGAATGTTTGTATGCACGTAATGCGTTGGTATGCGAGATGTAGAGACAGCGATATTGGCTGTTCCAGGCGTGCTTTGAGCAGACCCAGCTGTCTGCTGGGTATGCAGATCCAATTGGTTATAGTATACTGTTCCACTGCTGTAATCTTGAGAACATGGAACTTCATTTTGACTGATTTGTGGGAGTACATAGTTTTGCATCTGAGGACCATTAGCTGGCAACACCTGTTGGTTTCGAATAGTTTGCGCAGATCCTTCAGAAGCAAGTGTTTGCTGAGGAACTGACTCAGTTCCATACTGCTGCCGTTGTTGATCTGTAGCCATGTAAATATTTTGATGCACATTCAGGGATTTGCTAGTTACACTAGACGTTGGTACAGCTGTCTGTGATACTACTGACATTTCGGGAGGTAGATTCCGAACTTTTGTGTCAATCGCGTTGTCGGATTTTTCAACAGTAGAGGGATACTGTTGTGTAAAATTGTATCCGGTGTTGTAATTTATCGGAGGTTGATAAGTTTCATATTGTGCTACATTTGAAGGAAGATTATACTGCAGTTGAGTATTTGTAGAATACTTGTGTTGACCATCCAAAACTGCAGAGTATTGACCATTTGACATGAAGGAATTTGTCGGATAATGTGCTACAGTGCTTGCAGTACTCGTTGTCATATTTGTTACGGTTACTTGCGGATAAGTATTCGTGGTATCTGTGTTATTCATTTGTACATAGCTTGGAATCGAAGTATTGTTTACCGTGGAGTTTTCATTATACGAAACAGTTTCGTAAGCGTATGGTAAATTGGGTTTGTAATCTGTGTATGATGCGGGATAATACTGTTGCATAGACTGTGCAGACGATGCTGTATCCGGTAATGAAATTCCCGCGGAATGAATTACGTTCTTGTCTACTGTATCGTCTAAATATGCTTTCACTGTTGCGTCTCCTGGAAATGGTCTAGCTTGGCCTTTGCCCACGTTATAATATTGATTCTGAACATTCTCTGGTCTGTTATTTAAATAATCTTTCAACTTAAGACCACTACCAGATCGAACGCGGTTTTGGTCGTAAGTAGTAGTTGTCATCGTATCGACTTTTCCTTGGGAATTTTTGTTATCCTGAGCAAGAATGTGCTCGCGTTCCTCTTCCTGCACCTTGCAAGTGCTTTTCACTCTTTGCAGCAATTTCGACACATTTATCTCCAATTTCCTATAAAATTCGAGACCTTTGTTGGCTTTGCCCAACAAATCTTCGTAAGCATCATAGGACGCGATTAAAGACGTTACAGTATGTTCTCGACGTTTTAATATTTCCTCGACTCCTTTTCGTACGTTAGCAGTTTGAGCGTACGCGTCTGTCAAAGCTGCTAGGATATTATCTTGTGCAACAAGATTTTGCTCTATCAATGATACCTGCAACATCAAATTAAATAATTTTAAGTTCTTGGATAGAAGCATTTTGATGAATTTGCGAAAACGAATACTGACTAAATTTTGATGTTTACTAAGTTGATCTGCGAATAAGCGGTCCAAAGGTCCGGAATCGGATGTAGCAGTAACTAATAATCGTGTCAAATCATCCTGTGCAATCGAATCGCGTAATTTTGTATGTAATTCGTTTCTTTGTCGGCGCATTTCATCCACTTTGCCTAAAATGTGTTTCAATTCTTTTGTGTGCATTCGTTCCAATTCGATAGCAGTTTGTGATTTCTCGTTGTTTTGTTCTGAAAAATGTAGAATAGACAAGAACGTAAGAGTTTGTTTAGAAAATAGGTTTGCAAAAAAACTATAGTATACCTGAAAGGTAGGCACTCGGTGATGGTACATGAGTCATAAGTTCGGCAAGTGGTTGGGCGAGTATTTTTAAATTTTTCACATGCATTGTAATCGCTTTGTGCAATGCATGATTACTCTCTGATGCTTTGCTGTGAGCTTCTTCATATTTTTTAGCTTCCCTGGTTAAATCAGTAGCTACGATCGATGGCGGTCTTTTTCCAACTGCATCCTGATACTGTTTTTCTCTGTAAAATTAAGGAAGCATTAATAAACTCTTGATTTGTTGGACAAAATAAAGATATTTAGTATCTAAATGGTTAAATTCCAACTTCATCTCTTCGTCAAGAAGAAGCTTATTAATTTCCTTCAATATCTTCTCGACGTCTTGACTGGTGTTGGATAATTTTCCCATTACATCTACTAGTTCTTGAATGACGTGCTGCTTTGCATTCAGTGCTGCGCATCTTTCAACCAATTCATCAGGAAGAGGCAAACGTTCCCATTCCGTAATTTGAACATCGGGATCCCATAGACTCATATGCTCTAACTTTAAAGATGCTAAGTAACTATTCAACTGTTGATCTTTATCTTCGATTTTGCTGCCAATGGATCGCAATATTTTTGCTTTTTCCTCCGAGTACAAAGAACTGGCTTCGTGTACTTTCATTGGTACTAATCTATGTTGTACGACCAATGGTAAACAATATTATATTGTGTAAATTAAATTTTACAATGTACAGTTACCAAGAGACCAATTTATATACCTGGCAAATATATCAGGACCCGAAACTTCAGGATCGTTTATACTAAACGATATTCCTTTAACTAACGAGGCTCCTTTTACTGTGGGTAGAGTTTCCTTCTCAGGTACCTCTTCATGGTATATAAATTCATTTTCATTTTTAGCTGCTTTACGTTTCCCCTCTATCACGTCGTTTGTAAAGGTAAGTGCTTCTTCTATAAGTGTCTTCTCTTCAGTCTTTGCATGTGCATAAATTGATTGTGCTTCATTTAACGAAGCTAATGCAGCATTATAAAATGCCACCCTCTCTCCCATTTTTCTCTGTTCTTCTGCTGCTAACCCTTGATATAGATGAGTAACTGCTAGATGGTAGGCCTTTTTAAATTTCACGTATCGTTTCCAACTCTGAAACAACATACTTTTAAGTTTATCTTATCGCATGCAAATATTTGCAAATAAAAGCATTATTATACTGTACCCTGTATATTTTTGTACCAACTGTATCTGATATAGTTCCATCTTCACTTCCACCTTGTTTAAGCGTGGTTAATGCCAGCGTATAATAATCCACTATTTGTCTTGCGACTTTTGCTGCATGATACATATATCTTGTAGAATGATACACAAGAGCAGATAATTAAAGCCATAAAACATAATAGTATCCGTGCAATTTCTAACTGCTTAATACATACCGACGATTGTAGGTTTACGATTATCAAGCATACTCTTCTCTAATATGCATTCTTGTGCCTGAGCCAAACAAAGTTGATGCATAAACGTCATCAATTCTGGGGCTAAATCTACACCAGATGGCTGTGGATAACTGTTTTTTAAATGTTCAAATGCCCATGCCGCACATTGAAAATGTGCACAGGCTATTCTCATACCATCAGCAGATAGCCTCTCTGTACGTGCACCTAATTGAGTATGCATCGAGCCGATATTGTATAATACCGAAATGATTTCAAAGCGAATATTGGCCAATGAACAAACCATATTCGCATATGTGTCTCTCCTATATGAATATATAAAAATGAAAATTTTCAATTGTAAAGATGGTTTTCTATTGAAAGTATAATTACCATGTAAATGTGACTGCTGCTGCTCCATCTTTTCCCATAGGAAACCTGCTCTGAAGAAAATGTAACTGACAATAATACTTCTTCAATAATAAACAACCAGCCATGTCGACTGGTGGTCTAATAGCCATTGCTCGTAAACTTTCCAACTGATGTATTTCATTCGAATAGGATTCAGGATCCTCATTATAAAAATCAAGGATGTACTGAAAATAGAAGAAAAACGTGAAAAGCATTTATTATTTTGTTTATTTTTGCAAATAAAGCTAGCAAAATTAATATGGCTCTGCAAAATTGTGTAATAAAAATTTTAAAATATCATTAGGATGGTGTGCTTAACAAAAAGTGAAATGAAGTGTAAGTGTAATATACAAAATACTAAAATACTTTTAAGATGCAAATTCGTGGTACCTGCTTCAATTTTAATCCAAACGTAGTAGTTTCCGGACTGACTTTTAATTGGAACGATATCATCGGTAACCTTGGTACTGCTTCCATCGTGAGCTTATTCTTTTAATCGCAACCGTTTTTAAGTTTCTTAAGACTGACAATTAATCATCTGTCAAACGCGTAGAAATAGGATTTGTTCACAAAACATAGTTCTCGTTGTCACGTATTTCTGACGGGTGATTGTACCGCCTTTGGATCTATTTCCATGTGTAAAACATACTCGAAGGATATGTCATGTGACAGTTCAATGTTTCATCTAATTTATGTATTGTTCCATGCAATAACAGTTACATTTTAAGCGTTAAGCATGTAATTAACAAATTTTGACTTGAAAATTAATTATTAGATAAATTGTTTCTTTGGAAACTGGTTGAACAAAGTCACAAGTTACATGTACATACTACATACGCATCGTTTGTACCGTTTCACGGATGAAAAGAAGTCACTTGAAAGGAATGCAGATTTTATTGGTGTTATGCACACATATATAATTTTGCTACTGGCCGAAGTGACAATATTAACATGTCAGATTATGAAAAAATCTCGTAAACTTGTTACAGTTATAATATATACCACTAGGTGGAGTGTATAAAATCCACGGACCAAGAAATGATCCGTATGTACATGGCATACAGACGAGGTATAGAAGTGTATAAGAATATTCTGGAGTACATGTTCAGACTGTGACCTAGCACCAAATCATCACCCAATGTAAATTTTTGTTACTCAAAAATGGGGCTTCAGAAGCCCCTTAGACAATAATATATGATCTAAGAGAGAAGCCCCATGACCATTTCCGTGTAGCGCTCATCGTTATCGATATTTCAAAAATTAAGCTTCTTATTCTTGCACTATGGTCTACTACTACATATACCTCGTCTGTGGTGCTGCTAGCCAAAATCAACAGTCGGTAATTTGGCTAACAGATTGAATGTTTTGCCACTACCCCAATTGGTGCTGTATGAACCTCAAACGGAGCTTCATTTTATGATCAAAAGAGGCGCCACCATTACCCGCATTGGCTATTTTAACATTAACCCACCCATCAAGATTATCTACTTTTTGATGGCTGAAATTCAAAACTAGAGCGCTTTACGATAGGTAGGTTATGATGTTATATACGCGAACTCATAATTAAAAAATACTTTCCTATTTTCACGAAAAAATTCATAGTGTAGTAGTAATAACAAAATACATATAAGGATAGATGCACGACAGTAGTTAAATGTATACAAGAACGTTATTAAATGTTCGGAACAGTAGAAATGGAAACAGGTCTGCAAAATAAAATGTAGAAAACATGAAAACGTTGGATGAAATCAATAGCCCTATTGTATATTGATAAGTATATTTCAATCGTTTTGTATTCAACATACAAATATAAGGCGAGCTATAAAGATGCCAAGGATAACTTACAGGTTGTCACGAATACAAAATACCTGTAGCTTAATTGGAACGAGTGGAAAATCTTCAAAATCCTTTTGATCGGTTGTGACGATTTTTTTCGCATTAGCTCGAATCTCAATGGGGGACCGTTCCAAACAAACGCAGGAAGAGGGAGGCGATGTTCCTTGGCATTCCATCCATGGTCGAGAGGAAAAAAAAGGAGATAAGTCCTGCGGGTGTTAGAAACTCGTCCCATTGAAAGATTCGAGAGTAGGATCGTAGCATCGTAGTTTGCTAGATGTGTATGTTATATGTATTGTATGTATATTGAGAAAACCGCGAATTCCTAAAAATAAAGCAGTTTTGGGAATGCTGATGATTCACCTTGAACTTACGAACGGTCGATTTATCGACTTGTTTTCCTTCTCTATAAAAAATTCGAAAAAGGAAGAAGAAGGAACGTGGGATTAGAGTGTTTAGCTGATAGAATACAACAAAGCATTTGTGACAATTTGTTAAATATTTCAACAAACGATTTATTAGAGAAATATAATGAAATTATTCCTAGGACCTCAGGGTATCCCTTTCTTACTTTCAATCAGTCCGCTAAATGAGCGTTAATCATCGAAAACGAAGGAGAAGTCGTTGTAATGCAATATAATAGTTTTCCATCGGCAAATAGAAAGAAGAAAGACGAACAGAATTCGGCTGGCGACAGGCGACGACAAGTATTCAAATCTAAGTCTTGTTCGTTCCCCGAATTGGCGCGAACAGGAGATCCAGTTCGTTCGATGGTTCCCGCTCGACGGGTCGGATTATCGACGACACACGTTCTCCGAAGTTCATTGGCATCGGGATGTCAAATGTTTCGATACAGGTTGCATGAGTCGTTCCTGTACTTGGAACCTGTTGAAGCGTTTTCATAAATACAACCGAATGCATAATTAGATTTTTAATGGCTGTCTTATTCGACAGCCCGATAGATTATTTCTTTCGACATCTGGTTCAACGAGCTTCGAATTCTCCTGATCCCTGTGCCACTGAAATCGTTACTTGCCGGGGCGCAGAATTTTAAACATTGCTAAAGCAACTGATCGTGTTCCATTTCGGTTCGTTACAAAAAGATTTGATGGTTTGTATATACACGCATCGTAAAGTGACTATTTTAATATTTTCTAAACACTAATCATTTTCGTAGGGGAGACCATCTATAGTAGACACAGTTTTCGAAAACACCGTGTTGGGCCATCGTTTGATATTTAACAGCGGACTTGTACACGAAAAAGCATTTAAGGCGGGATGGCAAGAGATAGTTCGATTGGTGAAATTCGTGGAACAGCGTCTGTTAATCCTGGAATCCGACACAGTCCGATTTCGGACACGAGTTCCACGATAAAACGTAACGTCTTGATTTACACGGTACCTTGGATTGTTGTCAGGATACTTATGCGAACCAGCATGAGCTATTCATCAAACCAACTTACGATACTCGGTCGCAAGAATCGAAGTGGTCTCCTTATAATTACATCATCCATAAATTAACTTGGTCCCGTTGGTCGATCGTTCTAAGAGTGAGAATGTCGAAGACACACATGCGAATCCAGGGAGAGAAAGAGAGAGAGAAAGAGCTGGGTCGATGGTATTAGAAGCGTGTGTGTTCGTTCTCGCTTGACGAAGAAATCCATCCGCATTTTAATCTACACACGACTCGATTCCCTGCATCCGAGTTTTGAAGGGTTTTATAACTCTGAATCAAGGACATACGGGCAGACTCGAGCTGCTTTCCTGTTCACTGGTTAGTGACCTGGCTCATGGGTCCCATGCCAGAGCATCGAAGATTTTGATTATCGCTCGTGCAGACTTGGCCTGACTCCGAACCTTTCGCCTCCCTCTTCTCTTTGTTTCTGTCTCTCTCATACTCTCTCTCTCCCCCTCTCTCCCTCTCTCTCTCTTGTTCTTTTATTTCTGCTTGGCTCTGTATTCTGTTACCTTGCGTGTTCAGCAAGAGGATCGCGAGACCTATCTTTGCCGGTTTATCGTTCTCCATTTCTGCGTGGGCGACTCATGAATAAATACAATCTCCCATAATTATCGAAGGTGGTGTGTCAATTCGGGAGCGATAGTGATGCGTTCGTGTGTCATTAAACATGTTACAAACAAGCAGCGCAGCGGCGTAAGGGTCCTATCACCATTTCCAATGGAGCAGTTTTACGATATCCAAGTTTCGGATGTCCATGCATATGCGATTAGGATATCATTTGATACTTTTCAATCGCAATTTATTTCTGCTGGTTGGTAAAACATTGACACTTGTCGAGTATATACAGGTACCATCTGTCTTTTTCTCTTTTCGTGTAGAACGCGCTAAGTCGGCATGGTTTCGTTGCTCTGAATTCTGATGAAGCAAGGAAGGCGTTAAGCAGGCCCTACTAAAGGGATAGAAGGATTGTACATGTATGTTTTCTTTTGTATAGGACATATATACATATGTATAATGAGTTGTTTTAACTTATACTTCGCGTTACAGAGACCGTTACTTTGTTCCGTCTGCTGAAAATGAAACTAATCGTAAGAAAAGGAAGAGAACGCGGAAAAAGAGACAGAGCCATCGGGACCGTTTTCGTTATTGAACAGTAGAGAGTCGAGAAAATGCGTACAAGAACCAGAGGACCACAGTATGGGCTATGCAAATGTCTTGCAGCGATCGGGTGCTTGAAAGATTCGAACGACTGGAAAAGAGTATCGCCACCGTGGTGGTGTGGTATCGAAGCGGTGCGTCGCGACGGCCTCACCTCCGCCAGGGGGAATTCGTGTACGTACACGACACGGTTCTTCTCGTGTTCTGCCCGTGGTCAAGGACGTTCGTGAGAGGGTCCGCGTAGGGTGCGGGTCGAGGGGTCCCCGGCCACGACGGAGTAGGTATATATATGGGCGCCCCGCGCGTTCGGAATACCAGATTCATGCAAGGTAGCCATCCCCGCGAAGCGGGTGGTGTAACGCGCTGCTATTCAAAATTCGATTTCCCGTTGTGATTCACAACCAGACCGAATAGAGGGACAGAGGAAGAGAGTAATAGAGGAAAAGAAGGAGAAACGTGGTAGTGGAGAGTGTTGGATCGGTAGTCGATCGCGGCTTCTCAATCATCCTTCAGTGCAGTAGAATCGGGTGACATTAACGCTCCGTTTCGGCTCTCTTTGTCCGCTTCTCGCCAACGATCAACCACGGACATTCGTATCGCACAACCCGGACGCGTTCCCCGGGAGAACGTCCATCCGCTTCTCGCTCGAGGCAAGGTTCGTTTTCTTTTACGTTATCAGTCGTTATCATTCTCTATCTCGCGGTCTCGCAGCCTTTCTTCTTGCCGTTTTTCTTAGCGTTCTTTTTATTGGGTGCATTACTGACTTGAAACAGCTCCATGCAAAAGAATTGCTTTTAAGTAACATAGCGAGGATTGGAAATATTGAAGCGCATCAAAAGAACTCAATGACTTTTCTTTCGCTCTCCCTATTTTTCTAAACGGAATGCCAGTGTCCAGCATTAAATGTGCTCCCTTTAATGGTCACGTTTGGCCTACACGAAGTTCTAAAAAAATTTGATCTCGAAGAAGTAAAACTGTCAAAGTAAATATATACCGGTTCACCACATATTCAAGTGTTTACCAGCGGTCTGGACCGACTCTTCCCTACGTGCCGAATGTTCAGTCTTGTTATTAATCCATCTTTGAGAATATCGAGCGTTGCCGAGTTAGTGATGGATCTCATTGGTATGTTTGACGGTAAGCATCGCATCGCGTTGCATTGCGTCGCGTTGGCAAGAACGACCGAGGACGAGACGATGAACCGGCTAAGGTTGTTCTTTGTCGCATTGACCGCTGCTTCTGCCTTCGAGACGAGTCGAGCATTTTTAATGACTTTTGGAGACATCATCGAGCATCATTTATGTGCTTAACGTGTCTCTGTCCTCTCGATGAATCAGCGCACGGCGATGGGCATAAATATGAACTTTGTGGACGATCGACACGACGGCCAGCTTGTTCGCCAAAGAGACAGAACCCTTGAAAAGCAAGGTCCAACGTCAAGGTCCAGGGAAATGAGGTGTTCACGATTGAGAACCTTTCTTTCTTTTTTCCTCTCGACGTTTTGGTTCCACCGACCGCAGCAGCGTCACGCAATGAATATTAATGACTCGAGCGTTGTAACAGAGTCACGACCGAGAATATATCAATTAGCGGGAAAGGTCGCAGCGAAGTGGTTGGGGACACTGTTATGATTGATCTTGGTTGATCTCGATTATCGGGGAACAGAGGTTACTTGCCACAGCGAGAACATATCTTGTTCCGTATTTTTATTTCCGGTTCAGCGATTACACGCTCGTGTGTTCTTCGCGACAAGACAGGACTTGTCTTAAGTTTCTTCGTTCGCCACTGGCCACTGGCCACCATCCACCGGACAATTAATTATCTGCACGTTTATTACTCCGGCTAGCAAGTTAATCTCTTGTTCGTTTATACTTGTCCGGATAGTTCGTTGTCCAGCTTAATTGAGTCTGTCCCAACACAATATCGCTAACGTCGTGCTGCATTTGCTCCTTCATTGGTTTTGTTCACTCGATCAACGCTGATTAAATTATTTATTCAATTTAGACTTTCTGCAACATCGTTTTAATTAACATAGGCTACATGATTTATTACACACGTATAACATATAAGTTGATTTCCTCAATGATGTTTACCAGTTTTCTCTAACCGCAGATGATACCGGTGCTTGTTCTGATCCTGGTAGGCCTAACGGCCGCAGGACCCTCTCACCGCATATCGACTCGTGAGCTGCTACCGCCACCGCTGCCTCCACCTTCGAATAAAAGTCCGAACGAGACAATCGATTTGTCTTCGTTTCAAAGTGGACGCGTCGAGAATCCGCCGACGATAGACAATTCTGTCGAGGGATCCGTCCCTCATCAACAGTACGAAGAATACGGATCGAGGAGATACCCGCTCCGCGACGCGGTCGAGGCTCTGCCTTTTAACACAGTCGGTCCTCGGCCCGGTAGTCCACCCTTGGAGAAAATTAAACAGTTAGTGCCATTCCATAGGCGATATCTTAAAAATATGATACACTGATATTGCGGTTATTGTATGCGAACCTATTGCAGGTCCGACGGAAGGGTGCCGTTGAGAGACGCCGTGGAGCATCGTGAGGCTCCTTTCGTCAGCAGCAGTCTTGATCACGAATCAATTTGGATTGCGCCTCTCGTACCACCAGCCCTGACAAGAACGCAGCATATCGTTGAGCCGAAAGTAGTCTGTCATCTAGATTCGAAAGCAGTTCATAGAACGGAACCGTTCTCCCTATTTCCGCAATCGATTCCAATCCACAAATGTTCTCATTTGGTTTACGCCGCCGCCACCTTAGGTACCGAACAAGTCAACAAAATTCACTTAAACTTCTGCCAGTCTCTGGATCAAATGGAGTATACATATGCTGTACAATGACGTGCCAAACCTACGAACTCGAAAATCGAACATTGTTCAAAGGTCCAGAGACTCGATACGATCGAATAAATCAAATAACATAGGTAAACAAAATTTTTTCAGATCCGGAGAAGCTGGAGATCGTTTCAATGGATCACGAATACAACGAGATCAAAGGTAACTCGTGAACACACAGAGTATAACGAACGAAACGCGACTTTGTGTGACTTGTTCTCGTTCCGTTAATTTACCTGAGTAAATTGAAATAGGTGGATACAGAGCAATAACAGGACACCGATTGAAGGATCCGGCACTGCGGGTACTCGTTTCAATCTCGTCGGCTAACAGAGGAAAATTGTTCTCCCAGTTGGTAAAAGACCGTTGCACTTTGCACTGTGAGAAACTGGCCGAGTCTATCTTGAGATTTCTGGACGATCGCGATCTCGACGGAGTGGAGATCGACTGGGAGAGCTCGTCGGAGAATCCAAACGGTCTCGAATTGCTTCTTAGGATTGTTAAAAAGTCTCTGACAAGTCGCGGGTACATTCTAGCGGTGGCGCAGAGGCCGGAGGATCCGATCAACTCAGAGATCAGTTCCATAGCCGATCTGATTATTGTGAGAGCGTGGCGAGAAAGCCCGCCGTATCGACGGGAGAAATTGGCCCTACACCCAGCCCCCTTGAACTATGTGGCCCGGTTGATGAACAAGTGGATCGATCGGATTCCGCGCGATCACAGATCCAAGATCATTTTAGGTCTGCCTGTGTTCGGACAAGGGTACACGCTCAAATTTGGAAATTTTACCGATACTGGTGCGCCAATTGTTGGTCCCGGGAATCAAGATGTTTACACAAATCTATCTAACGGCAAACTGGCTTATTTCGAAGTAATTGATCAGGGATTCATTTTATTTAAGACTTTTTGTTCGGCTGAAGCTAGGACATTTTTACGCTTTTCCTATGCCTTGTTCGCGCCCATGTTGTGCATCGCATCATTATGCTACATTGGTTAATCGGATCGTTAGATTTTTTTATACGGAGAAATGAGCCAATCGGCATAGTGAGGCGTAGAAATGATCTGTTAACGCTGACCGAGGCTCAAGGAAAAATATTTTAGCTTTGCTAGTTTTATCTGTAATCGCTTCAAGGTCTGCGAGAAATTGGAGAACGATCAGTGGATTTCTGGAAGGGACGAGGAAGGACCTTACATAAAACGTGGAGATCAATGGATCGGATACGATGATTCTTTGGCGGTGAAGATTAAAGTGGCTTACGCGAGATCGGTCGGACTTGGTGGAATTTCTGTATGGTCTCTTGATCTGGACGATTTTCAGGTATGGAACATGAAATAAATAAATCTAAAAACATGAAATCCATCGCGCGTCTGTTATTCCATCTGCTAATTCATCTGCTAATCCATTTGCTAATCCGTCTGCTATTCCCGATGCTTTCGCCGAGGAGCTCGACAATTTTCCGTGATAACTCGATAATTGGGTGATACTTTGTATTCTTGCAGGGTATCTGTGGGAAATCTTGGCCTATACTGAACACAGCATCCGAGTCGATAGGATTTTACGACGAGACACAAGCAAGTACGAAATGTTCTCGCGACGGCGCCGTCAGCGATCCTGAAAATTGCTCCGGATTCTACACTTGTCATGATGGTAATAGATCATCACGAGCTCATACTTCGCTCGCTGAGCAAACATCGACGGGAAATATATGAGTTGGCCATTATTTTTCCGATAGGTGTTCTGTATCACGGTAGCTGCGGAATCGGAAGATTTTTTGATCCTAAGGGAGGTCGTTGTGTGAGAGCAACGTCGGAAATTTGTACACCCGGCCAGCATCATCGTGATCAGGATCAGGACCTCGGAACGGATTTAAGGGAAATGCAGCCGCAGCACTTGGAGATCTCAACGATGAAGGGTCCGCGGGTAGTTTGCTACGTGACCTCTTGGTCCCTGTACCGTAAAGGGGAAGGAAAATTCGTTCCTGAACGTTTGGATCAGCGGCTCTGTACCGACGTGGTCTACGCTTTCGGTGGCCTAAATCCGGAGACCTTGCTGCTGCAGCCGTTCGATCCTTGGGCAGACATAGAACACAGTATTTATAATTTGAGTCTAAAGTAGTCTAAAGTCAAACAATTCTCAAGGGTTTCCAATTGTTTTTTTAAAAACCTGACAATTTTAATGAGATTATTGCAACTCTTGCAGACTTGTACGAGCGAATAACCAAGATAAATGGATCAAAAGTGTTGCTGGCTATCGGAGGATGGACGGACAGCGCCGGCGACAAATATTCTCGCATGATCAGCACCCAAGCCAGTCGTCGCAAGTTTGTCGTCGCAACCATCGGCTTCCTGCATAAGCACAACTTTAACGGACTCTTATTTGAATGGAACTATCCTAAATGCTGGCAAAGCGACTGTCGGAAGGGCCCCGACTCCGACAAACCAAACTTTACCAAGCTTCTGCAGGAATTGAAGCACGAGTTCGAGCAACAGCAACCTAAACTCGTGTTGGCCGTGGCCTTGTCCGGGTACAAAGAGGTGATCGACAGATCTTACGAGGTACGAAAGATATCGGACACCGTAGACTTTATGTCGGTCATGAGCTACGACTATCACGGGGCCTGGGAATCAAGAACGGGACACTTGTCGCCTCTGTTCGGCGCTTCTACCGATGTGAATCCGTTCTACAATGTCGTAAGTGATCGTAGAGAGTCGATTCGCGCCTAGATCGAATCAAGTTTTCAAAGTTTTCTTTTCCAGAATACCACGATGGAGTACCTGATCAGTCTTGGCGCGGAGAAATCCAAGTTATTGATGGGCGTACCGTTTTACGGTCAAACTTATCGACTTTCCAGCGAACGTTTGTCCGGGTTGGGCGAGCCTGCTACCGGACCTGGAGCATCCGGAGAATTCACCAGGCAGCCCGGCATATTAGCTTATTACGAAATTTGCTACAGATTGAAGCACAAGGGATGGAAACATGGGCCAGGCCCAAGTGCTTATTACAAGGACCAATGGGTCGGCTACGAAGACCAAGAAAGCGTGTTCGCGAAGGGACAGTACATTTTGAAAAACGGCTATGGAGGCGCTAGTCTGTGGACCGTTGATCTGGACGACTTTTTGAATCGTTGCTGCGCAGAGCCGTTTCATCTTTTGAGGACAATCAATCGGGCACTGGGTAGCTAATCAGACGAGTGTCTTCTGCTAGCCATCCTTTATAGATACCAGGAAAGAACGACAATCGTTCTCGTTTTTGTAGGTCGTCTGAAAACCGAAACCATAGAAGACTGTCGCCGACCAACCGAGCCGGTCACGCCTCAACCACCGACCCTGACTACTCATAGCGATGCCGTGGAGGACACTCCTCGACCCACGACGCCGATGATCAAGCCGACGACTAAACCGATCACTGTGTCGACCACCTGGCCGTCTTGGTCGCCAGGGTCCAGTTCTACGACCCAGAGCACAACCTGGCCAAGTTGGACTCCAAACACGAGCAAATCGCCCCAATCCACCACCCAAAGCAGCACATCATGGACTTGGACCTCGATCAAGTACGACGCCTAGCATTTTTGCACAGCTGATCGAGCAGACAAAAAAATTGTTCTTAAATAGAATCTTAAATAGAATCAATGACCACAATAAACCCAATTGCGTAGACCGCCAAGCGAGCAGACGACACCAGAGATTACAGAGACTACGAGGAAACCGGGGGAACCATCCACGCCTGGGGCGTCCTGCAATACTGGAGAGTACACGGCAGACCCAGCCAATTGTGGCAATTACTTTAGATGCGTCCTCGGCGAACTGAGACGCGAACAATGCGCGCCCGGATTGCATTGGGACACCAGCCGAGGAATCTGCGACTGGCCGGCTATTGCGAAATGTCAGTCGACACCTGGTAAGGTCGTCTTACACACACGCTGTTCATCAACAGACCGTTTCATAGTTCGTCTCATCTCGTCTTATCTCGTCTGAGATAAGTAACTGCTGTGCAAAAGTTCTATCTCTTGCACCTGATAATCTCGAAAGATTCATGATCAAATAAAATCTGTACCAAGTCAACTCTTTAGAGGGTAAAAAAATATTTATGGACGATAGCCGAAACTCTGCACATTTATAGTATAACTCCGTACGAAATAATTTCAATGCTTTTGTTTGTATCGCTTAATCTCTTTTGCAGATTCCTCGACTCAGCAACCGTCTTGGGCTACTAGTGCTACCACTACCACTACTGCCAGCACTACCATGACGTACAGCACACAGAGACCAACGACTTGGTCAACTTCGAGGGCCACCACTCATCGGACGTCGACATGGAAACCAACCACTTCTGAAATTCCCAACGGGATCTCTGAAAAGGCCTGCGAGCATGGCCAGTATTACCCTTATCCGAACTCCTGCACGAATTTCTTGGTCTGCGTGAACGGGAATCTTATTTCGCAACAATGTGGCCCAGGCCTTAACTGGAACAACAAGAGAAGCATGTGTGACTGGGCCTTCAAAAACCCTTGCATCGAAAAACCTGCAAAAAACGCCGCACTGGTCTCTGCCAACGCCAAATCCAGCGTGAGCAGTCTTCTTATTATTCTATGTCCTATACATTATGTATATGATGCATACATAATACGAGGGCATACGATTCAAAGTAGGCTCGTGGATGATTGATCGTTTCCTTCTTCTTTGCAGCCATGCGTTCCAGGTAGTTACACCAGCGTTCCTGGAGACTGCGAGAGCTATCGAGCCTGCTTGTGGGGACGCCATGAGATCTTCCATTGTGCTCCAGGATTGCATTTTAACAAGAATACTCGAATATGCGATTGGCCGTCTCGAGCTAATTGCCAGGATGACGAATCGGGGGAGGATCAGGATTCTGCGGCGTCGAGCGTTGGATCGGTCGACGAACCGGTCAACGAGTCTACCTCCACAAGCACAACTAGTCCGACTAGTACAACCACTCTGTCCTCTGCGACCGTAGATCCTGAAAAAGTCTCTCCGCTTTCAGGCTATTATAAGGTAAAATTCGATATGGCGTATAGGCCTATACTCTCCCGCGCAATATGGCAGCAATCATTCTCTTGAAATCGTTTCTGTTAGATTGTCTGCTACTTCACCAACTGGGCCTGGTATAGAAGAGGCATCGGCCGTTACATTCCCGAAAATATCGATCACACTCTGTGCACGCACATTGTCTACGGATTTGCCGTGCTCGACTATTCGGAGCTGACAATCAAAGCCCATGATTCGTGGGCCGACTATGACAACCGTAAGTAAGAAATTGTAACATCTCAGTTGAAATTATCCGTGACGATTCGTTTCGATTTGTTTCGAACAGATTTTTACGAGCGGGTAGTCGCTTACAAGAAACGGGGTCTGAAGGTGTTACTGGCGCTTGGCGGGTGGAACGACTCGGCCGGAGACAAATACAGTCGATTGGTGAACAACCCGACCGCCAGAAGGAAATTTATCGAACACGCTGTTCAGTTTCTCGAAAAGTATCACTTTGATGGGCTAGATTTGGACTGGGAGTACCCTGTCTGCTGGCAAGTCAGTAGAACATTCAATGTTAAACGGACCATAACTATTCGATACTTAGAACGTCTCGCAATCATCAGAATAAGATGTTGTCTGCGCACAACCGATTCGATTGATTTTTTATTACTTTTCGCAGGTTGATTGTAAGAAGGGTCCAACCTCCGACAAGCAAGGATTCGCAGATCTGCTGAAAGAGCTGAGTAGCGAACTAAAACCGAAGGGCTTGCTGCTCTCGGCTGCCGTTTCGCCGAGCAAGAAAGTGATCGACGAGGGCTACGACGTGCCAGCCCTGGCTAAATACTTAGACTGGATTGCGGTGATGACTTACGATTTCCACGGTCAATGGGATAAGAAAACCGGTCACGTTGCGCCGCTCTATTATCACCCGGAAGACGATTACTATTACTTCAATGCAAACTACTCGATCAACTATTGGATTTTGAAGGGCGCGCCGCGTCGCAGTATCGTCATGGGTGCGTTGCTTCGAACCTACGCTTAATACAACAAGGCTGTCAAGCTAATCTTTTAGATTCTTCACAACAAACTTTGAATCAAAAATTAAACTATTCGGTTCGATTCGGTTCTAGGAATGCCACTGTACGGGCAGACGTTCTCGATGAACGATCCGTCCGTTGAAACGGGATTGAATGTCCCCGGCAGCGCGGGCCAAGCTGGAGAGTTTACCAAAGCGGCCGGATTTCTAGCGTACTATGAGATATGCGACAGAGTACGAAACCGTGGTTGGACCGTTGTACAGGACCCCGAGCACAGAATGGGTCCATACGCCTACAGGGGCAATCAATGGGTTGGGTACGACGATGCCGAAATGATTGCACGAAAGGCTCAGTTTGTCAGGGATACGGGACTGGGCGGTGGAATGGTCTGGGCTCTGGACCTGGACGATTTCCGAGGTCGTTGCGGAGAAGGGCCTCATCCGCTGATGCACGCTCTTCAGAAGGTGTTGGCTGTCTCTGCCGAGAATGAGGACCAACGTAGTTATCCCGATAATGAATTTTCTGATTAGGAAAATAAGAAACCCCGCGAATACGTCGCGAATACGCCATGAATACGTCATGAATACATCGCAAATACGCCGCGAATACGTCGCGGATACGTCGAGACGAAACAATAGAGACCCGAAGCGTTGATGTAACGATCGTTGTTCAACCTTCCCAACTTAGACTCTATCTTTGCAGGCAAGTGACCCTAATTAACTTGATCGAAAGCCAACGCCACACGACCGTGCGAGAACGCATTTTCTTGAAAGTTTAAAGACCTCTAAAGAACTACTTCGATTAAAAAATGGTCAAAAATCGCCGAAAACCTGTTCGACCGTGTATTATGCAGATTTATTTGTTTCTCGCAGCCGAGAAACCTCCGATAAACGAGGAGGATTTGGACCCTCGACCAACATCCATGTCATCGAGCACCGTTCCAGAGATCACGGTGCCGTCGACGACGTCCAGGGAACATCTGGCGAACGACGAGTTTAAAGTGATTTGCTACTTTACGAACTGGGCCTGGTATCGTCAAGAGGGCGGTAAATTCTTGCCAGAGGACGTGGACAGCGATCTGTGCACCCACGTTCTTTACGGTTTTGCTGTGCTCGACGGGTCGCAATTAACGATCAAGTCGCACGATTCGTGGGCTGACGTAGATAACAGTAAATCAATCAGCATAGGCAATTGCGCTCTTTCAAAAATCGTTTCGTCCTTGTTTCTAACGTGACTCGTTTTGTAGAATTTTATGAGAGGATAGCTGCATTGAAGTCTAAAGGAATCAAAGTACTGATGGCTATCGGCGGATGGAACGATTCAGCTGGCGACAAGTATAGTCGCCTGGCTAATTCGCCGTCTGCCAGGCGACGATTCATAGAGAACGTTATAGCGTTTATCGAAAAGTACGAATTCGAGGGATTGGACTTGGACTGGGAATACCCAGTGTGCTGGCAGGTAAACCTGTAAATCTGATAACGGAATCGAACTCCTGAACACTCCCTATACATAAGAGTATGTCTGACGTTGATTTTTAAACCGCAGGTAGATTGCAGAAAGGGTCCAGCTTCGGACAAGGAAGCTTTCGCGAGCTTGGTCAGAGAGCTCAGCGAGGCATTCCAGCCGAAAGGATTGCTGTTATCAGCAGCGGTTTCGCCAAGCAAACGCGTCATCGACGAAGGCTACGACGTGCCCATTTTGGCTAAATATTTAGACTGGATATCCGTGATGACCTACGACTATCACGGCCAATGGGATAAGAAAACCGGCCACGTAGCTCCACTCTATCAACTGGGCAACGACTGGGAGCCGACCTTTAATGCGGTACGCTTTAATGTTTCGCAGCTACAATCGATACTTCATACGGATTAATCATATTCGCAGGATTTCTCACGCTTGCAATCTTATCGTGTCCTTTTCAGAATTTCTCCATACACTACTGGATGGAAAAAGGCGCACCGGCGAACAAGCTCGTGATGGGCGCCCCTTTGTACGGTCAATCTTTCTCCCTGGCCGAAAGGAGTCAAAGAGGGCTAAATGCGCCAACGTATGGCGGAGGCGAGGCTGGCGAAGCGACAAGAGCCAGAGGATTTTTGTCTTATTACGAAGTAATGTAACCACCGATTACCGGACACGGATATGAAAGAACCTTTTTTCGAATTACAAGTCATTATTATCATTTAAGAAACTCTGATTCTCTGCGACGTGTCTCATAATTCAGGAAAACGGTGCAGATCTTTGCAAAATCATTCAGAATTATTCAGAATTATCCAAAAACTGGTACGTCTGTTGTAGATTTGTGAGAGAATTCTGAAGAGAGGCTGGGCCGTGGTAGAGGACAAGGAGCGACGTATCGGCCCGTACGCGTACAAAGGTGACCAATGGGTCAGCTTTGACGACGCCAAGCAGATCAAGCTGAAATCGGAATTGATACGAGATCTTGGTCTGGCTGGCGGCATGATATGGGCGCTCGATCTCGACGACTTCAAGAATAGATGCGGCTGCGAGCCGAGTCCCCTTCTACGGACCATGAATCGAGTCCTGAGGAACTACCCGAGTGGTCCATTATGTTCGATCACGACTGGTAAGATACGTACTCGTCCGCGATCCTCACAGGTGATATTGGCTCGACGATGAGTTATAAATAGACGCTGCGTTTCAATTAGATTCAATGGTGATCGACGCGGGTGAATCTAGCACGGAGACAACAACTGCCGAACAGTCAAGCTGGGGATGGGAACCAACAACGCCATCCCGACCAGCTCACCTGCCCTCCACTTCCTCAACCACCGTCTCCGTTATTGCCGACGTCGACGATGTCGTGGAGATCGAGCTGGACGAGCGACCAGCCATCTCTCCGCCCGACGATTGTCACGGCAGATTGTTTATCCCACACAACAAAGACTGCACCAAGTACTATTTATGCAATTTTGGTAGTGTGACCGAGCACTCGTGCCCCCCAGGACTCTACTGGAATGAGGACCGCTGCGACTGGCCAGAAAATACCAAGTGCACAAAAACTCAGCGGCAGGTGAGTGCTCCGATACTTGGTCTATCTTTTTATTCGTTTTCATTTAATATTTGCAATGCATGCTAACGTTTACTCTGCGGTTTCAAGGCGAACGAGTTTCTTCAGATGATCGATACCCAGAAAACTGAGAAAACTGGGCATACTGAGAAAATTAAGAAAATTAAGAGAACTGAGAAAATTGAATAATGATATGATAACAAACGATAATCCACGTTCATTAGTGTTGGTATTGTGCCAGGCGAAGCTAGTGAACCAATTGAATTTGGCGGGAGCGATGATGTGGTCGTTGGACACGGATGATTTCAGCAATGGTGCGGCTGCGGCAGGTATCCGTTGTTGACGGCACTCAGCCTCGAGATTAGAGGAAAACGACATTCCACGATGAACTGTACCCGATGAAGATTACAGAAGTAACTCACAGCTCATTTGAAGACACGCGAATGTTTCACGGACAGCTGAATTCTCATTGAAATTGACGAAACAAAGTCTTCCCTCACTATCTACGGTCGCGACGGTCCCGAAGGTCGCGCGAGACCGTGAACCCCTTGTTGAACGAGTAATTGGTTTCTTTGAGATTGCATTGATGGCTTTAATTTCCTACATTTTTTTCCAAATAAATAACTTGGCTAATCTTCCGAAAAACGTTGCGAGAAATGAGCGATGATAAAACGGGTCTTTGTACTCCGAGCGGGTTCTTCGGCACTCTATGTACCTAAATTCCATTGATTGCGTAACCACAGTCAACGGATTGTGTATCGTCTTTAATTACGAGTCCGAGATAAACTCGAATACTTTTTTAACGAAAAATCGTTCGAACAAAAGAATCAAATGTTTGAGAAAACTGTGATAAATCTCGGCTTACAAAATCAGTGTTCTGAATGGTGCTGTGTAAGCGCGAAAAGCGCGAAGATCCAGGATCTTGGGATGGTGAACGAGATTGTGATCAAGATCGGGATCGGGCTCAGGATCGAAACGCCCGCGCTCGACCTAGCAGACGAATCAATTTACTTTTGTTCTTCGATCTTCGAAATAAAATGATGTTCTTGTGCGTGGTTTACGTAACGAATCGCTGCTGTAGAATTGTGAGACCAAATATTATGCATTGCTCAGATCGAAAGCGTCGCAATTGTAACTTTAGAATAAAACAGCGGAAAGCAGATAGTGCATAGAACGTATTCTAATTACTACTGACTGTCACACTCGCTGCACTTCCTGCAGTGCGACGGAAAATTTTTCCCCGTGATAGTGATAGCATACCGTCAGAAATGTCGCTTTTCTTATACGACAAATACCTTCCTATTTCTTCTCTTTTTCTATCTACTATCTATACATAGTGTTTTTCGTTACATGAATAGTTGTGCTGTCGGATCAAAGATCGCATTCGTATCAGTTAAGTAAACTATTAAAAAGCATAAACTATAAAACATAATATAATACGATCCGGCAAGACACAAAATTATTACGTTTATAATAATAAATTCGATTATAATGTACTCTCGATACTCTAATATCCTTGATAGTAACTTTCAAACGCGGAACATATACATATAGTGAAAACGTATGCCACTCGAAACAATAGATAACAAATAACAGGTGTACCGATAACCCATTTATTTTGGAATGTAGTCGTAACACGTCTAGGTCTAGCTCACATTGAAAATGTGTGGCTCGTTGTCTGAAAGTCTGGATAACGTGTGCGCTCACTCATTTCTACGTTTTAAGACTCGCCTCTCTTCGTGCTGTAAACACAAAATACACACGCAAACTCTATCTGATTTATAGAATTGCGAATGTCATGGTCAAATTGGGTTGCAAAATTATCTGACTGATAAGAATGAAAACAAGAAATTGTCTGTTTTCGAATAACGCAGCTTTGTGCAAGGTTTATCTGTCTTGCGCGAACTTCGTGTGAGAGTAGTCAGTCAAGGTTAGAATTAATTGATTCAAATGAATGAGATACGCGCATTGCCGATTCTTCTTTGGTGGGAAAATGCCGCGTGAATGTGTGACGGGTATTGTGGCCGTGGCTGAAGTCAGAGTGAAACGGAACGGAGTGGAACGGAACGGAACGGAACAGAGGAGGTAATGACTGTTAAAATGATTCGCGCAGCACTTATACTTCAAGTCAGTCTCTCTGAGTCGTTCGTGAGCAGCGCGACGAAACGGTCGGCGTGGTCGTATACTGCTGAACTCGGCGCATTCAATTCGAGTAAACAGTAAGTATCAGTAATATGCGAACGAATTTCGAAATGTCAAGTAATCGATTCCTAAGAAAAAGATACCATTGAATCAACACGTAACACCGCGCACAAATTTTACGATTTACCGATCAGCAGAATACATCCAAGATATATAATCATTGCATATACAAACAAAATTTTCCAGTACAAGATATCTGTTGCACTTCCGGTAACTAAAGTGTCAAGATACCATTTTGTAAGAGCGAATATCCTAAGAACGCGATCGTGTAATTACCGCAAAAATTGTGTAGTTACTGCAGTTACAAATTAACATTAAGCTCGACTTTCATCGATCGATTATTACTTTCAATAATAGAGTCGTAGTTCGTTGGTGGCGACGAGTTTCGGTAAAGATCATTCGATTCAAATTTAAGCAGAAGTTTCAACAAGTATTTGCCGAAAATGCAATAATCTGTTTATTTTCTTAGATTACGACGCGCTAGTGCTTGCATCGATAGATGATAGGATATGCACGACTACGAAGGTATGTAAACACATTGTTCTGCATTATTTACCGCTGTTACATCGAAGAAGCTCAGAAACGGTGATCGATTCCGGAAGAATCATCATCACGCTACGCAAGATTCGATTAACCTTCACAAAAAAATAACATGTTTCTAACGATCAAGTGCAAATATTTGGATCTATTTAAATAATTATTCATTAGCCTCGGATATTATATTGAACAAACATACGCAATATTTACAATTACGAATAAAACGATTAATCGTAAATTAAGGTCGTGTCATTCTATGCACTACCGCGCCACGTTGTTCGAGAGTTATCATGATAGTATGCGATACGGTAAACAATTGTTTCAGAAAATCACAAAATTGTTGTGCAACTATAGGTTAAAGTTGTGTTGTTAGTCTTTCGAAATATGTATAGAGCAGCTGTTCCCGATCATTTAATTTTAATCCGTGCGGAATTTGTCACTAATTGTATGACACCGTATATACAGTCAATGTGTTCACAATTACAATTCATTCATTTTCGACTTACCTACAATTGGATGCGTCAAATTTCACATTAATAATTAATCAAGCTTTATGAGATGAACGTAACAAATGACGAGCAATCGAAAACGAAAGATACGAAGCTGTAATTTTGGATCTGTTTCTATTTCTTTCCAGACAACAGTTCTTTTTCGTAATGTAAATATTAACTATCTCACGAAAATGTTATGTATCGCACTTCCGTCAGCGCGTCAAGGTTTACGCTATTCTATTTACGGAAGCTACAGAAACCGATGTATTAATAATTCTATTTGTATCAAAATGAAAATCATTTCTGATTTCTTTTATATAATTCAAAACTGCATTCGCCGAGCCGTTAAATACGTGTGTCAGCGTTTATTTATTACACACCATAGACGGTTCAAAGTCCTGTTGCATACGTAGAAAATTACTCACTTGCGGATTACCGTAGACGTACTATATTTTAAGGAACTCGTTTTAACTATGTTTTAGTACTCGTTCAATATAAAATTTGACAAGGGTGCAAATGTCGAAATAGGTACCTAAGAAACTAATGATAATTTCAATCTCGTAATCCTTTTTCTATTGCCAATTTTTTTTATTTACAGCTGTATTTTTTAAGGACGGAAAAATAGTACATAAGTATGTGCACAGACGAGGGATCTCTCGTCTGTAGTATAAGTAACCCAGAGGTAACTCAGATCTACCTTACCCTCGTAGCAGAAATACGTTAACGTACGGTAGGTTACGAAAATATTCGGACACTTTTTAAAACAGAATAACATTTTTAAAGTTGAACCAAACAATGTGAATTTTAGTGAGTTGTTAGAAGGACTAGTTTACTAAGCAATGTGTACAAAAATTTTTTAATTTAATTTAACACGAATGGAAAAAAATGTTTATCTCATTTAAACAATGCATCGTGTAGATTTCGGAAACTTATGTGCTATTACTGAAATTGAAGAGTGTCTTAATTCGAAAATATAAATATTTTGACCACTACATCAACGACAGCCACAATTTTTTCCAACCTGTACTTGTGTGTGTACCTAACCCAACCCCAACCCCTAACCCTGACATTGCCGTATATGTACATACAATCATATATATGGTTATATACCTATACATATATAGATATTCGTAGGTGTAGTCGCAGTACACTTCCTTCTATGTAATGCGCTACTTATCATTATCGTTCTGATGACGTCATGACAGCAGCACGTGCTGTATAAAGCATGGCATTAGGTAATGTTTATCGAGAATTTTTTCGTTGTTGTTTACATACCGTTCAGTGTAATAGATTTTAAAAAATTGCCCCTGTATCGTGACTTTGGTCGGGTGAATAGTTTCAGTTACGATGAGATATTGACCTAGTATTCGTGACTGAATCCGTAGGAAAAGATGTTTTGTAGGAGCAGATACCAGTTTAGATATTACTATATAATATGTAGAGAATAGCGACAGTTGTTCCCTCGATTAACATCGAAATGTAATTATTATTCCTCGTAATTATAGATAGTCATGCGGCTGTACTCACGGATGCTGAACATCAGCATCAATCCATCTCCGACGATCGAAACGAAAGATCGGTATGCATAATTATTATTCAATTGTTTGACATTTTTGAGTTTTCTAATTGTTACATTTTAATTTTTTAATACCAGATACAAATCTATTTGTCTTCTTTTTTCCATTTTTCCTTTCTCTTTTTCTCAGCAGATGTAACTATTTTCAATTAAATACATACTATGTATGAGAATATTATTGGTACATTATGTATATTCAATTTGATACAAACAATAATATTAGCTGCTGTTATCTTATCAGACTATACTTGTATAATGAATATGTTCACACATATTCTTTGATAAACGCGAATTAGGAAAAACAAGACTCTGGTCTTAAGGGGTGTCAGATTATTTTTTATTTTCTTGTTGTATTTGAAAACAAAATTATCTTTCATTTATTTTGGTTATCAGTTAATACACGATTTTGTGCACATTATACTGTTGATCTTTCATTTTTTCATTATTTTCAAGAAATACATTTCAACTTGGAATATTCTTAGGATTCGGGGGGATGGACCATGATATTGACATTAGCTGGCATTACATGTTGCCTGGGATCTGCGGTGCCTACAGGATTTAATATTGGAGTAGTGAACAATGCAGCAAGTGTCAGTACTATTATTATACAATAATTTTAAATACTCATTTCTGTCAGAAGAACTGTTTCTAATTCCTATGATTATCTAATGTATAACATTTACAAAATCTAATGAATTATGTGTTTATATGTATGTATATATATTCCAGTTAATAGAACAATTTTGCAATAAAAGTATTAAAGAGAGATACGAGGTGGACATTTCTGAAAATAGCCTGAAAATAATCTGGTCCACAATTGTTTCGATTTTTCTTATTGGCGGTGTTACTGGTTCGTTTATTGCCAGTTGGTTAGCAGACAGATATGGAAGAAAACCAACTCTTTGTATTGGGAACGTATTTGGTATTGTAGGAGCTTTAATGTTTTTTCTAATACGTAAATTAAATTCGATTGAACTTCTCCTAGCAGGACGATTAGTTGTTGGTAAGTTTTAAAATGTTTTATATAATAGTTGTCCATTGAATATGTTAACAACACAGAGCTTTCAGGTCTTTCTGGAGGTTTTGCTACAAGTATAGTACCAATGTATATGGCGGAAATAGCACCACTTAGATTAGGTGGTGCTGTGGGAGTAATATGCCAACTGGGAGTTACGTGTGGAGTGTTTCTGGGACAAATTGCTGGACTCAAAACTGTCTTGGGGACCACAAACTCTTGGCATTATATGCTGGCAGCCTTTGTTCCACTATGCATATTTGCTTTAATACTTACATGTATTGTTTTACCTGAAAGTCCAAAGTATTTGTTTATAATTAAAGAGCAGAAACAAAAAGCTTTAGATGGTCAGTATGTAATTGGTATTCCTGTAGTAACAAACAAACATTGATTCTAACAACTGGCTCAATACATTTCAGAGCTGAGTAGACTACGTAATATGGATGTAATACTTTTGCAAGCAGAAGTTGCCAAATTACAACAAGAAATAGAAATGAAAACAACAGCCGAACCTTGGACCATGAAACGCATCTTGAAGGATCCATGTCTAAAGCTTCCATTGTTTTTAGTTTGTTTATTACAGTTTGGACAACAAATGAGTGGTATAAATGTCGTCTTCTACTATTCAAATTCTATATTTTTGCATGCCGGACTCGGTGAAACTGGGGCAGAACTCGCTACTCTTGGAACCGGAGTGGCTAATATCGCGATGGCTCTTATATCAGTACCAGTAATGTCATCTTTGAACAGAAGAGGTGTTCTACTCACCAGTACTTATTTATGTCTCGGATGTTTAATAATTCTATGCGTATCTATCCTGTTAATTGTAAGTAGAAAAAGCAGTAGAATTTAGGATTATATAAGGATAAAACAATTATTTTGTCTTTCCGTAGCATGCAGCAACGTTCATGCCAGCTATATGTACAATAGCTGTACTGGCTTATGTGATTTTTTATGGGATTGGTCTTGGTCCAATACCATATTTCATTGGATCTGAATTATTCGACGTTGGCCCAAGACCAATAGCAATGGCACTGGGTAGTGTCTTTAACTGGGGTGGAAATTTCATAGTAGGAATGATGTTTCCAACAGTTGAAACCATTATAGGGCCATACACTTTTCTACTATTTGCTGCATTTCTTATATTCTTGGGCCAAATTATTAGGTAACCAATCATATATTAAATACTAGTTTACTTATCAGAAAATGCTGTATACCTAATGTGATGTTTAACTTTATTAGGATATATTTACCGGAAACGAGGGGAAGATGTACAATGGATGTTGCTGCATCCATAAATCAAGGCTTTAACTCTAGACCAAATTCCAGGCGTATGTTTTAAATCAAACAAAATTGGAATATGAAAAATTTTTTCTACCACACTTTTTTATATTTATATATATAGATATATTTTATATATCTATTTGATTCATTAAATAGGCGAATACGTGAACTTTGAAATTATAAATAGATAAATTCAGATCAGTCTGTAAATGTACATGTAAATTTATACATAAATATAAAGACAAACATTTTAAATTATCGCTATAAATTGAAAATCTTGTAAATTTTATTATTTAAATAATTAATCATTATATACTATCGAATTATAAAACTCATTACTGCGTACAGTACATTCTCCCTAATTGATGCTTAGCTTGGAAACAAAAATGGATAATTTGGGAAGAGGAAATACAATTATTCCAGCCTTACCCTCGTTTTTATAGTTGTTAACAATCGGTAACTATAGAAACTCCTTTTCCTAAATTGTCCATTTTTGTATACAAGCTGATATATATATATATATATAAAATGAAATTTATTTTATTTCGCTTCATAATATATTCGACGTTATCTCGATAATAATGTATCTATGAAGCATTTACTTTCACTTATCTACAACGACTGTACAGCACATGCAATTATTTAATTATATGTAACATATTTATAGATATACTTAACTACTATTATGGATATATTTCTACTAATCATCTGTTTTATCCATGATGAATTACAAAGGAGCTGCTTAAATTTGTTTTTGCAATATGCACACATGGACGATTGTGGCGTCTCTTGTGAAGAAAAAGTAAAACTTAGTTCGAGGTCCGTACAGCGCCAATAAGTAATAGCAAAACGCTCAAGCTGTCAGCCAAAGTACCGACAGTTGATTTTGATTATCAGTTTGAGTGTTTTACCGGTACCCCTATTGCTGCTGTACGAACCCCGAACGAGTTTCACTTTTTCTCCAAAGAGGCGTCATACTCGCCCATGTATGAAAACATTAATTATAACACAATTAGGGCATGAAAAAATAAACCAAGGGTACAAAATTGTTTAGGAGACTCTGATAATATCGTGTGCTACTATCACTGATGTTATTTACTTTATCACAGTATCATGAGGATTGAGATTATAAAGTCAAAGTATACTCAGTATACTCAGGGATGCGATGAAAGCTAGTATTGTATAAATCCGACGAAAAATAGTACAAATCTAGCACTTTTCATTGCACCTCTGCTTGTATACGTATTTATGTTACGTTACTCAGCTTTTATTACAGTTCTAATCAATCAAGCTTTAGTCACATTAGTCCTAAATGTATCATACAACTGATCTAGCTTTTCATAAAATACTAAACAGAGTACAGTATGGGGTGCTATTCTCATCCATGTCGGGAAAAGTCCTTTGTATAAACCAGTTACTCCCTCTGTTCGAAATATTTTAATAAGTGCATCCAGAAGACCGTTATACAATGCACCTTTACCGCCTGGTTCGACTCCTATACAGTCAATGTAACCAGTATAATCATATGCTTTCAAATCATATTGTCGAAACTATTTCATATTATTTAAATAAATAAGTACAAACTTACTTTGATTGTATAGTCTTGTCGCTAAGACATCGAATGGTTGTATAGTAAGTGCAACACAACTACCACCAATCAAAGATGCTGCAAACGTTAATAGTATTGGTTGATCCGTGAGTACCTGCGGAAAACAAACAACATTCTAATATGCATTCTTTACACGGTATTTGAGACACTTACTTGCATTGAATGTAGCCAATCTGCGGCCAGACCAAAAGCAGTTAATTGTGTTGCAGAGCCTACGAAAAGGCGTGGTATGTTAGCGTACCAACCACGATATAACGCAGCAATTCCACCTTCCTTCCATAAAGATTTAAAAGTGCACCATGTGCCTGCATGGTTGTGCTGATAACCAACAGCTATACTTTGCGCAGATTGCGACTGTAATTGTGTTTTCAGCTGTAACAATGAACTCAACTTAGCTCATGCTTATACAATATTTTATGAATAAAATATCCAGTTACGTCAACACATCAATGTACACTGTGAATTAGCCATGAGATTATTCATGATACTTATGTGTCATCTACGAGATTTAATTGTGTACAAAATAATGAGAATAAGAAGTAAAAACACTCATTTACCATGTAAAAAGGGCTGCCAAGGACTGCTCCTATACATCCGCACGTTCCAGTTACTATTACAGTGCTGAACACAGCAGTGTTTCCTTTTTTGTTAGTAATAAATTCATGATCTTTTGCCCAATTGTATATACCTAACCGTATCCCATTGAGCACCACTTGAAAATAAAGTGCCGGTACAATACCTGCTTGCAAAGCAAGCACGCCTTCATGTTTTGCTATTAGATAGCCTGCGTGTAAAGTGTTTTTATATATTTTCTTGTATGAATAACGTGCTGCTAGTTCCCCCTGTAACTGCAGGCGTACTTTTATCACATCAATTGGATTGGTAAAAAATCCTGCACCCACTGCTGCTAGTCCACCGATTGCAATCTCGATACCTAAACTAATAAATCGAACAAATAAATAGGAATTAATTTTAAGTCCTTCGTATCATTAAATCTGGAAAGATTATGATCCTATAATTAATTTAAGAGCTGCGTACTTGAAATACTTTCAAATTTGATTCAACTTTTGATCTGTTCAAGACGGATCCGTCATTGACGGATCAATGAAATAGGAATAATATATTGAATATGTGCTTGAAACTAGGTACTAATTCTAGTATATGTCAGCCGGCCGGGTATGATCGTATCTATCGTTGCATAACTCTTCAACACGATGGCGTGGTCATATGCTTTCAAAAAATATTTGAAATGAACCGGAACTATCAATTCGATATTACTCGGAAGATCAAAATAAAAGCGCTTACGGTTTAATGGAGATTGAGTTAGGCTCTGCGTTCATTTCCCGTATAGAAAAATAAGACTGTCGTATATGAATGATCGAAAACTAATTTATATCGAGTCACTTGACCGAGCCTAGCGGTACAAACAGTGTTCCTATTCCAAACATTACTGATCTTCTTACTACCAAGTCCCGCAAATTTACATCATCTACAATCTACTATGGATTAATTTTTTCAAGTAGAGCATCACTTGACAGTTTAAGGTCGTGATTAAATATCAATAACTTTTATTAATATTCAAGGAAAATATATTAACGCCGACAGTAACGTGTATCAACAAGCGCAAAGAAACTTACGACAAAACGAATCACTGATCAGAAGAGTTTATTGCAGTTTATTGTATACAGTTTTACCAGTTTTCGGCAACCATTTTCGAGTTTTTATTGCGCATGTCCCTGTACATCATACAGGCATGTATGCATATATGCATACATATGTGTAGTATGTATTTACTTTTTAATTGAGGTATTGTATATGATTATACATATATTATTGAATTGATTTTTCATTGATAAGTAAAATTCGTTAATACATTTTGAATGACAGATTGCACTGACATTACTATAAATATAATAATTTTATAATTTTTCAATTTAATGTTAAGTTTTGTCAGCAAATTTCTGTAATATTTATTACAGATTTAATCAATTTATTAGTACATAATAAAATTTTATATTAATGGAAAGGTATAATATCAATAACTTCATTAAACTTCTAATTATCACTGTAATAGGATTATGTACATCTTATTTCACATGGTTAAGTAATTTATTTATGCAACAGATAAACCTCCACCAGCCTTTGAAATCTTAGAAATTTCTTCCTTAAATTTTGCAATTGTCTCCTTTGCCAACGTTAATTTTTCTTTTAGATCTATTACTTCCAATCTTATTTTGTTTCTTGCCTCCATTATTGCTTTTATCATGGATTCCCTTTTAGCTTCAACTAAGCATGTAACCAATTACTTTTGTATATAGACATATACATTAAACTAAATCATTCCTATGCATACTTACAATCCGTGTTATGGCGCCAAACACCTAAAGTTATGGGTTTGCTCGAATTTAATAAATGCTGCATAAATGCTGTTGGATCTTGAAACACAATTTCTTCATAAAATTCAGAAACCAAACTCTTTTTGCCCAATTGTATTTCGGGTGTTGTTTGGAACAGCTTTAATATATGGTATATAGTCACCTATTATATTTATAATAATTAGTATATGTTTCTAATCAATGTTTATATAATTAAAAATATACTCGCAGGACGTTCATTTGGATCATGAAAATATATTTTAATCACTATTTCAAATTCTCCCCAGCCAGTTTCGGTGAGCTCGTATGGTGGTTTTGTCATGATCCGATTTGGATTGTTATAGCTCTCGTGTAATTTAAAATGCACCTTTTTTACATACGTTGACATATCTTCATTGTGATATGGTTTTATGTAAACAGTCCACTGATGAGTGTGCCCATCTTCTTCTCTTTTCTTACCAAAATAACGAGCTACATTACCATACACTATAGGCTTCACTATCGTGACACCCTAGAAAGACGCTGATCATAATTTGTTATCCAAAATTTGAACTTAATTCAGATTTCACATACTCAAACATTAAAATATGTTCATGTTTTGATAGCGTGTAGGTTAGTAAGATAAGGAAAGAATGTGCGTACAAAGCGTCGTTTTTTGAAACATATTCACCTTCACTCTGCCACCAGAATCAGGACCAAACTCATTTGTTGTAGCCATCATTTTGATTGATTACGTTTTTCATTGTTTGTATTTCATAAAGAAAGTTAACGATAAAACGTAAATATTGACAAACAGACATCGAGTTGCTGTCAACCAGAAACTGTCTACATAATACATTAACCTAATTGCATTAACAACTCTGCACCAGCGACCTCTAACATAACACGTGACTACGAAAACTTTAAGCATTTTAAATTTGACTTAAATTTTTAAAAAACTGTGGTTATTTTTATTTAGGTCAGCAGGCAAATTAAAATACGGAGAATTATTTTTAAGTAAATTTATTTGCTTCTGTCGTGAAGGGCATTAAAAAAATATGTACATTTCTCTTGAAATAAATTATACTTGTCTAGCATCTTTTTACGCAACTCGATCGTCTGAGCAAATATACATACATAATAGAAACTTATCCCATCGTACCGACAACTACGATTATTATGCGAGTTGACAAAACTTTTTAGTTAGAGTATGATTCTTGCTCAGGAGAATAATTTTTGTAATAGATTGACATCTCACAATTGTTTTCTAATCGGTATACCTCATTGAGTTGACAATTTGTCAGAATCATGGTATCCAAAAAGAAAAAAAGAAAAAGAAAACTCTTCTATGAAACCATTGTCATACAATCACTACTTATTTTAAGAAACACCCGTATGGATCGATTCATTGTTATTACGATAACAACGATTAGATTACAAAGAACCACGTATTTGGATGTATTCCAAAAATCGAATAGGGTCAAATATCGCTGAAACTAATGACGACATTCCGCACGATCTTTCTATACGTATGCTAGAGTTCCGCGATACCTTTCCATAATTAATTGATCAAATATTTCTGCTTTTTCAGTTATAACTTGAAAGTAGAAAATAAAGCGCTCGCGCACGCTACACTGCTAGCATACGTTCTATATTACAAGAGAAAAAAAGGGTATCTTTCGGTCACGTAATTAGTACAAGATTTTTCGTCGATCGGTGTTACATATATTTCGTCTCTAAATTGTTCGGTGTGGAAAGTAAACCGGATGCATGTTGCAATACGTCGAACATGCAATGACAGCCAGCTGCCAAACGAATACGTCTTCAGCACCTCGGAACGATCGCAAGGATAAGCTCTGTCGTGCTATAACGTCGTCGTTATCACGTGTGAAGCAACTTTCCATCCCCTCGGAATCGTTCCTCTAGATATCCTGGAATCTGAAAATAGTTTCATACGGACCGATTATACGATATTCGCATGATGGTCCATGAGAGTACACATAAGCGCATAAGACACAGCTACTATTGTCTGTTCAACTTAACGATCGAGTAACACACAACAAAATTACTTTTTCAACATTCTATGCACATCGCTATAAAATGCTATGCTATAATATATAGGAATATGCAAACCCTTTCAAGTCTCGAGAACCCGAAGTTCGGGACGGATTGGAAAGAGTCAGGTGGCATCCCGATACATTTTACTGTTCGAGATCTCGGGTCCCGAAAGTTTTAGAATTGCACTCGATTCTCTATACATGAATATTGTTACATATCTTATTCATGCGTAGAAACCGAGACTGCCTGATCCTACCCGAGAACTCAGCACAGTCCCGAAACACTTGGGATCTTGAGATCTCGAACAATGAAATGTATTGGAATTCTGCCCGATCCCGCTCGAATTTCTTCGTCTTGTTTTGATTCTGTAACACCGGGTTCCCACACATGCCTGCTATAATATAAACGATGGGAATTTTCAAAATAATTACGGTCGTTTTGGTTTGATAGTTTGCTTGGAGAATATCTATTCTCAATTATCTATTGCCTTGAAAGCATTCAGTAGGTATGCAACATGTATTTATCTTCGCAAAGATAATTAAAATAAATCAATAGGCAATTAACACGTTCGACCACGCCGCCAGCGTATTTGTGTTTTACTTCTCTCTTAAGTTGGACAACCAATACACACGAATGTTATTTCCAATACTTGAATAACAAAAAATTCTGAAGCCACGTTGTACCATCGATAGAGGAAACAAATTTATCGTCGAATCGCAACACAGTAAAAGGATAATTTTTTTTCTACAATGATTAAACATTCACAGATACTTATTCGCTACAATGATTTACATTTACAATAAAGAAATATTTACCGCAATGGGTATACGTGAGATTCGTTACAGTAAATTGCGACGATGTCCTTTAACCACGGATGCGTACAGTCTTGAATGTTTTAACTTGGAACAAATGAATGCCCACCATCTTTACACATTTACACGGGGACCGTAATAGATATAATCGTTATTACAGTGCAATATTGTAAATAGATTTATGCTACGACGTCTCACATTGTATCCATACGACCTAGATACAAGGAAATTGCATGCAGCGCAGCTTTTTTTGTTTTTCTGATTTGCAACCTTGAATTCGGGGAAGGAAATAAAGGAAGAAAAAGAAAGTGAGCGAGTAAAATGCGTTAAGGTAGATCAGATATAATGTTAGACACAAGGAAATGACCCCAATCTAGTTGAACAGTCAGGCATTCTGGGAACATTAAAACAAGAAACGTGAGGGCTTGTTATAGTTTATTCATGAGGCTCATAACGAGCAGAGACACACGCCTCCTTTCGTTTTCTTACCTTTTCCAAACTAGGATCAGCAAGTTATGCGTAGGATGTACTACGTATGGGTCAGGAGGAGGAAAAGTATAAGAACGATTACTATGATTCAAATCTAATCGTTTCTACCTTTGGTTTTGGCCGATGCGTGTCCACTGCGTCTATGGGTAATCGAATATGTTCCACCTTACAACCATAAGCAACAGGTGTTAATTTTATGATAGTGTGCAGCGGTACTTGTAAATATGGCAGCTCGTCTGTAATAGAAGCAAATTACGATTATATAGTCAGTCAGCAATGAATAATATATATGTGAGATAAATAAGAATAACAATATTAGATATAACAATGTTAGATTATATTAACTACATGTATAGAAAACTGTAATGCCATATAAACATGCGATCAGTGCAGTATTTGCACCGGCAGAATTATATCAATTACAATCATCACGCTTTGAACGTCGTACATCTCGGTGTCAAATGTATCTATCTTTCTATTCCATTTCTATACATTGAAGGTCACAGTTATATAACTTTGTTCTATATTTCCCTTGTACGCTTCCTGTCTACAATACTTAACACGTTTCAGATCACGCATATTGTACTTAATAGATCGTTTGATATCCCTCTTCCTCTCTCCTTTCCTCTTTTCCTCTTTTTCACAAACAAATTTTATTGAAACAAGCGAATACAAACATTCACTCACCCGCGCTTTTATCCAAGAAGTAGGCGAGCAGACACCGCAAAACTGCTTGGTGACTAACCACCAGAACATTACCCTGTCGCTCTAGCTCCATTATCACTGGCTCTAGCCTTGCTACTAGATCTTCATAGCTTTCTCCTCTTGGGTAGCGATACGAGAATTTGTTCTGATCTCTGGCAGCAAAGTCAGTCGGATATTTTCCCGCAATTTCCTCGTAAGTCATTTCCTCACAGATACCCTGTAGACAATTCTCCTCTGTATCCTTCACATGAGATTACCCAAAGGTGTAAATTTTGTATGTCAGCTCACCGCATCAATTTCATTAAGCGCCTTCCACCTTTCTTGAGGCACATCCACGTCGTTTGCAGTCTGTATAGTCCTCTTCAGCCAGCTTGTCCACACTCGCAGTCCCTAGAATTAATATGATTTCAATTGCTACAGTTTCTCATAAAAATATAATAATCATCTTTCTCGTTATTTTTTACCTGTATATCCTGACTAGTGATGAAGGCAGCCAAAGCCTTGGCATACTCCAAACCTCTCTCGCTGAGCTCAGAATCTCCACCTATCTTACCTTCAAGATTCATTTTGCTCTCACCGTGCCTGGTTAAGTAGATTGTACGTGGTACTATGTGAATGTTCATGAGGTAATAAACTATTCTACTTTGTATGTGACCCTCGTGTTTGTGAACCAACACCTTCTCGCCAGTATTATAAATCTTCATGAAGGATAGATCACTCTCATGATTCTCATCCAACGGCTGGTACTTTTCTTGATAATGCTCGATCCTTAGCATAAAGTCAGCTAACACTTCTTCCTTGTTCATGTTCGCATAGTCAGGACTGCTTACTTTTACCTAAGCAAACAGAAAATTAATGTTCTTGAATGAAGAGCAATTGATTCTAGTCTTGCAATCTCTGTATAATCTTAAAAATTTCATACAAGACTCAAAGAAACCTCCAAAGCTTCTTATACTCTGAAAAGCATTCAAGGAAAAACTGTGCATACCTCCATAATATTCTGTTCAACAATTTCTGGATCATTGCACACAGATTCAACAAAGAACAATTTGAAGCCCATTTTTTCGACGACGATGTCACGAATCAATTGACGTCTTTCGATAGTGGAATTGGTGGCATCGAAGACAGCCACCTCGCCGTCCCCGCTCTCCAACCATTGACAGACATCTTTGAGGGCATCCATCGCGCATTGGGTTCGTATTGCCATCGCTTTTATATTGTCAGGACGGAAAAATTCATGGCATTGATAGGCAGTGGTTGCGTGCCGCCTATATTCTCCGAGATTGAAGACCTTCGTGCTAATACCGATCCAGTTCAAGTATCTGCATAATTTTTTCGATATGTAGGTTTTGCCGCGAGCCGGCAGACCCACCATAGCGATCACATGAGGCTTGTTCACAAAGTTCGCTCGTTCACCTAAAATCAGCAGTAAATTCTTTTTAAACAATGCCAGTATTACGCCGCGTACAAAATACGTTATTTTTTCAACTCTAAACCATAATTTCCATAGGTCCTTGATATGTATTGTTGTAAGAAATTGGGCCAAAAAAGGAAATGAACCATTGATTTTGACGAAATAATTTGTTAGTTTTCAGTCTCTTATTAGCTAATTAATAAACATAAAATAAATGTAACCTATAAAACACAGAATTTTTTTGAAACGAACAAACAGAATTTTAACGAGAAATCTTATTACTCTTGTGTTAGAGATATTCTCGCTCGACATCTGCAAGATTTATGAGAGATCAGAACGCCACGGCTGCCCAGAGAAATTTACGCAATTCCCAGTTAGTGCTATTAATGATCAATTGACTATTTTCACTAACTCAGAAATTGAGAATAAGTAATCGAATCAGGATTTTATAAGATTCGTGAAAAATAAAAAACTCAAACGGATGAAGACTCATGTATTCGTCATTACATCCTGAAAAAATCGGCATTGTGTCATATAGCGATGACATAAGCTCGTGAATTGCCGATAGACTTTTCAAAGTAAACTGTTCCTGTTATCTGTTGCTGTTTCATTGTTACTGGACATCGACGAATAGCCGCGTAGACGCTCCTGATCGTGGTTGTACTATCTAACGAGATTAATTTTATCGGTTGTTGATTATTTTTATAAATCAAGTAGAGACCAAGGTACGACAATTACGTACATATGTATATACAATTACTTTAAAAATAGCGTAAACAGTGTATGTATTATATTAAATTATACATACATATACATAATTCGTTATCTCTGGTACGAGAAATCAAACTAATTGCACGATCGAAAACTATCGAAATTCTTATTCGATAACAGAATTATTATCTATCGATCGTATCGACAGAAAAACATCGATTCGAGGAATCAATCGTTCACGACCAAGGCTACAATAAAAAACAGCTTTTATAGTGCTGGATATATGTAACTTGTTTATACCAGTTCTAGTTAAGTTCGTATTATCACAAAATTCAAGCATTTAAAACACGTAAATGTATATACGTATGCATGTGCATTCGCATCCACATCCACGTCATACATATGTATACATACATCTACACGCGGTACAGTACAACGCATCTTTTCAGGTTATGTTCCTGGAGAACGAAAAGGTATAAATATGTATTGTAATCAAAAAGTAGGGGCAGTGATTTCTTAAGAATCAAAATTTCTAGCTTCTGTTTGTTTCAAAGAGAAAATGTAAGATGTAAGTTGGAGCACCTAATAAGACCAGTATTGATAATATGATTAGTGCAATACTGTCGAGTAGTTTCAGACGAAGGAAAATACTACAAATTAAATTTGTATTCGAGTTTCTGTTTCGAAAAATCGGTTCACTGATAGACAAATGAAAATACCTATTTTTTTATGTCCTTTTAGAAAAGTGATATGTTCTTAATCTTACCTCGAATGGGGAAAGGTTTCGTTTGAATGGTGTCGGAGGTCGGTGGCGTGTAATGCATCTCTATCTTCGGATCGGTCATTCTACGAGATTTACCGCGTAGACGTTTCCTCGCCGTTTTCCTTGAATTTAATAGACTGATCGTTTCGTTTATTACACTGTTCACTGAGAGAAGACGAACACTCGATGATTTTCAATCTTGCCAGTTTAGTGTGCACTACGTAATTACGTATGTGACTGTCTGTTCATTAATCGTATATGATAACTCGTCGCGATAATTTCACTGCCACTGTAGTTCCATTTTATCGTTGGTAAATTTTACAAAACGTCATCGTGTTGATTCGACATTACTATAAGAATAGTAATGGGGGAAAAAAGAATAAAAATACTACCGATTCGTAACCTGTTTGAACAGGGAACTTTCACACAGAAGCGTAAGACTAAGTACAATGTATGTGGTGTAATGCGCGCCGGAAAAGTCCGAAGTTTAGTGTATGTATGTGCCACACTATGTACATATACAGGTCCCGAGTCTCGAACCGATTATTATTACGTATGGGACAAGCAGCGAGGAAATCTTTCGCCAGTAACTCTCATTGGGTGGCTTCTTTTTGCATCTCGAAAAATTCCTTGAGCAATCGTCGATCTTCTCAAAATATGTATCAAGTTATTTGTTCTCAAAGTTCAAATGGTTGTAATGTAAAATTAACGAATCTCGTAAACATTTAAGAAACTTAATCGTCAATTCGGGCAAAACTTTTTAGCGAACACCACTGTTGTCGCATGAGATACCTCTGACCAGTCCCGTAGCCTCGAGGCCGATCACGCGACTTTTCTTGACGTCACTTTATTATTTTCTAACCAATTCCTTCTAGTTTTAAACGCGGATGAAGGAAGGCTAATAATTCGAATGAAATCATGCGTTTTTTCATGTACTCATTAAAAATGATTCGATATATGTACGTTAACGTACAAAAATTGTACATAATTCTGAAAATTAGGAACACTGAAGATTATGTATGTATATGTACATGCATACGTTGTTTTACGTATGTAAATTTTAAACATTACGTATGTATGTTTTTCGTTGTAGCAACCAATAAAAAGCATTTGGAACTAGGAAATGATGAATACATATTGGGTAATGTACCTGCATGAAAAAAATGTGATGCTGAAAAAATCACCAGAGAATACATATTTGTGCGTACTGTTATAACGAAAAATTCAAATCGTTTGAAATGTTAATTGAATTTAAGCATTATTTTAAGTGACAAAATAGATTAATAATTATGGAAAATTCCAATATTGTTCATTTATCAAATTACTTGTGATAGTAATCAATTATACGAAGAGAAAGAAACAATAAATTAATAAAAGAAACATTTTTCATCGTATACATTTTAAAATGGTTTAGCAATGTTGACTGCATTTATAGTCTTTTATGTATGTTTACGAAGCAAACTGTTACATATGTACTTAACTTTATATTTTAAACATTAATTACATGCTTTACTGTGTAATGCAATTCCTCTAATATTTATGTATAAGTTGAATAAGATAAAGCCAAGTAAGTAATTAGTGCTACTAATTTTTATGAGAAAATCCAACACTTTGTAGGTCTTTTAAAATATTATAACTGGTGCATTCTCTTTTCACGTGGCACTTTTAAGATTAAATTATGTACAGTCTTTTCCTCGTAACGTAACGCAACATTGGGGACACAGCGAGACGTTTGGGAATAGACAAAGTTAGTTTATCTTAGTCCTGATTGACTGACAGTTGGTTAAAGCCTCGCGATTGGTTGTGCTATGAAACTGTAGGGATTGTAAACTCTGTTGCAAACGCTATGTTACGTGAGCTTTGAAACACGATACATACTATAAAAGAAACACTGTGTGTAAATACTTTAGGGCATATACACATATGTACCTAGTAGTAGTGTAGTAGTAGCATGTATGTATACATATGTGGTGTAACGTATGACAGCAAACTGGTGTCACAGTACAGAAAGATACCGGTAGAGTGCACGTACATAGTGTGTATGTACATATATATTTCTTACGTATGAATGTGTGTACATTCGTGTATGTATGTACAGTAGATACATAATTATTATCACCATCACCTATCAGTCGCGTTACAACCAAGTACATACAGCGCGACGGCTAGCTTTGTAGAAAGAATATAATAGTTTTCAGTACACGCGATTCTCGAAGGTATTTATTCGACGCATATTCGACAACTGTTGACAGTAGAAATATATTTTCGGTAAATATTATTAGAGTGTAAGAATGAACGTTGAAATCAAGGAGATTGTTTGTGAAACTGGGCGTGTGGCACCGCCTTTTTCATTACTTGTCATTCGTATGCGTTCAGATATGTTTTCATTATCTCGTTTGTTACTATTTACAAACGTATGCACAACACGGATGTTGACTTTCTCACGTTGTTACGATATACAGTTTTCGCAAGATCCGTTTCGATGATTCTTGTGCTCGTGCTACGATCTGTGTAATATATCAACACAAAACGGAGAAAGTAAAATGTGCTACGTTGTGTGCCACAAAACTACATTTAGTTTCTTTTCGGTCATAGCTACCCGTGTGTAGTCTTCCGATAAGGACTGTTGCGTTTTAAAGTAGCATATCGTGTTCACTTTTATTTATTTGTATACATATTATTCCTCATTCTGTCTTCACCGTTTGATCTACTTTTTTGAAACGATAAATTGTCTCGTTATGATGTTTTTCTAGTGAAAAATTACTAATCAACTGCTTCACATTTCTATTTTTTAACGTGAATATATTATCTGATAATTACTAATGGTGTCAAAGCATTAAGTAAAGATATATGTAAGTGTTTATTACATATTTATCGGTTATATTCGATTGTTATTTTAATAATTGCAATTTCTCATGAGAAACGACGAATGCACCAAAAGTCTTTGTTCAAAATAAATTGCAATACGTTATAAACGGTAATACAATATATGTAAATATATACTCTTGACCTTGTTTTTAGATTTCTCACGCTGACAACAGTAGTTTCACATCCTGTCTTTCTCAACTTCCTTTGGTAAAGTTAATTCCCAGTAAATTTAATGGTTCAAAATGCACAAGAGAACCTTTGTACAAATGCACGTTCTTCCTTAACTATGAACTTGCGTTTCTTATTTAATTTGATATTTGTTTTCAGATAATTATAATAATATGTCAAAGAAGCCAGGCAATACCCCAGCAATGCATAAAGTTATAATGGTTGGGAGTGGAGGTGTTGGAAAGTCAGCTCTGACGTTACAATTTATGTATGACGAGGTATACCAAGTGTCTAATAAACATAAAAAGTACATACAAGTTGAACTGATGAAAATATTAATATCTTTTTCTGGTTCTATTAGTTTGTACAGGACTACGAACCCACTAAAGCAGATTCTTATAGGAAAAAAGTTGTATTAGATGCAGAGGAAGTACAAATAGACATCCTAGATACTGCAGGACAAGAAGATTATGCTGCAATTCGAGATAATTATTTTCGAAGTGGTGAAGGATTCCTTTGTGTCTTCTCTATAACAGAAGACGATAGTTTTCAAGCAACTCAAGAGTTTAGGTAAACCATAGTAGAATACGTGTACGTAAAAGGCAATGTATACTAGTGAAGCATGTTATTTCATATGTGCAGAGAACAGATCCTTAGAGTAAAAAACGATGAGAACATTCCATTTTTGTTAGTGGGAAATAAAAGTGACTTGCAAGAGAAAAGGAAGGTGAGCTTAGCTGAAGCTCAAGCAAGAGCACAGCAATGGGGTGTACCATATGTAGAAACAAGCGCAAAAACAAAGGAAAATGTTGACAAGGTAACAGATAATTAAATTTTGTAGCATCTTTTTATTTTTATATATTTACAAGTAGGGGTGTACCATAGAAGAGAGTTTTATTCGTTACAGTAATTAATGTCTATAATAGTATTTTATTAATAGCCAAAATAGTGATGCAATTGAATAATAAAAAGTGTGTAACATATACATATCGTTAGTATTCTTTTACTACACCAATTTGTCATTGCTATAGGCTTTAGAACATAAAGAAACTGCATGAGATAAATGTTTATACAGCTTAATTTTGCAATTTATTACACATTTTTTATTTTATTTTTTATGCGTATGATATGTAGCTTATTCACGCGAATACCACTCTGTGAGATTGTATCGTACAAGCACTGAATATACACATATTACACATTGCATACTTCTATTGATCAGTAAAGCACCTTTTTCAAGCCTTGAAGCTTTGAAACAGCATCAATTGCACATTTCCAGGTATTTTTCGATTTGATGCGTGAAATAAGTTCGCGCAAGATCGAAGACAAATCGGCAAGTAACGGTCGTGGAAAAGACCGAGCGAAGAGGAAGAAAAAGAAGTGCATTTTTCTATAGGTTTGATGTTTTTCGCACTGTTTTTTAATCTTTCATAACAAACACAACTGGACGATGATTGAAGTTTCCGTAAATTATAATATTACTTTTTAGTTCTTTTTTCTGAAATCTTAGTAAATATGTACGAACATAATTTTTAGCAGATAACAATTATACCAGAAGTATCAATCTTCTGCGAGAGTGTCAGATTGGCACATAAAAAAGAGAAGATTTCTTGTATATCGTTTACCAGGTTGACACTTGCTTATGCCTGAAATACTGCGTATGCATGTATTATCTCATTTCAATGTTCCAAGTTGTACAAGCACAGAATGACTTTCTATTTTTGTTTTTGATATTCAACATTTGTTATTTAATATTAGAGCCCGAAACTTCTGGAATGATACTGTGGTCTTTTGTCTGAAATAGTGAATACAGCTTGCCTTTATGCATGTTTATTCTAGCAACATAAATACTCTACATCATGTTTCTGTATTTTTGTTCATTGGGTGCAAGTATCTCACTAATTATAATAGAACACTACATATTAATCGATGATAGTTGAACAAATAACAAAAACAGAAAGTTTAATTTTAGCACCAAACACTGATGTTTAAAATTTATTAGGTAATAATCTAATATATTATATCGAATTAATCTAATATAACGTAGATAAATTGAAGCGTATATTAAAGATCGACGATTCTTGTTTATCATATTACAGGTATTCTTTGATTTAATGCGTGCAATAGTCGCGCGCAAAGCACAGGAAAATCAAGGGGATGGAAACGAGCGTAAGAAGAAAAGAAACTGCTGCCTTTTGCTCTAACGAATATAAAACGATGTGTATAAATTCTGTAACGGAACATTCAACTACTAATTATGAAAACCTGAGTAAGAGAAATGATATATATACACTTGGAAGTTTTCTAACACTTTACAGTGAAATGACATTAAACAGGTTAAATATTTGCTTTGAGAACACGTCAAGTTTAATAAATTATTCATATTTATATTCTATGGAGGATTACAAAATTTCCGCTTTCTTGTTTTTCTTTTCATAAAGTGGCTGATTCATTAATGGTAGACTGATATTTACAAGCACCTTCATGGTTACCGATTTACAACACAGATTTTGCTATAATGTGGAGTGTAAAAAGTTTCTGATAGAGCACAAATGTAGTTTGTTTGACAATGAAATTATTTTTTTTTAATATTCATACACAACATTCATTAGAGTGCTGAAATATGTACAATCATTGAAATTAATATTCGATACAAGTGAAGATTTCATTTATTCGGCACGGAGAATGTATGCATACGTTTTGCGCGATGCGTTCCATGATCACTAAAAACGGTTACTTGAAGAAATTGCAAACATTATGAGCGTGCTGTAATTAATTTTTTCTGCAAATAAAAGTACTATATCTGCACTGATACGTTTTGTGCGTTTATTTGTAACCTCAACAAGTTTCAGCACTCTTAAATATTTGTTAACAAAATTAACGATTTCAAGTTGTTTCAACTATCTGTTAGGAGAGTCGCGACACTGTAAAGTAATGAAAATGTGTGGTACATTCACTTAAAATTTGCTTTTCCATTACTCCTTTGTATTCCGCAAGTCTCATTGTGTATACAGTGCATAAACATGTACAAATACAAAAAGGAATTTGTCACTGATCTACAAGTAAGATACCGTTGTGTCTTGAGTCAAGAAATTCGAACGTTTATAAAATTGTAGAATTTATAAGAAAATCGTGTAAAGCAGTTTAGATATATTGCTTAAACCAGATGTAATCTTCTTTAGGCACAATTCAAAAGACTCGTTGAGTTTGACTTTTGTTAATTACACTATAGATTAAAAGATTCTTAAATGTGTGTGGGAGTACTTGAAATATTCATTTATTTTTTAATGCTCTGTGTTGTATCTCTACAAAAAACTGAGAAAACAGTTAAACTCAAAGCACTAAGTCTGTGAATTAATAGAC